TCTTCTGACATGATTCATCCCAAACATACTTGGTATTCTTCCTCAACATTTTAGTCAATTGTGCAGCAATTTTAGAAAATCCTTCGACAAACCGCCGATAGTAACCCGCCATGCCAAGAAAACTTCTCAACTCCGACACATCTTTTGGTGGAGCCCAACTCACCACTGCTTCCACCTTTTTCGGATCCACCTCGACACCTCTTCCAGAAATTACATGTCCCAGAAATATTACCTCCTTCAGCCAAAACTCACATTTTGAGAATTTTGCATATAATTGTTTCTCCCTTAGAATTTGCAACACAATTCTAAGGTGAGTTTTGTGCTCCTCCTCGCTTTTAGAATAGATGAGAATATCATCTATGAACACAATCACAAACTTATCAAGATATTCATGGAAAACTTTGTTCATAAGAGCCATAAATACCGCTGGTGCATTAGTGAGTCCAAAAGGCATTACCAGGAACTCATAATGCCCATATCTTGTTCTAAAAGCTGTCTTTGAGGTTGCTCCATCTGCCACTTTCAATTGATGGTATCCATACCTCAAATCAATTTTAGAAAAGACCGATGCACCCTGCAATTGATCAAACAAGTCATCTATTCTTGGGAGGGGATAACGGTTTTTCACTGTTGCTTTATTCAACCTCCAGTAGTCAATGCACATTCTCATGGAGCCATCTTTCTTCTTTACAAACAAAACCGGTGCACCCCAAGGTGAGATGCTAGGTCGAATAAACCCATTGTCTAGCAATTCTTGCAATTGTTCTTTAAGCTCCTTCAGCTCAATTGGTGCCATTCTATATGGTGCCATTGAAATTGGTGTTGTGCCAGGTACCAATTCAATGTCAAACTCTACTTCCCTTTCTGGTGGAAGGTCGGGAAGTTCTTCGGAGAATACATCAGGAAACTCCCTTACCACCTCTACATCCTCAACCTTCTTATCATTTACAACAATAACTTGAGCAAGAAAGGCTTCACAACCTTCCTTCACTAATCGAAAAGCTTCCAAGGCAGAAAGAAAACCATGAGTCTCCTTTTTCTTAATGCCTCGAAATACAATAGGACCTTTATCTGGAGTGTTGAATAACACTTCTTTCTTTTGACAATCCACAACAGCTCCATGTGTTGCCAGAAAGTCCATTCCAAGGATGACATCAAATTCATCAAAAGGTAGCAGAATTAAATCTGCTGCTAGGAAAGCTCCTTCCACACAAATGAAGGAACTTCTAATAACTGAGTCTACCTTCAAGGTATCTCCCACAGGTGTTTTAACACATAAAGTATAACCTAGCTTATCTGGAACTAAGCGTAGCATATGTGCAAACGTATATGACATAAATGAGTGAGAGGAACCAGTATCTATCAAAGCATATAATTGCTTGCCAAGGATAGAAAGCATACCAGTCACAACTTCTGGTGCCACTTCTGCCTCACCTCGAGTCATTGCATAAACCCTCGGTGCTCCCTGTGCTCTGGTACCCTGCGTACCACTTCCTGATGGCTGATTTCGACCACCACCTCTACCACCCTGTGAACCACCACGGTCACTCTGAAATCCACTACGGCCTCCCTGGTAACCACCCCTGAATGGGGCTCTACTAATTTGCACTGAAGGCTCGGACTGTGTAGCTCTTACTTCTCTCGAATGCGGACAGTCCCTCATGATGTGCCCAGGCTGGCCACAGTGAAAGCATACACCAGAAAATCTCCTACACTCTCCAAGATGCCTCTTCTGACTAACTTGACAAAATGGAAATTGTGTGGCTGAGGAAATTGGTGACCTGTATGATGTTCCCGACATAGATTAACTCTGTGTTCTCCCAAAACTGCTAGGACCTCTCCTGGGTGGGTAACGAGGTCCAGCATAATTTACTCCAAACTTCCTCTTCTTCTCCTCTTCTTTGGCCTTGTTTTCCTCTATACCCTCAACTTCATAGGCTTCATACTTAAGTGCTGCCTCCTTGATAGTGGCCATGCTCTCTTCATCAACCCTGTGGATCTTTTCTTTCAATCCTAGGCGCAGACCATGCAAGTATCTCATCTTCTTCTTATGCTCAGTATCCGCCAACCCATCCTCAAAATAAAATAGTCGAACAAACTTGATGGTGTACTCAGTAACTGTCATATTCTCCTGCTTAAGGTTGGCGAATTCATTATTCTTTGCCCTTATAAAAGCTTCGGGAAGAAACTCTATCTTAAAGGCCTTCAGGAACTCCTCCCAGGTGAACTGAACTCGTTCACCATTAACTCTAGAGACTGAGGACCACCAGCTCCTCGCGTACCCCTTTAGGAGAAAAACAACATATTGTACTTTTTCCTCTGGGGTCGCATAAAGATATTCAAACACATCTTCCATCTCTCTCAACCACTCTACTACAGCATCTGGACTCACATCTCCCTTGAAGTCCCTACCACCCAAACTCTTCATCTTTGCATAATCTAATACTGGCGGTCTTGCATCAACCGCCCCCACTCCTCTCGACTGGTCAGTAGGAACATTTTCACAACTTCCGTGCGAGCTACAAGGAAATATTGGCCTTAGATTGATCCACCCAAAATTCATTCTTCACCAAATCTCTCACTTGGTTAAAACAAAAAAAATTCCAAAATAATTACTTGAAAACAAATAGGTTCAAAACTCAATTTTGAAAACCATGATGCAGATAATTTCATCCAACATACCAATACACATAATCATGTCAAACTCAATTCCCAGTTTAAGTCATTATGGGGTACTCCCCTCCTTAGGAGTGTTTAACCTCCCATAGGGTATAGTACGCCATAACAACAAAAAGAGGGAACCAGCCTCTGATACCAAACTGTAACACCCTACCCTATACATTTTGCCTAATCATATTGTTCATACAATTGCAGCGGAATTAATCTCGAGTGTTACATTAATTATCAAAATTTACCCAAATAAAATTTCGACATGAATTACTCGCGTAATGGGCTAACAGTTCATGCAACTTATCCTGCAAAATAATTCATCACAAACATATATACTCACAACCATATGCATTGGCTTTTCTTAGCCATACTCACACTTTTCATACTCCACAACTGCATACCAAACTTATACATACCATAATCGTCACAACTTACACAATTACAAAAATATACACATATCATCAATTTTCCACACCTGTGGATATCTCACACTAAATCAGAAGCTAGTATGCACATGAAAAACGTTCTCAAAACATTTTTACAAAAAGGTGTGGATCACTGGCCAAAATCCCGAGTAGTAGTCCAAGCGCAGAATGGTTGAAGACCATACCTCATCTTGCCTTCAACTCTTGCTCAGCTCCTACCTATACACCTATCTACTGCTGCTGCTGATGATCTGCTTACACATAGCATAAGCAGAGAAGAAGAATAAAAGAGGGTCAGCTCATAGCTGAGTGAGATAATCATAGCATCGTGAGTTCATAACATAGCATACCACTACCATACATCTAGCAAACAAGCCAAAGCACTAGGATCAGATCTCAGCCCTTCGACATCCCAATAGGCAAACGACTCAACCACCTGACTTATGCATATGCATCTTATCATGTTTTACTCATAGGCACCTGGCTACTCGCATGCTAATAACTCTCCCGGGAAACATACCCCACATCCCGTCGGATGTAGTCATACATACCCCAACATCCCGTCGGATGTGGTCATACATACCCCACACCACTATGGGTGTAGTCATACCCCGACACCGCTCTGGGTGTGGTCATATCTCGTAAGAATTCTTCAGTCACCACCACATGAGAGGTGTGACTATCATACATATCAGAATAGAGTAATAGCATAGGGAGCCCTAATTACTATGCAGTTGACCGTGAGACCACAACACTCATATTTGGTATCCTTATACATGTTCATATCTCATCTTGCTTAATCACAATTCATTACTTGCACATGTACTTGACCTGGCCATAATTGGCTCAACATAGGTAAATCAGGAGTCGTATAATTGAACTTCCTCGGGATAAACCCTCGTGCAAGTCATCCTCCTTAAAAGTAATAATATCACTAGGGAATATATATTTTCCCACTTGTGCATCCAAATACAACAATCATGAAAAATCATACCTAATCACCTTCTCGAACCATCGTAAAGCATATTAACAGTCAAGCCCACAAGTTGCAACATATACACAATCATCAGCATAAACAAGGTTCATATTAATTAGGGCAAGTCAATAATATCATACACCAATCCAGGGTTCAACATATAGCACAAAAGCACATACACCCCTAATCATGTCATTCTAGTTCACCTAGATCAATTCTAAGCATCAATATAATTATCGTGATACGACAAACCCGGTATGCCGTGCTAATCCCTCACCAGTTCTGGTCGTTCAAACACCGGTTTAACCTTCCCGTACTAAAACGTCAATTTCACGAACGAACCCCGAATTAAAATCCGAGACCGTCCTAATATCCCTGCAGTATACCCGTCAATATTAGTTCTGGGCTCCGGGTCAAATTCTTGATAAAAACACATCAAACCCTGGCCGGAGCTAAATTCAGGGGTTTGGACCCCGGCCTAAATAATAGCCGAAATTCAGGGATTAGAACTAGAGGATTGATTACCTTGCTGCAGGAAGCTCGTATATGAAATTTGGGCTCAATCCGGCTTCCGGATACTCCGAAACCCTAATTTGGCTTATCGGGAATTCAAGAAATTCCTGAACCAAAAACTCGTTTTAAAGCTCTAAATCGATAAATCACGATGTATAGATGAATTAGGCATTACTTACGGGATTTTTGGATCACTAGGGCTCAAGAATTTGAGCTTTGGAATTTCTCCCGAGCTCCCCTGTTCGCTCTGCTCGGCTCGCTGTGCTCTCGGTTTCCTCTCGGTGTGGAAATGGAAAAAGTCGATGATGATGAGAATTAAATGGAAGGGTGGGGATTAATATATATGCGGCCGCTATGTAATTATATATATATATATATATATATATATATATATATAATTAATACGTATACTTATCCGATCGATTGATAATCCGATTTTCGCCGAAATACTATCAAAATGCTCGATTTTAAATCGCGAACTTTCTAGCGATCGAAATATGGGTTTAGCCGAAATGGGATGTTACATGAGTTGAAGGAAAAAGGGAGAGGAGACCTTGAGTGAGAAAACCTTGAGTGAGAAAGTAACGAGCAAGAAGAGAGAAGAAGTTAGGGTTTCACTCCAAGGCAAAGATTTGGGAAAATCTTCTCCAAAGGAAGATCTCTTCTGCACAAGGAAGGATTCAAGCATCTCCATGATGGTTTTTCTTCTTCCTCCTTGTGTTTCCCTCTCGTAGCATGGAGGAGTTTCCCTTTTCACTTGGGTGTTACCTTGTGATTGATTGTATGGGATGATTGTCTATGTGTGGGTGTGTTTTAATATGAATTTGGAGGTATTTTCATGGAAGATTGTGTTGTGTTTGCCTATCAATTTATTTGCTATTCTAAACTAGGTAGAGAGAAATCCTCCTTTTTGTAAAAGAGGCTTGTAAAGCTGGGTTTTCTTAGGCAAATCATGTCTCCTGTATAGGTTAATGTAGGGCATCCCTCCTTGTTTGTGTTGGCACCTAAGTTGATTGTGTTTTGGCCGTCTGAATTCCGATTCGAGAGTGAAGGTTTGGTAGTCCTTAGTCGATTAGGCCAAGAGAGCTACCTTGATATCTTAATCCGAATTCCTTGGCCTAGAGACAGTGAGAGTGATGTTCCATCACTACCTACACTTCTCTTACGGTTCCCAATCACCTCCACCATACATTTTCAGTCATTCCGACAAGTCATGGTAGTGAGTTAGGGGGAGCTAAGCCCTGGTGAATCCTTCTCATTTAAGAGTCAACCAATTACTTTTACAACCGCTTTAATAGTAGATCGTAGTTTTCAATCAAACAACCAATCGCTAGATAATGTTTCAAACAATCGAAGTAGGGGTATACCGGCCCGGGTTGATACTTAAACATACTTGCCCTATTGCACCCAATTAAGGTTTATACTTGGGACCTAATTGAGATATTTATTGTGATATTGGGGCGAGTCACAAGCAAAGTGGGCGAAAGAAGAAAAGCCTTTGCCTTTGGTGTTACTTACTTGAATCTGCATGGAGGAAGGCAGAGAATCTGGATATCCAATTTGGGAAAAGTTCGAGTTCGATTTTTCCAACTTTGAGGCAATATTGATTGGAATGAGTTGGAGTTCGCCGTCTTTCCCGTCCACCTCCATTGTTGGGGCCATTTCCCTCAACTTCTTTCACCATCAGAGGAGGCCATTACCCTCAATTTCTCAATCTCCTCTAGGCAACCATTCTGCCCCATATCAAGAACGTTTAGCTGGGATAAAAGAGAGATGTAACCTTAGATTTCACCGGTCAAGCGATTCGAATGAATGTCGAGCACGTGGAGACTTGTACTGTTGCCAAGCTCCTTTGAGAAATCCGTAAGCCCTCGAAACTTCATCGGAGAAGGAATTGGAGGTGAGATTGAGATGTTGAAGAGCAACTAAGATGGTGAAACACTCTGGAACATTTCTAGACAATTTGTTCTCCTCGAGAGAAACAACTTCCAAGCTCGGCGCCACAAACAGCTCGATGGGCAATTCTATGGAATTAAAATGAATAAGTTTTATTTTATTTTTATTGATAGTGATAATGAGGCGGAAAGTTTAAATATTTTTATTTTTTATTTTTAAATTGCCACGTCATACATTTAACGGTCAACTATGAGTGTTGACTACCACATCAGACAAAGTTAACATAGTTGGACGGAGAGTGACTAAACATGACATGTTTTACTAAATCTAGTGACCATGAATGAAATTAAATATTTTTAGTGACCAAAGATGAACGTTTTTAGTAATGCAGTGACCAACCTAGTCATTTACCCTGCTTGTTCCGATCCTGATTTCACTATAAAATCTATAGATCTAAAAATTCTACACTTTTCACAATTTAAATCTTTAAAATATTATAATATTACGATTCAAATCCTTGGGTCAATTTACTTATTTTCCCACAAATTTGCAAAATTACGCCTTTTTTCTTTCTCCTCCACCAACATCATCTAGTTCTCTCGCACTAACCACATCGACAATCATCAATTCACATTAATGTATTAATCATCATCTATTCACCACTTCCTTATTAATATTATTCCATCTTTATTTTTATATGGATCTTAAAATCTTACGATTTTACGATTGTTATTTTACCCCCATTTTCGATTATACGCAAAATCCTGATTTGGAATGCTATGCCACTTGCGGCTCCGCCAAATAAGTTTTTCATGGAGGAAACCCCCCAAAAAGCGCTATTAATATCATGATCTCCAATTCTTCCATAGCTTCAGAAGTACCGAACAACGAAATAGATCAAACAAAGAAGTCAGAGACGCTTCCCCGCAGTAGGGGTTTCTAAATCCCTGAAGGAGTAAGCTACAAATCACTATTTAGACGATCATGGAAACTCACCCCATCACTAAAACATAACAATTACTGATAACAAGGGAATACCCCACAAAGAAAGTTATCAAAACACAATAATGTGCCAAAACAAAGCCTACATGGAGTGAAATTCCAAAACCCATGACCACTCACTCAACATAGACGGACTATTTGGAAGCTTCATCGAACAAACAAAATCCAAAATCCTAATATAGCCTGAAACCCAACAACAGCAAAATAGCAGGAAAAGTGAGAAGGGAGAAGGTGCGACGCTAGGGTCTGGTCCAGCGGCTAGGTGTTGTAGTCGGTGTTGTAGTCGGTTGGAGCCGCTGGGGGGAAAGGTGTGGCACTAGGAACCAACAAAGCTAATTGGGATGTTTGGTGTCGTTGACGGTGCGGCCGCCGAATTTGGTGCAGTGAGCGATGTCGATGGTGTGGCAAAAGGAAGGAACCTTTGCTGCCAATCTGCATCAAGTGTTGTCCGCAGACGAGGCGACATCCCTAGAATCGTAGGTGGAGTAGGAGGTTGGTTGGTGGAGGTCGTGAGGGGAGAGGGAGAGGAAAGGGATTAGGGGAAATTAGATTCCCTTTAATAGACTATTTGGAGGGAGAGTTTCCACATCCATCAAAATAGAACAACTAGGTCATGCCAATTAGATTCTCACTAATCGATAATGATCCAATATAGTATTGTAGTTCGATTTCAGCTCGATCCATGGACCCACAATGGAGAATTGAGAAATTGCTCTTATTAACCTAATTGGATATTCTCTATCTTAGGTTAATAGCAATAATTATAGAGTTTGATCAATAACAAATTGCATGAAATACCTCAATTTTTTCTATAATCAAGAGTTCAAACAAGCAAAGAAATCATTCAATAATCTAATCAAACATACAAAGTTAGAATACTACAACAGCCAAGTGAGAGTTCTACTCCATAGAGAGATAGACAAACACAAATTCAAGAAGAAAAATCATCATTGAGGAATGGGTTCTTCCTCTTGATCTTCAATCTCCAACCCTTGATGATGAATCTAGCCACCTAGGGATCTCACTCGCCACTTTATCTCTCTACCAGCAGTTGCCCAGTTTCTCACTCTAGAATCCTCTCTTTCAAATTTGGTTTCAGCTCCTAGTCATAGCCATAAGTGTCGTAGTCACGGTTGAACGTCACGGTCGTGACATTTACAACCAAACCACGACATTGGTCCAAAGTGTGTCATTTTACTCATGGTTCTAAAAAGCGCGTCTAGACAGGCGTCATGATCATTTTGTAGCCTTAGTGACGTCTAGTCAGCATTGAGTTGTACTGCAAAAGATGTCACGATGTTTTTTTCTACCTTTTGATATGCTACTAATGATGACGGTCTTGATTTCTCTATAGTTAGGCTAAGATATTATTAGAGACACCCATCTTTAGTGTAGTGTCTTCTTTCTTTTTTGTGCTTCTTCTCTCTCAATCTCTTTCGCTATTTTCAAGCTTCTTCTTCCTTACTTATTTCTCTACATTATGTTTTATATTTTACCATGTGTTGTTAATGAAAGTTTGGAAATGAGAGGTAGATGTGATGATATTGGTTCAAAAACTTGTGATTTTAGGCAAGTGTGATATTTTGCTACGTTTACATATAACGCCTAGACACCCCCTAGGCAATGCCTAAGCATGCTAGGCGCAACGTAGAGCCTCAATATCCGCCTTACACCTAGCGCTTTCTTAAACCTTGGTTTTACTTACATATCTCACAACTTAGGAAGTTACACTACCATAGTAGTCATAAGACCCTTTCGGTGCCAACATACACTTCAGCCACACTAATATAGTTTTCATTCATAAGCTGAAACATCATGTCAACTATATCATCGTCATTGTTGAATGATTCTTCATATATAATATACAATGCTATATAGTATTGGTGCTATAGGTTTTTGCCTTGATGGTATAACTTAAAATTGTACATTTATGTTATGGTACAACTTTAGATTGTACCTATACTTTTTGTACAAATTCTTTTATGGTACAACTTGAACTTGTACATTTATCTGATGGTACAACTTCAAGTTGTAAAGTTGTACCATAACATAATGATACAAATTGCTTTATGGTACAACCTAAACTTATACATTTAATGTTATGGTACAACTTTGAGTTGTACATTAAAGCACCAATACTATATAGCATAGTAGAAGTGCTCATATAATACGACCTCCACTGAACTTTGGACTTTTTGATTACCCACCATGCACGTCTCATCTATAAAAATTTGATTAAGTTCATACCACGTAAATTGACCGACAGTTCTAAGCTCAGCCATTTCATAACCTTTATAATCAATCTCGGTACAATAGTTGTTCGTCACCATTCCCTCAAATATGTAGTTGAAATTTTCTAATTTCTTCTCCCGTAACCGTCTTTTACCATCACATAAAAGTCTTTTACCATCCCATCTACATTCTAGCAACATATACAACATAATTCAAATTATGCACAATATAATCAATCCGCGTTCAAAAATTTGAAAGTATTACTTACAATTTAATTAATTTCTTAACCCTAATGTACATTCAAAATCCAAATCGATCTAACATCTACATTCTTTTTTTTGGTAAAAAAAAAATTACATTCAATATCCTAATATGACCTATCTATATTCAAGACCTACTATATCGGACAACCTTATTTAATTAGAGTAATTAATGTAATTACAATTGACACTAACTAATCATAGATTGCTAAGACCAACACCGCTAACCTTGTTGCTTCTAGATTTTGTTTACCAGAATGTTTACGTCACTCCAACCATTACAAAATGTACTTAATACATAAATAACAAACATTATAGTTGGTACCTACTAAGCAGAATTAGTGAAGCATCAAAATATTACATATATTGCTTTTATCTTATGAATGGGATGGCTACACAATTGACAAATGGAAGAAAAATTGACGAATGAAGAAATATATCAGTGAACGGATTGAGAGAGAATGGAGGAGCTTGTCTTGTGCTGCCAGGAAATGGAAGTGTTTGTGAAAGAGAAGAGGGGAGGTGGGGTGATTTATTTAATTTTTAAAAACTTAAAACGCTTCCAAGTGAGTAAATTTTGCTTGGTTATCTCTACCACCATATAATACTGGACTCTGAATTTTTGGACATGTGTGGGTAGTGAAGGCAATTTCAACCCGTCCCGCGAGTATTACCAGATCTGACCCGCGATAGGGCGGGTATTACTCGATCCGCAGTAAAGTGGGGCGGGGCATGGATAACTACTTTTGACCCGCCCAGTCCCGCCCCGCCCCGTTTTAGACTCATTTTATCTCAATTTCTTACAATTTCTATACATATTTCTCCTATTTAGACTTTTCTTCAACTAGTTAGAGTCGCACTTTCAACTTGTTAGACTCAATTACCCATTCTATTATCACTATTTTCATTCTTAAATTGTTTTACCCTTCGTTTTATCATAAAAAGTAAAATTTACTTGTATTTTTTTTTGAATAACATGTAAGAGTGGGTCAACCCGCCCCGCCCCGTACCCGCGCGTGTTTTACCCGCCCCGCCCCGTAGTAGCGTGGGACGGGGCATGAGAATTGAGGTACTCGCCCCGCCCCATTGCCATCACTATGTGTGGGTCGATAAAGTAAAAAATTTATAAAATAATATTATAAAAATAATAAATTAAATATCTTATTTCACTATTTTCTTGTTTTTTCACAATGATTCATAATGAAATAAATGGCCACATAGCCTTTTACATGTGGGAGTTGAATTTTTTAATGGAGCCTCCTTTGTTGCAAAAAATCGAGTGAAGAGAATTAAAACCTAATGTGATTGACAGAGAGGAATAAATTTTCAATTAAAAATTTTAAATAGTTTTATGTAATTAAAAGTTTAGTCTATAGTGCACTCACTTTTTTGTGCATATTAATGTTATGCACCTGTCTCATAATCGTCATTTTGAGCAGGTAATTTATTTCCAAATAATGTCAATCGTTACTTATGTTATGATGGACAAAAAAAATGAATTTGTACAAAAATAATTTAAGATTTACTTTGATTTCAACAGTTTAGTATTTAGGTGTTTTGGGTTTAGAGTTCAGGTTCAAAAGTTCAGGTTTAGAGATTGGGAAAATGCAGTGATTAGTTGTATAATCATATATTATATAAACATATATATATATATATATATGTATATATATATATATATATTAGACTAATAAACTCGATTTCTACTATGATTACTATCCCAACCGTGGTCAAGTGCAACAACGATCAGGTGAAGTACAGGGGGAGTAAAGTTTTAAATATCAACCCGGGCGGCAAATATACTATTAGTTTGCGGACTACCTAGTAATCTAGAAAATTGAATGTTCGGTTTAACTAATAACTACGAAAACAAAGCAAAGGAACGTTTAGTAGGAAACTATATTGAGAAAGTCACTCAGATGTTGTATCATTCTAGTTACAAAATAGATTGACGAATGATTATCCAAATTTGTCAACTCATGATTTATACCGTTGAGAAGCCTATTCTCAATTGAGCTCCCTTTTGAGTTACTCAACCTCACATAGAGCGAACTATCCGAAAGGAGAGTTTCCACATCCAACAAATAGTACGCCCGATTTCATGCTCGATCCATCGACCCACAATGAAGATTGAGATAGGTACTTTAATTAACCTAATTGGATCTTCTCTCCCTTAGGTTAATAGCCATAATTGTGAGGAAATGAACAATACACACGCAATCCTAGAATACCTCAAATCAATATATAATCAAGAGTCAATCAAAAAAGGAAATCAATTATTCATCTATTCTAACACATAGAACAAGAATTCTACAACATCCAAGTTATAGAAATTTTAGCTCATGATGTGAGATAGAGAGATACAACAAATCAAAAGAAGCAAACATTCTAGAAGATTGAGTTCTTGTTCTTGCCACTTAATCTTCAACCCTTGGTGATGAGTTGAACTCCAATTGTAATATGAAGCTCCAATTCTCACACTAAGGATCTTCTTCGTTGCATTCTCTCTCTACCTAACAAACGCTCTTTCTCACTCTAAGGTCCTCTCTTTCAAATCTGATTTATGCTCCTTATATAGCCAGGACGTACAAAGTTCTCTATTACCCATCACAACTGTGAGGTCGACTGGATGCACACCATTTCACTTACAATCTTCACAGTATGGGTTTGCAACTGCCTGCGAGATATCTTCTCCTTCCTAGGACTCTACAGACTTAACGCTTTTAGTGCTGATGTCATGATCTGTAAACCGTGACATTTGCACTAGCCCGCGAGACATCTTCTTCCTTGTGAAATTCCATGAATTCTTCACGGCTTTGATGCAAATGACTCGTCCTGGCCGTGATAAAAATGCTTTGAGCAGTGAGCTTTGAAATTTTTATCATTTTGTCCCCTTTTGGCTCCCTTTTGTCCAACTTTCGTTCATTTTACCAATTTCACCGGCTAGAACAAGAAACATACTCATACATGTAAGACCTAACGTAAAATGACTCCATTGACGATGAACACAAGTAGTGGTGGAGCCACAACCACCCAAGGGAGATCGGCTGCACCCCCTTGGGCTGGCAAGCTCTGAATAGTGAGATTTGACACTTTTATCATTTTGTCCCATTTTGGCTTTCTTTTGTCAAACTTTCGTTCATTTTACCAATTTCACCAGCTATAACAAGAAACATAGTCATACATGCAAAACCTAATGTAAAATGACTCCATGGACGATGAACACAAGCAGTGGTGGAGCCACAACCACCCAAGGGAGGCCGGCTGCACCCCCTTGAGCTGGCAAGGCCCAGCTAAAAAATAGACATATAACAGTTGTTGCAATGATGTTTCGAACTAGGCATGCTCTGAATAGTGAGCTTTGACATTTTTATCGTTTTGTCTCGTTTTGGCTCCCTTTTGTCCAACTTTAGTTCATTTTACCAGCTATAACAAGAAACACTCATACATGCAAAACCTAACGTAAGATAACTACATGGACGATGAACACAAGTAGTGGCGGAGCCACAACCACCCAAGGGAGGTCGGCTGCACCCCCCGCCCCCGGGGTGGCAAGGCCCAACTAAAAAATATACATATAGCAAATGCTAGAATGGTGTTTCGAAATAGGCAAGCTCTGAACAGTGAGCTTCGACATTTTTATCATTTTGTCCCCTTTTGGCTCCCTTTTGTCCAACTTTCGTTTCTTATACCAATTTCACCGGCTAGAACAAGAAAGTTAATCATACATGCTAAACCTAACGCAAAATGACTCCATGGACGATGAACACAGAGCAGTGGCGGAGCCAAAACCACCCAAGGGAGGTCGGCTACACCCCCTTAGGCTTGTATGGCTAGGTTAAAAATATACATATAACAACTGCAGGAATTGTGTTTCAAACTAGTGACCTCCCTTAGTTCAAAAATTGTTTCAACCATCGCGCAACTTACTTCTTGTAGTGTTAATATTAGCATTTAACTTATCTTATCATTTTGTAACATGTCAGATTACTTCAATTAAAATGACCTCGTCTATTTCCCCCATCCCAATCCCTAAGTGTTGTTGGCGACTTCCCTCCCAAAATTAGCGATCTTCCTCGTCCCATTCCCCTGTACGAAGAAAAAATTGCACAACCTCCTCCCTCAACTTGTTCATTCCTCCGCTGGTTGCTCGGGTGTCCATTGTCAACCACCGTATCTTGCGTAGTCTCTCTTTCCTTAACTTCGATTTCAACTCCAATTCCTCTCGTTGGTGAGTGTTCTTTGAGCTTTCGATTTTGACAATAAGTCGTTTAGTCGGCGATAAAAATCAACTGTTGTGTGGTGTATCCGTTCATCGGGCTTGGGGTTCTCATCCTTGCTTTCTTAACTTTGATTGGTTTTCATGTATTGAGTTGGTTTTAGTTATAGAGAATTAGGTTTTAGAGTTGGCAGTATGGATTGGGAAATTAGAACAAATAATTGATTCATTGATTGTGAACATACTTTTGGTTAATTGTTTGATTGTGTGTCAAATATCCTATTTGATTTATTGCTTTAGAATAAATAAATGACATCATGAATGATTTTTTGGTTAATTACATTGAGAGTGACATCCGTCATAGTTTGTATGATTAATGTATTCTAGATACTTTTCAGACTATGAAAACACATCGTGGGTTATTGTAAAAGATTAATATATATTATGTTTTTTTTTATCCACCTTGGTATAATTCCTGGCTACGCCACTGAACACAAGTCAAACGACCAAGAAACAGGAGTATAAAAATGTACAATTTGGCTTGAATCACTAATACTACTAATTAAAATATAAACCTTGAAGTATTAAATCTATTTTCATAGTTATAACTATAAATTAAAATTAAAGTAATTCTAAAATACTTATAAAGTTTATTAACAACACGATTTGATGGAGATGTGTCGGCTAAAAAAATCGAAGTTGTGTCGGAGGTCTTGGAATTTCATTTTCGTGCCGGAAAAATCTAGGTTTCTAACTAAATTTTTGAGCTGTCTGATGCACCTTACTTATACTTGGGTCCGCCCTTGCACCTTTCCTCTAAAACGTTTCGAGCGAAAGCTTTTGACTAAAGTGCTAGACTTGTAGCGTTTAAATACAAAAAGCGCTTCTTACCTTAGTCATTTTGGATTAAAGAGTTGCTTCATTTAAAGCGATGCGTTTACAAACACTTTGCTCGTAAACACACGTGAAATGAGACCACTTTATGCTAAAGTCGGGCTTTTCGGTAATTAAAGTATAACTTTAGGAATTCATTTTACTAACTAGGATAATATGAGGGAAAGTCAAATTAATCAACAAGGATTTGCAGCAAAATATTTACTAATTAACTAGTACTAGCTAGTAACATCACTAGCATTGATATTCAACAAGGAGAACTTGACTTGCATACAAAGCTTTCCTCTTTCAACCCCTAACCTGGCTCCCGTCACCAACCAATGCCCCGGGCTATCCTGTGGGCCCTTACTCATCTGACACGTATCCACAAACTTGAACATTCTTTGAGCGTGCACCGGCGGCGGCGGCCCCGTCGGGAACACCCCGGAATCAAGGACAACCATTGTGTCGGCCTGTTGGTCGTTGTTGGGCGAGAACAGCCGACCAGATATGGGCGACGCCATGGCGAGGTCCGAGGAAGAAGGTGAAGATGAGCATTGCGATAGGGTGGCCCAGGTGGATTGGACGATGAAGCATGCGGCGACCTCGGTGAAGTGGAGGCGGAGGTGGAGGACGCGGAAGCCGGCGTGGTGTTTGTTAACGTGCAGTTGGGCGCCGGTGACGATGTAGGAATTAGTGTCCTGGTGTATGACGGGGGCGGTGCATACGTGGGCGAAGTTCTTGCCGTTGATGTGTTCCAAGTAGGCGTGGTGGTTGGGTGTCTGGTCGGAGGAGTGCCAGATGGCAGAGGAGGGGGTGATCCTGCTTGCCTTTGCCAAGCCCAGTATTAGCATTGTTGGTGTGGTGGAAAGGTGTTGCAGATGTATGGCTAACCTGTTGCTTTTCCTGCCTTCCAGAAAGAATCGCATTCCAGTAACTGCTCTGCTTCCAACTACAACCTTGTCTGTATTCACGTAGAGTTTCGGGCCCATGAAAGTGAAGTTGAGAGATGGGGCCGAATTGCTCATGTTCCCGGTTGGGCCCAGTGGGAGGTCATTGTGAATGGGAGCCCACATCTTGTGGGACTGGAAGTCCAAGAAGTATTGCAGATCTGATAAAGGTGGCTTGTCTGCCACATATATATATATATTTTTTTTTTGTTAAATACAAACACACATACAGTATTTAATTAGTGGGACAAATAAATAAATGAATTAAGTAAAGAGATTGATTAATTAAGGAGTTGAGAGAGAGAGGTAGGTAGGTAGCTAAGCTTGCTTACATCTGAGGTAAAGGTTGATGGCATGGGAGAGGAAGCCTTTGCCGGGAACGCCTTTAAGGAGAGAGGTGATGGGGATGAAGTCGAAATGAATGGCGTCTGGCATTGACGCCACCGTTGGAAGCCACTCGCAGTGGCTGCTTACACTTGGATCCCCTCCTCTCCTCTTGCACATCACACTAATTCCCTGCTCTTCCCCAACAATTAATATATATGGTAACTATAATTAGACATTTAGACCGTACGTTGATCTTATTTAATTCTAATTATCAACCGTATCTTCTCCTCTTACTACTACATTACGTACGTACATCTTTTTCAGTAATAGCGGAGAAGCTTTCGTATGAGCTAGGCTGCGGATCGAACACATTAAAAGCCGGATGTGCCTGCACCATTTTACATTTACAAATCAAAACAACATGGCCAATTGAACACAAAACAATCTAATTGGAGGCTAGAGCAGCTAGTGAAGTACTGAAGACCATGCATATATATTTCTCTCTATTATTATATTGGGGTTTCAAATCTATAGGAGTGAGTTTGGATATTGTCGTATTTCAAATTTTGAATTTGAAATGCTTGTATATGAAATAAAATACAATCTTCAATATGAAATGTTAGCATTTGTAACATTTCAAATTCATTTATAACCTTTGTGAATTCAAATTACAAAGGCGGAACTAAAAATATGAATGAGGAGAGGTTGATTTTAACCGTGATAATTGATTGGGTAGAGAGCTAAAGTCTTACCGATTATTTATCTTCTAATTTTATTACGAAATTTACATGTAATTTTGAGTGAGGCTATAACATCAAACTAGCTACACACTATCAAATTATACGCTCTTTTATTTTTTTAATTTGGAGATTGTTGGCTAAGCGCCATGGGTTCGAAAACATATTTTTTTAGTTAAGTTTTTTTTTTTTACAATTTAATACGTTAGCTGTAATTTTTTACAAACAAGTTCACAAATTTTGGTGATAAATTACTTTTTCGGTATCTACACACATTTTCCTTGCATTGTATTGGCTGAAATTTGTGAAAAGTCTCTTCTTTTTTTTGTTTTTTTGTTTCATGAAGGATTTCAAACACTATTTAAAATTCACAAATAATACACTAAATATACATTTAAAATTCATCATGTATATTCTAACAAATTCATATACTTAACTATCCATACAAAATGTCTGATATTTAAAATACCAGATACAAAATCTCTCATCCAAATACACCCTTATTAATTTCGAAATTTCACTTCACCTCATAAAATTTGAGATTTCTGTTTGTTTAGGTTGAAATAATTCATTTGTTTATTTTGGTTGAAATCATTCATTGAAACAATCTCATGATAACTTCTATCCGTTTCAAGAATTGAGGTGTCTAGTTTAAAATCCATGCATTTGGACAATCTTGCGACCAATTAATTAATTGAAAGGGTGAATAACAAAGTAGGTAGGGTAGGGTACCTTGAATTTGGAGGAGGTAGGTGGTCGGTTGGATTTGGGGGTGTAAGCGCAGGAACCAGTGAAGAGCTGGTGGGCGAGGTCGTCGAGGTGTTGCTTTAGGTGGGATGGGGACAGCTTGGACGACTTGTCTTGCCTCACCAGCACCATGTCGCTCCCTCCGACGCTCAACCCTACGATTATGTGTGTCCCATACTTCTCTATGAACCTGCATTCCATTCCATAATCCACATCAATCTCTTCAATTCCAAGATAAAACAAAACTAGTATGAGATTATGATTTGCTTTCTTTCATTTTTCAACAATGTTTATAGTTTGCTCGTTACCCTATATACATATAATTTCATTCAACAGAGTGTATCAACAAAAATTATCATTAAAAGAATTTCTACAACTATGATATGCAATGTGGTTTCATATTTGATATTATGAACATTTCCTAAACTGTATTGGCTGTCTCAACTATCAAGATGTCACTCTTCATGTACCGCACCAAATAATCATATTCACAATTTCACTTTTTTTTTTTTTTGGATTTGCTAGCTGATTTTATGTTTCAATGCGAAAGAATGCTTTTCAACCTTGTTTTAGCAAACTGTAACATCAAACCTATTTCTGCAAGAAAATACGTACATGAACTAGAAATGACCATGGGTCGACCAATTGAACAGTTTCACCCAATTGTCATGCCGCATACGAGTATTGAGTCGGACACAAATGGACCCATATACATTTTTCATGGTTTTTGGGTTTGGGTTGGGTTTGAAATGGGTCCTATTTTTGTCAATTCAGGTTAGACCCAAATGAGTGTACTTGGTCTAGATGATTGTATACACAAAAGAAAATATCAATCATTACATTAACGACCTTCAACCCAATTATACACATTTTAGTGTAGGTGTTTCCACATTTCTATCTGTTTCATAACAAAAAAATAAGACAAAAATTCATTATGATTGGGTACCCATTTTCTTTTTGGACTTCCAACAATATGGGTCCAATTTAGGAGCACTTCTACTATGCTTTAAAGTATTTGATGCTTTAAAGTATAATTTGAATTTGTTCCATAACGTTAAAAATACAAATTAAAGTTGTAGCATAAGAGAATTTGACCTTTATGTTATGATACGACTTCAAATTGTACTATAAAGGTAAAAACTAAAACAACAATGCTTTAAAGCAGTGTAAAATTCTTTCCAATTTAGACCCAAACTAAAATATTAGGTATGGTGATACTCTAAAAGAAAAATTACCCAAATTTGATCTAACCCATAATACGTTGGATTTTGAAAATATCCAAATACTAGGTCATTTTTCCAATATCTACATATATGTACATCTATGAAAATCCTATAATGTTTTCTTGCAACTATTATTGTCATAGTTAAAGTTAAGTATATCAATTTTGAATCTCGTATCCATCTTGACAAAGTGGAATCTATTAATGTATAACCTAGAAAGAAAGATAGAATTCGCATATTTGGTTGCGATTTGACAGTAAAAAAATTGGGCAGATAGCATTAGGGTTCAGAGCTCAAATACCATCCAGACATATTATTACTACTAGGGGTCGTTTGGATTGAGTATTTGATAAACTTGTTGTTTGGGGCCAATTACCACACAAATACCACATAATATAAAACTTGTTATTTGGTATGTGATATTTGCTCTCAAACTTGTTATTTGGGAAATACCTGCCCCTCCCAAGTATTTGGCAAACAACACTTTTTGTGTTATTTGGTCTCAAACCTGTTATTTGGCAAAACACTACATCCAAATAACACATCCCACTTTTTGTCAGCCAAACATGTTATTTGGGGTTAAATAACAGATTTTGTGTTATTTGACCTCAAATAACACCCCCAAATACTCAATCCAAACGACCCCTTAGTGTTTGGTATTCTTTTCCCAAATCAAGACATGGACACCGTTCCAACCCTCTAACTACACCCCTGGATCTATTACTATTTTGTTCAAATAAAAGTACAAATATATTCAAAATGCTTTATATGAGTATAATATTGACCAAAAGTTGTCGACAAACGGTAGGTTGGCAGTTTGATTACGGTAAAGTGATCCGTACGAATTTTTTTAATAACATTTTGTATATACGATTTCGTTCTGATTGATGTTAGATTATTTTGTTGTTCGGACATACTATTCCAGTATTGTACCATTGATCACATGGTTAGGTGTGCATGTGAAACATAACTTTCAATTTTTATTTATAAATCTTTCATTTTATTTCTCATAACGGTTAATCACACGATCTTGCTTAAATCTTGATTATTGGGAATTATATGTATTACTTCAACCGATGAGAATTAGTATGACCGGTTCTCTTCAGAAGACCTTCAAGCACCCAGAGCTGTACTGTTGGGTGCAGTGAAGCACAATTTGTTCAAAATAATATTTGGGTGTATTTTGACCCCAAAAATTAACAATTATATAATTATTAAGTGCAAACAAGGAAAATATGGCTGGAACTGAAGAAGACTTGGTCCTCCGCCTACCACTAATGCAAGGAAGTAAGTAGGGGAATATGGTAGGATCTTTTATATATATGCAAAATATCTTAATATGTATAATTTTCTATTTATTTTAAATAAGGAAAAACAGTGAGGGAAAAAGAAGGTCTGACGCGTTTTGTTAGATATTGTAGGTGACCTGTGAATCACACGGAATCTTGCTTAGATAAATAAATAAATATATATGTTATTATTATTAACTAAGAACGTGCTCAAGTGGTTCTTCTACTTGGAAGAAGTCTTTCATTAAGCGTGCTGGTAATTTCGTATTTTGTAGTTGTAGTCTAGCAAAAACACAGCTTCCTATTTTTTTTTTCTTTTCATTTTTTGTTCTTGGAAGAGGAAATGGTGGGATTGACTTTATTTTATCGTGGTACGTTGACCCAGTATTGGAGGAGGAAGCAAACAGCTACCGACTTGCATGGGCAGCCGATTTTAGATGTAGACTTGACTTTCTTCTGCTTAGAATTAGAAATTTAGAATTAGAATGACCAATTACCCGGCTGGCCGGGCAATACTTTCTAACGCTAGAATAGAACTCCCAACAATCATTTGACCAACACAAATTGAAAAATTCGTTATGATTCAACAAAGATGTTTGGGTCTTGTTGAATATTCTTTTTTTTTTTCTTTTCACAAAGCGGTGGCTTTAGAAAGACCTAAGTGTGAGACAGAAGGTAGATATATATATTTGAAGGGAATTATTTTAATTAAGAATTATGATGCAATCAAATAAAGTAGTTTTAAGTTGTGAAACGGGCGGTCAATGATTTTGTATCTAGCTGTATTTCAATATACATAGAGTACACACACATATATACCAAGCCAAATACAGATACTAACTATTAATTGTTACCTATTTCCCTACGATCCATTAGAAATGTAATTAAGTTGCCCATGGTAAAAGCGCAGGTGCGGATTAAGGATCAAACGGTCATTTCTGTATTACTTTTTTGATGGTCATCGGCAGGTTGTTTGTCGACTGAATTGTTTTTATTAGTTTGTCGGGTATTCATAGTGTTGAGGCTTGCCTTTTTTATGGATTTCTCTTGCAATAAAAAAACAACGATTCTGGTAATATATGGTAATGATTATATTTTTGTTTTTGTTTTTTAATAACTAGCTAGCTAGCTAGCATACCCATTTTATGTTAATACAATGGCGATTTCTTTGCTATGTTTTTAATTCGACAATTGGTGATTATGCAGTTTACAGGAAACATTAGGTTAATTTAAGTTCTCGATGAATGGTTACAAATGGAAATCAAACAAGAAAAATTCTTTGCTTAACGGTTTTTTGGTGAGTTATTTCGATTAACAGCCCAATTAGAGTTTCATGCGGTGGCTCCCTTATTCTTCTTAACCGGTCCAATTAACCCATCCAGAATGACCCGGTTAGCTACCTTACTTGTGCATGAGCAGTGGTCTCCTATGTGTGGGAGAATGGACAAGGCAGTCAAAACTCTATTAACTATAAAATATTTAAACATTAAAATTTCATAAATTAAAAAATAAAAACAGTAATGTATAGAATTTATGATTTTAAGGTCTGAACTATCTGAAGTACATAAGAGTTGATTGAGTTGGATTTCATAGGCAAAGTGGGCGATTTATGTTCAATGTCACATTGTCCAATGAGAAAACTAATGATAACGAGGATTTAGATGCAAATATTGTTCCTAACTGCTAAAAGGGTGATATGTATTCCATTATTACTCAGGAGATGCATTGTTGACCTTATACCATACTGTTTTAGGCGTTAACTTTTTACAAACATGTTCAAATTTTAGTATTTTAATCTAAGATTTCGAATATACAAGGTATGCATAGTCATGACAAGGAAGTAGCAAATCTGCAGGTAGGGTAGTACTGACTCGGGGGGCAATGTGTACATACATACATACCGCAATGCAAGGTTATATTATATTATATTATATTATATTAATTAGCTAGAGAGGTATTGTCAATGATGAGTCGACGTCGTCTTCCCCGCAAACTAACCCCGTTTGCATTGCGTGGAGGAAGTGGCAACTAGCTTAATTATTTGACATGAAATTAGATGAAGAGTAGATATACATTATCCACGCGTTTACGTACGTACAAAGGTTTAGTTATTTGAAATTTGCAATACGTACGTACGTTCTGTTGAATTTACAAATTAACAGCCTGGAATAGGAATAGAGAGGGAGAGAGTAGTAATAGTAAATAGTAATTTAGCTGAAAGCAGTGAAAATAAAAAAAGTTTGGTTGGCGTACCTGGCAAGAGCAGAGGGATCCCAAGCAGAGGGCACCTGTTCTCGGACGTCGTCCCGGAGGCGGAGCGGGTAGCGATCGATATGAAGATTAAAGAGAATGATGTAACAGGCATCCATCCCCAACAACTTGGTGTTACGGGCGTCGGGTCCCCACGACCCGCTCTCGAACCCGAACATGGAATTGAAATGCCCCGACGGTATCTTCCCCGACACGGAACACCTTTGGTTGAAAAGCTCCGACATCTGTCCGAATTCCAGCACGTCCGGCCGCAGCCTCACCCGCTCCCCCTTGTCGCAGCGGATGCCGCCCGCCGCCACCGCCACCACTCCGTACCCGGGGATCGGAAGGTCCCTCCTCCCCTGCGCCTCGTTCAGCTGGACCAGCCGCCCCTCCTCCCCTTTGCAAAACTTGAGATTCAAATCGGCGGTCAGGTCGAACCCTCTTCCCAAGCTCGCCACCGCCCTTTCCGCTATTCTGCCCCCCGCCGCCATCCTATTACTACCTTCACCGTCGGGGTTCATATCATGGGTTTGTTTTGTTTTGGACACACCAATTTTGCCTATGGAAGGAAGATAGAGGAGAATAATATGATAGATAGAGAGGACAGAGGAGACGACAAGGAGGAAATATCGCCAAATTGTTGGGCTTAATTTATAGGGGCAGGTGCTTTCCAATGAGATACACAACACATCCAACACATTAACTTCCACCTTTGTAAACAACGTTGAATGTTTGTGTGATCAAATTTTAAATACTAACATTTTCTTCTTGTGATTTTTAGTTGCGTTGAATATTTCATCATCTTTATACGAAGATCTCCAAATATTATTTATTTATGATAGCGTGATTAAAGAGGTGGATATTCATTTGATTTGGTGTAGAATAAATTATTTGGATAGTAACAGTTTGGTATAGAATATCTGTCTTGTTTGATTTTGATATAAAGAAAAGAGTTAGGAGGAAAAATGCTTATGTGCCTCATGTTATGCTTCATGAAATTCGGATAAAGAGATCACCTCTTCTTTTATATGCATTTTTAACAATTGTAAGCAACACAAATACACAATGCTCAATTTATAAAACTATGCACACCAATTTTTAAAAAAAATGATATAAATAGTTTGACAACGACATTAGGGATTCAATCTCCACTATTTGGAAATAGAGTTCAGTATTACCACTTTGTCAATTAACTGTGATGAGAGATTACTAGTCATTACTATTCACTCTGCCAACTATGAATTCTCATATATATGAAACAAAACTAAATTGTAACATACACATCCTCCTGTTTTGTCCGACTTTTATAAGTATTTTTTTTTTCTTACTTCAAAATATGAAGTTGAGCACAAACACCTCTACAAGTTTGACTTTTGTAAAATTCGAAAAGTGTTATATATAACATAAAACTGAAGTTTAAATTTGGAGCTTCTGCAAAAAATTATTTTAAAAATAAAAGATTATTTTTAATATTTTTTAATATTTTATAAAAAATATAATTTTATTACATTAACATAATTTAAAATTAAAATAAATTATAAAATACTAATATTTATTATCAAATAAATTATTATATTTTTTATTCATATAATATTAAAATTGTTAGTTATTTTATATTATCTCAAATATTAGAAAATACTCTATTAGTTTATTGATCAAACACTTGCTTGTTCTTTAAGTACTTCTTTAAAACTTTAACCAATTTTTTTTTTATAGTTGACCATAAAATAGGTGACATGACAATTAAAAAATATATAAATAATAAATTTTAATCTATTAAAAATTCCACCGGATTATCATAATAATTAGAAAATAAACGGGAATGGATCAGATCAGTAACTTTATGGTGAGTAACCATGAGTAACCCGTCCACATCAGCATGACATCAGCATCCTCTCTCTCCTGGAAACCCTTTAATTTTCTCCTCTTTAATCTTTGACGGACGATTTATCACTCATTTTAAGTCGAAATTTAATTTTTTTTGCACAGTTAGTTCAGATTAATTGTGCTCTTCAAAATGATATCAACTTTAATATATTTTTCAAACAAAAAAAATTGAGCCATTTTCTACCAGTCTATACCATATGGTATTGACTGTATTGAAATAAAAGCATACCTATGGTTTGAAAAACGTACCATGGTGGTATGAACAAACCAAGACTGTAAGATGGTTGAATACATGATAGTAGAAGTATATTAATTGTCATTTACGACTTTTAACATTGTATATCACACAATACCACCCCGTACCAGGGTGGTATTGTATGATATTGTGTGGTATTTTATGGTCCTGTAATTTGTTCACCTAGAAATTTGTAGATCCAATAGATCATATGATGAACTCGTCCCTTCTGTGCAAACGTTTTCAATAACGAATTAAAAACGAAGAAGACACCATACAATACCACCCCGTATCAGGGTGGTATTGTATGGTATTGTGTGGTATTTTTTGGTCATGTAATTTGTTCACCCAGAAATTTGTAGATCCAATAGATCATGATGAACTCATCCCTTCTGTGCAAACTTTTTCAAAAACGAATTAAGAGCACGATGAACTCGTTCCATCTGTGCAAAAAAAATTAAAATCCGAGTTAAAACGAAAAAGATATTAGTCAATTAAGAAAGCTAGAAAAAATAAAAATGGTTTTTAATTCTCCTTCCTTAGGTCTGAATTTTCTAAATAAAAGGTTGGTTATTGATGGGTGCATAACGGCATAACCCATGGTTATGCACCCTATCTTGAGCCAAAATAAACTGTTTGCAAAAATGGAGCCCAGATTGTTGAGCCTTAATGGGAAGCTTTAATCGGAGCAACCTCCCCATGTCGAAGACCTGGACTTCGCCGAATGCCATTCGGACGAGCATGAATGCACCTACGCCGAGCTGAGGACTCCCAAACAGAAAACCGCCACCGCGTCCACTGCGTTGCCCAGCTCCCTGAAGAACGTTCCTCCCTATCCACGAACAACGCCCGTCATCCGTGACCACCCTGTTCCCGAACCTGCCGATCGCCGGCATTCTTGAAGCATTAGTAAACACTCTGTTTCTTTTCTTACATGATGGCGCAAGAGTAAGGGTAATAGTGCCCGCCCAACTGATCAGCTTGATTAGCTCAATTCTTGTCCATATCTCGATCATGAAGGTAAAACCACCAAGCCCATTTCATATTTGATGTCGAGTTTTCTTCTTTTGCTTCATTACTAACTATGTCCAGCTGATTCATTGAATGACTAATTTTTCATTTGGGTTCCAACACAGCAAAAGTAAGTGATCAATTCAAGGTCTCAATGAATAAAGATAAGTCAACGATCCAAGGCGATGAAGATAGATAGTCGTGGGTGCCAACAGCGTCCTTGGACGGGGCGGAGAAGGCCCAAATCGTGGTCACCGGCGACGGAATCGACTCGGCGGTGCTCCGGAACAAAGTGGGACACGCTGAACTGGTCAGCCTCGGCCCTGTGGAAGAGAAGAGAAGAAGAAGGAGGACAAGAAGGCCCGCCTCACCATGTCTACCAAATGAACCCTGCCGCAGGCGGGCACTTTTACAATGATGACCCTTACTCTTGCGCCATCAAGTAAGAAACAGAGTGTATAATTACTGATGGGCTTAATTGCAAGTTTGGTCACTCGAATTGTTATAAAATTTCACATTTGCCACTCAAATTAATTTATTCCGTTTATAGTCACTCGAATTAGTTGAACAGTTCAAGTTCGATCACTCTCCGTTAACCTCCGTTAACTGTGACTGACGTGGCGGTCAACTCTGACAGTTGACCGTTAAATGTGTGACGTGGCAAATAACAAATAATTAAAAATTAAAAATTAAATTTTTAGAAATTACACATCATTATCACAAAAAATTATAATTATAAAAAATGAAAAAAAAATTATCACAAAAAGATTAATTTGATCCGATTGCTCCCAAGAGAAAGAGAGGGTCCGAGAGGGTGTGAGCATCATCGGGGCGTTACCATTTACCGGCCGGCGACGTAAATTCAAGCAAAATTAGCGAACATCGAGAACAACATAGTCGGGATCCTCGATCTATAAACCAAGTCGGATCCTCTGCTCCCTCCTCCTTCACTAGCACTACTGCTAATGCTGCTGCCGCCGCCAAGCATCTTCTATCCATACTAATAAAATCTCGAGGCTTCACAGTAAATAAGGAACGAACATGCCTGAAGTATTTCAGACTTTACCTAATTTATAAACACTCTATCCACAAACACTCAATTCTTCGAAACCCTACTACCCGAACTTACACAACTTGAGTTCTGCCTTCTCCAGCTTGGCCGCAACTTGCTCCAACGGCCGCTAGAGAGAGAGAGCTCACGCGCGCATGAGAGAGAGAAAGACTGAAAGCTTGCAAGAGAGTGAGAAAGAGAAAGAGAGAGAACATTATCATCGAGCAGGAGAATCAGAGAATTTACATCGTTTTTCGCCGGATCGAGAGAGAGAGAGATCGGAGAATCGCCGCTGATTCCGTTGGTGGGAGAGTTTTCCACGGAATCGACAGTAAGAGACCGGAGAATCGCCATTGATTTCGTCGGTAGAAGAGAGAGATCAATGTGCGTTTTCGTTTCTCGGGCATAGGATCGGAGCTGGAAATTGGGGATTTTGTGATAATTTCTTTATTTTCATTTTTTATAATTATAATTTTTTGTGATAATGATGTGTAATTTCTAAAAATTTAAATTTTATTTTTTAATTATTTGTTATTTGCCACGTCACACATTTAACACTGTCAGAGTTGACCGTCACGTCAGTCACAGTTAACGGAGGTTAACGGAGAGTGACCGAGGTTGAACTGTTCAACTAATTCGAGTGACTATAAATGGAATAAATTAATTTGAGTGACAAACGTGAAATTTTATAGCAATTCGAGTGACCAAACTTGCAATTAAGCCATTACTAATGCATCAAGAATTTGGGCTTCGATTTTGCAAACAGTCGAATTAAGGTTATTTTTTAATTATTATGATAATGAGGTGGAATTTTTAATAGATTAAATTTTATTATTTATTTATTTTTTAATTGTCACGTCACCTATTTAATCTAACGGAGACTAACGACCAGTGATCAAACTTGGACTGTTAATCTAATTTAAGTGACTACGAATGGATCGGAATAAAGTAATTCTAATCGTTAACGTGAATTTTCCTCGTAATTTAAGTGACCAAACTTGTAATTTCGCCAAGAATCATGTTATTGATTGAACAGGCCTAACCCACTCCAAGGTGTGAAAGTGGAAAGACGTCTAGAAATTTCTGCAATGGGCGATTGGACTTCATATGTGCCAACTGCCAAGTGAGGAAGTCTTATTCTGCTTTCTTGGCTTCTTTAGTGAAACCATTCACGGCTCACCTGCCACTATCGTCTATCAGCACAATGGGAGCTCAAAATTAGCTAAATTAATTTTTGTCAATGAAACAGGAACTTGAGACAGAGTCAAGTTACTCCAATTGACAAAAAGACTATTTAATTTATGCTTACCTAATTATGGACTAGTAAATGGCGATATTATTCGAAATTTGTTTTTTTTATAATGGTGATATCGTATTAATTTACTAAGGAAAAAAAAACAGAAAAAAAGAAAATGAAAGAACATGACTCCAAACTAAAAAAATGCTCCACACGAACCAACAAAAGTGGCTTTGCAAGCCGATAGATATATCTAAACTCTCAGAATTTTGCTCAACTGCCAACTAGACATAAGATGCCCAGACAACATAGAAAGAAGATGATCCAATAAGACCACTCCCATTATCTTCACGCTTGTTGTTAGGTTGATTCCACCTATCAATTCTTCACAGTCGCACATTATTAAGAATTCAAGGCTGCTCGCTGTTCTTACAAGCTGGAAGTAACTTTGTCCTGAGCATGACCATCCATTATTTTCCTATTTCACTATCAACTCTGTTTGCTATTATCAACCATCTAGCAATTTGTCATCCAATTCTATAGGATATAATATGAGGAGGTGCTGTGAAGTTTTGGCATTTTAATGTACCATAACGTTAAATGTATAAGTTCAGGTTATAAAGGAATTTGTACCCTTATGTTATGATACAAGTTCAAGTTGTACCATTACATAAATGTGCATAAAAGAATTTGTAAAAAAGAGTATAGGTTCAATATGAAATTGTACCATAACGTTACATGTACACTTTCAAATAGTACCATAAAAACAAAAACCTATAGCACAAATGCTATATATAGCATCGTAAAATTTCTCATATGAGGGTAGTGTACTTCCCCTAGAAACTTCTATTGTTCCTTTCCTTCCAAATACTCCATCAAAGCATGGTCCATGAAACCGTACCGGAGATCGTACCGGGAAAGTTAGCGGTAGGGTATTTTATGGTAAAACCGTGGTTTAACCATAGTTCAACCGTTATACCGGTAAATACCGCCTATCGGTTTAGCCTCCAATACTGGTATTTCGTGGTTTAACTGCCGATACGGTACGGTTTCATGGACACTGCATCAAAGGGCACGAAGTATAGACTTAACCATTCCTTGATCACTGAAATGATGTCATTTGGAACATATCTTCAATGTGGAAAGAGACGTAAGATCCTCCATACTAGCAGTGCAGAGCTGCTAGTTAGGAAGAGATGATTCACACACGATTTGCTGGTAGCACACAAGGAACATTCCTAAATTATAATATATTTAAGACCAGTTATCTAGTGACATATTTTACACCGTATTCATATCCTTGCCATCTTGATAACTTAGATTTACTTTATAAATACTCAAATGTGTGCTTTGCCGCTCCTGTGATCACTTTGACAATTTTGATGCTCTTTTCATAGTGTTTCATGTTTTTTCAGACCAAAGTGTTCTAGTGGACCACCTTGTACGAGTAGGAGACATCATGGCCTAACTTTTAGGGATTCAGTTAGAGAGTTCTGCTCCTACTTTCTCTCCCAGCAAACCTAATAGAAGAGCCTATTTACCTAATAGAAGAGCCTATAAATAGATCGTCTCAGCTTTCATTTGAGACACAAGTTGCACATGGCTTTACTCTGCCAACAGTGGAACTCTCCGTTCCCTAAACGATCCTAAAACTTGAGGGCATAACGCTGGCAGAATTGGCGACTCTTTAGATTGCCATTTTTCCAGATTTTTGGGAATCTCTTCTTAAATTGTTAATTTTTCTAATTCTTGTCCACATAAGTGGCTAGTTCGTTATTCATATAGGTTTGCAAACCCTAAATGATATTTAGACGATGTAATGTTTAATTCTTGGTTACACATATACATATAAATGATGTTTATTGGAATCTTCCTTGTTATGTTTACCGTAGTTTAATGTATAGGTGTCAATCAGCTGGGTTTGGGTTGGGTTCAATCGGGTTGTGGGTTATTCGGGTTGCCGGTTCATCAGGTTGTCGGTTCATCGGGTTCAGGTTCATCGAGTTCAGATTCAAACGGGTTACGGGTTAGTTTACCAACTTACACATTTTATTACACTAATTTAAAATATATAAAAAAGGAGAGTGGTAAAATGAGTTATTTCGAAATAATTCATTGCCCAAATAACTTCAGTAAATTATTGACAAAAGAGTTATTTGTAAAATTGTTCGAATTACCTTAAAAATTGAACCATTAAAGATTAACTATCAAATTTAGTAAAATTGTTGTGACTTCAATTATAATTTTTTTTTTATAAAGATGAAATAGTATTAATAAAAAAAAGGAGAAAGTTTACAGAAAAAAAGCAAAGAGGAAAAAAGAGGCAGCAAGCAAATGTAATAGTGGAATGCAACAGCAAAACAATTGCCGGAAACCACTACAAACAAAGCCAAACAAAACTAAAATGAGGCCAAGTCTGGTGAGACAGAGCGAAAGGTCATTCCATTGCTTAGCTGTTGTGGTCCGATCTTTGTGCGAGCAGTCTCCAAGACAGCAACATCAAAAGAAGGATAGTGCATTAGATGCGAACAAACAGACTTGTTGCATCCTACCAACAGCTGTGAACGTTCATTCACAACACCATCTCAGTCAAAGCCCAAAGGAAGCAGCGTGCAAGTAGAAATCTCATTGACAAACTGACTTCAACTATAACTTATTCAATAACATATATCATATACACTTAACTTTATCCTCAATCGACAATATTAAGTTAGTATAAGTTGTTTATCGTATACCCTAAACTATCAATAGATTATACACTAATCACATACTCTATACTCTAACCATATATCCTTATGAGTTGTGATTTTGCTAGTATAGTTAATTTAAAGTGAAATTCATACTTTGATTTTCAAAACATAGATAAAAAAGTGATATTTGCTATACCCTAACCATATATCCTATACTCTACACCATATACCCTATACCCTAACCACTTGCAATAAATGTAGAAGCATAGGAAATAAGTAGACAAATTTAGTGATTTTTTCTAAAACAAATTATTGTTGTAACAAATGGTTAATTTAGTTATCTCCATATAAAAATTAAAGATTCATATTTCAAAGGTTGAAAACTCAAAATTAGAAACACTCAATTTTCCCTACTCTTTCTCTTTAATAAAATTGAAGAACCAAATTTGCCTCTTCCTTTCTTCATTTCACAAAAAGTTGAAAACTCAAAATTTGGCTTCTTATTTCTCTTTTATAATTAAAAGAACCAAACTTTTCCACTTCTTTGTCTTCCCACAAATCAAAACCACCAAATTCCCCCTTGTTTCTTTTCTAAAAAATTTCAAAAAACCAAATTTCCCTCTTATTTATTTTCCCCAAAAGTTGAATACACATCCTGGAGATCGAAGAAACTTATGCAGGGCGGTTACAACTGGTGTCTTCTGTGGTAATGAGTGTTGTCCAGTACTGGCTTCAAATTATTATCATGCCAAAGAAGGCTCTAAAGCGAATACAGAATGTATGCCAAGACTTCTTATGGCATGGTGAGGAGGCAGGGAGAGCAAAAGTGGCTTGAGATCACATTGCACTACCCAAAAATGAAGGTGGCTTAGGGTTGAGGGACCTGACTTCTTGGAATCGGGTTTGTTCTCTGAGGCTTCTTTGGCTCATGTTGATGCAATTAGGCACTTTTTGGGTAGCCTGGGTGATGGCGTATTGCTGTAAAGGGGATGAAGTGTGGCAATTGAAGATCAACTACAGCAGCTCCTGGGAATGGAGGAAGGTACTGCGCCTTCCCCCTAAAGTTCAACATCTTTTGTGTAAGCAAGGAAGTATTGCTCTTTGGGATGGACAACCTATGGAGCAATACTCTGCTAAGCGTGTATGGAACACACTTTGCCCTAGGTGCAGCAAGCAACCTTGGGATAAGTTGGTTTAGGGAAAATACAGTATCCCTATATTCAATTTCATTGCTTGGCTTATCATGACTACTCGAAGCAAGTTACATAAATGGGAAAGAATTAGTGATGACAGGTGTTTACTATGTGGATTGGAAAGTGAGAACAGGGAACACTTGTTTTTTGCTTGTACGTTTGTGCAACATCTTTTGCAGGTTGCTGGTGTTGCCCAATGGTTTGCAGGGGCCTGGGATAGCTTATTGAGCTCAGCAAGTGGATTGTCAAAAGAAAAAATAGTAGCAGGGAGAACAATGTGTGTGTTGTGGTGTGGAGTATCTGCTGCAATATGGCAGGAAAGATGTCGCAGGTTTCATGGTGAAAGTCCTAGAAGTGTTGATGATGTTTGAAGAAGCCTAAAGTTTGATTTGAGTTGTAGGTTAAGTGTTGATTTGTCTTTATATTACGATTTTGAGTGTATAGGATTACTGGAGAGCATACATAATTGATCTCATCCCTGATTACAAAGTTGGTAGCTAGTTGAATTGAGAGGATCGATTCTATCTTTTCAGGGAAGTCCACAATGGACTCTCCTACTTTGTTTTATCAATCTAGCATCGTGTTTTGCGATGCTTTGCTTAATAAAAGTGGATCTGATTAAAAAAAAAGTTGAATACACCAAAATTTCTCTCTTCTTTTAAAAGCAACAAATTACCAAAGATATTACTTTATTTACATTTAATTGATAACTTTATTGAATAGTTAAATTTACCAAAATTTTAATTCATATATTATATTAATATTTTCCATGTCTCATTAATGAATTCTTCATTATTAATATTGACATTGTGCTAATTTTATATTTATATTTACTTTTTTAATTTTCTTAAAGAGCTTAGCGTTCAAGTTACGTTCATGTTTCAATTTTTTGTAATTTTCTTAAAAATATTATATAAAGTGAGTTTCATATTTTTAAAATTCCCTATACGAAATGAAAAAAATAATTTTACTTAAGTTTAGAATGAAAAATTTTATTTTGAAAAACTATGTATTATATAATATAATAATTATTCAAGTGGATTAGGTGAAGTTTGGGTTGAGTCGGTCGGGTTACGAGTTGGTCGGGTAAGGGTTAATCGGCTTCGGGTTAGTCAGGTTGTGGGTCAATCGGCTTTGGGTTAATCGGGTTACGGGTCAGTCGGGTTTGGGTTAATCGGGTTGTGGGTCAGTCGTGTTGCAGGTCAATCGGGTTGCGGGTCTGGAGGGTTACAGATTGTTGACTTTTAGTCAATACGGGTTGCGGGTTGGGTTGATCCGGTGGGTTAGTCAGGTCTGGTTCTGTTTTGACACCTATTGTTTTATGTTGTGATTATGTTGGATGGATTGCGACAAGTAAGTCCTCAAGATTTTGTAGATCATATGTGGTAGGGGTGTTAAAATGGTTACAGTGGTAATAACCAAACCAATTAAGCCTAAATTTAATTAACCATGGAATAAAATATCTTAACCAAACCGTCCAAATTAACACAAAAACCAAATTAACCAAACCAAAGTTTAATTGGTTTGGTTAATCGGATAATCGGATTAACCAAATAGCATAACATTACATGAAAATAATTATCATGTTAATGAATAAAACATAACCATATGTTATTACTATCATAAACTATTATTATATATAAGCAATAATAATAAGACTAACCATCCACGATTATCATCATCATTCGAGTTCATACATCATTCATCATCTCTGCACCTAATATAGTTAGCTTACAACAAACCCTTAACATATATATTAAATACATACCAATACCACTCATCGGGAAGTTAAAGTTCTCCTTACATAGTTTGAGGTGGCTGTCATGGTATTGTACGTAATCCTAAAGTCTAGTAGCTATCCAAAATGTTTTGGTTTAGTAAATAGGCAGACTCATTTAATTTTTGACCCATAATGTTTTGGTTTGTTGTGCACATTGAAATAAAATAGGGAATCACGAAAGTTTGGTTTGGTTGGTTGCATGGAAGTATAAATAATTTTGTATATTAGGTGTATCATTATTTGGTTAATTAGTTTCATTGGTTAGCAGTGTTGAAACCAAACCAAACCACCTAAACCAAATAAGCTAAATTGTTTAACCAAACCAAACCAATTATCCAAATTAACCAAACCAAATTAACCGAATGTTACCGGTTAATATGGTTACCATGGTAACCAATTCGTTTGAACACCCCTAATATGTGGTACACAGATTGGATGAGACCTTAACTGCATGATGTGACACATTCAACATGTATGTCGACAATCAAGTGCATACCTAGCACATAACCCATGAGTCAGGGATGGCAATGGGTCGAGTTGGGTCGGGTTTTGTCAAACCCAAATCCATGGGTTTATCCGTGGAAAAAAACCCGGGGTAAAATCCACTAGGTTTGAAAAACTCAAATCCAACTCAACCTGCTGGGTATCCGTGGGTTCATGGGTACCCATGGGTTTTTGTCGTAAAAAATTTACAATAAAAGTTCCTATCAAAATAAAAGTCAAATATCAATCTCTCAATACAAATTATCCATATATAAAACACCATTCTAGAAAATTCAAGCAAATCACAAATTAACCATACAAATTGTTCAACACCAATCTAGAAATCTCAAGAAAATTGAAGCATATCACAAATTATCCATAAACAACATGATTAATTGAAAACTTCTTCCTCCTTGTCAATTAAGCTTCTTCACTCTCCACTCGATAATATCAACTTCATTCTACACAATTAGAAAGAAAAAATTAGACATGTATCCACAAAAATAAAGAAGATTAGTTGTTTAGAATATTAAATATACTGGGAAATTAATTATATGGGTGTGGGCGGGTACCCATGGGGCGGGTTTACCTAAACCCAAACCCAACCCGGTGAATAGTGAACGGGTTTAAACCCAACCCTGCCCAAAACCCGTCAACACGAATTTTACCCGCGTTGACCGGGTTGGGTCGGGTAGGGTACCCATGGGTTCGGGTTTTGTTGCCATCCCTACCATGAGCAAGTTGTCAAGTGGGAAAGATAGGTCACATGATCATCTTTCTGGAGTCCTTCTTTGCATAGGAAAAGGAAGGAGAGCGGCAATGGAGAGGTTTTCCTAACAACAGCTTGTGACGGTGGGCACCGTCTCCGTTTTTCTTTTTTGATCTTTCTACCCTATTCTGTGAAGGATAATTCAAATAAGAGGGTTTTGGATGTCATTGGATTGCCATGCTACATTTCACCATTTTCCTTTAAGTTGTCTATGAATTTTAAGACAAAAAAAAAATCGTAAAAGCAACAAAACAGAGGGAGAGTAAGTGCTCCTCCTCGTCAACAATAATACAAAGAAACAAAAACAAAAACGATCATCGAATTGTCTCATAATTATTTCTACAATGGCATTACTTTAACCATTAATTCAAGTATTTGGGTCTACCCCACACTTTCTGCATTTGAATTCTTTTGGACACAAGTAGAAATTGGATTCAAAATTAAATAAATGCTTCCTAGATCATATCTAAGAGTATTGGGTACCTACCTCGATATCAACAGGATGTCTAAAGAGACAAGCTAGTGATACAAATGATGATGGTTTTTTAGAAATCCGGGTTGTCTCCTAGGTAATACTTTTCTTTTACATCTTTAAATTGGATGCCAGAGATGGGTTTCCTCCCATGAATTGCCTTTTCTTTTATGTCTTTAAGCTAGGCATAACTTCAAGTTCATCAAGCCCCCCGTACCTTCACCTACTGCTCTCCATCCTCACATACACCTCTCCTCCTCACAGAACTTGATAAAGAAGTGACTCACTACCACTACAACTCAATTCTAGTCATAAGCCAAGTGTGAACTATAACAGATGTAGTATAGATTAAGTATTTCAAATATCAATCCGGGCGATCTATATACCCTTACTTCATCCATCTACAAACTTACCTAAACAAGCAATCAATTAAAACAATGTTGAATTCAATCAAGAAAAGTTCGCTAAGGCATTATTCCCCCTAGTCCCTTGTTGAGATACAAATGTGATACTCCAGTGCAATAGGTAAGTTCATATACCGTTAGGAGATCTAAAATAGTTAGGACCCCCATTTGAGTGCATCCTTGGCCGAAAATTGATCTAATCGAAGGGACGTACCACACAACCCCAAAAGATGACTAAGACAATCGATTCCACTCCCTTAGAAATTGACCCAAAATGGTGTTGCATAGTCTAAGGTAACCACAAAAGATGATTAAGGTAATCACAATGATTCATGACACTCTGCGATGGTTGAGGAGTGACCGAATTGCACTTAGGGGATTTTCTCCCTTTTATGTCAATTTTCCCCAAAATCGAGGGATTTGATCAAGAACACTCAATTTGCATGAAAATAACTCAATTAATATATAAATCACTATATCCACCAACACAATGAGTTCACAAACTACAATCTACAATATTCTAGACTAGGGTTCATAACATCCAAGTGAATAGAGGAACTGCTTCATAGTTAGAAGAGAAACAACATCTAGAATAGAAGAAAACCCCATGGGAAAGTGATTCGTCTTCTTCTTCCTAGTTGCTTGGGTTGGTGTTTGGAGATGAAATTTGCCCTCCAATTGCCTTGGGAAGGTCGATGTCACCTTCACTCTTCCTTGTTGGTAGCTCTCTCACTCTAGGTTTGAAGAAGAAACCTAATTCTCTCCCCAAAGAGTCTCCTCCAAGAAATCTATTCTCTCTCCTTTATATAGTCTGTGAGTGCGTGTTTCACGGTTGCAAATCACGCCAGTGAAGTATGCAATGAAACTGTGATTTAAACTCAAAATGCATCATTTTATTAACACACTTAATGGGTTGGTTGCTGACTTCACGACATGGGACCGCGATCCTTACAATGCCAGCGAATTTCACAAAACCTCCTGGAACTTTGTAGATTTCATGGTTTCTGCATCAACATCACAGTTGCTGCCCGTGACAATTCTTGCCAGCCCGTGATCCTTGAATCAAAATCCCCCACACTTGAATGTTTGCTTGTCTCCAAACAAACCTACTCAAACCAGTACAACTTGTAGGACAATAAGAGTGGTATGAACTATCAATCATTAGTGGTAAAAAACAATCGAAGTCGGGTAAACTTTTTTTTGATAATGGTGAAAGATGCATTGATAACGAAAGAGGAAAAAATCATAGGTGAAGTTGAAGCTGCGCAAGAGGTACAACAAGAAAGTCCACAAATATACAACAAAAAAGCTACAGAAAGAGAAGGAAACACAGAAACTCGACACAAAGACAGGACTAGGCTGACCAAACAGCCCCTGTCCTGAAACCTGTAACAAACTTAGAGGCACACAACTGGCTTAAACCAGAGCGCCCAACCAGCGCAAACGAGCAAAAACGAAAAAAATAACGACAATAGGTCTCCAAAAAGACCAACAGAAAAAAGATCTAATGACTCTGGAAGTTAACTGTATTCAACCACTCCATTCCTTGCTCTTTGTCGACCTTTCCGAATACGGCTAGCCATTCAACGATTGAGCAGATGGATTTCTGGAAAATAACACTAGACCCTTGGCATCGATCTCTGAATGTACGATGGTTCCTCTCAAGCCAAACCTGCCAACAAATGACATAAAGCGCCCCATAAACAATCCAATCAAAGAATTTATCCGGGTAGTTACAGCTCCATCTTCTAATAGTGTACAAGGATGTCCCCTGAGGGTAACGTTATGTTGTTGCAAACACTCCCAACTGCATTCCAAATTTCCTTGGTGAAGTCGCAATCAATGAACAAATGATTTATGGATTCCTCAGCTTTGCGGCACAAAATACACCGGCTGGAAAGAGCCCATCCTCTCCTCTGCCGATTGTCAAGGGTAAGAATCTTCTTGTGCGCCACTGTCCACATGAACGCACGAATTTTATGCGGAACAAAATTACGCCTTACGGACTCATTCGGGAATTGCCGAATGCCTGGGAATCTGCTGCTAGTCAAGTGCCTGTATATGAGACGAACATAAAACTGCATATATGGTTTTGGAGACCATACCAGCCTACTTGGACCACAAGGGATCAAATTAAGATCAGTAGAATTAATAAAATTTAAGAAGTTTAATCTCTCTCTCTCTCTCACACCACAGGTAAACTTTACTTCCATTTCTTTGTGTCAAAAGACTCTCGCATAAGGACCTTGTCATCTAATGAGTCATAGACACTTCACATGTGCACTAGGGAACTCATATAAAACATGTGAAAAGCAAATGACTCCATGGTGGTGCTTGATTTGAGGCTAATTACACATATTTTACCCCTAATTTCTTGATAATTTGACTTTGCAAATTATCGTCCCTCAACCTATTTTACGCTAGATTGTGCTATTTTTGTTATATTTCAGGTCCTAGGATGTGTGGAAGGTTCGAGGACGAGTTTTGGGACAATTGGAGTCGAAAAGTGCCAAAAAGTGAAGAATAGTCTAAAGTCACGGTTTGGGCGTGATTGTCACGGTCTCTGGGCGTGACAATTGACTAGAGGGCGTGAAGTTACCGAGGAACATAAGATTTTTACGTCTCGCGGGCCTACAGGTTGTCATTGTCACCAGATCTTGACAATTTACCATAGACCATGATGTGATGTCGGACAAAAATGGCAGTAGTTTCCTGCATTTTAGGATGATGCCACGGTTTGAGCTCCATTATTGGATGATTGAGTGTTGTAGCTCATTATTGGGACATTTTGACCTAGGTGGAGAGAATCCCCTTGTTGTTAGAGGCTTTGAGATGCTGGATTTCCTGGACAATTTGTGTCACCCACCTAGGCAAATGAGGGAAAACCTCAAATATAGGATTAGTTACATAATTCCATCTTGATTTGGTCTCTATCCGCCGTCCAGATTAACTATTTTTTCTTGCAATCTTTGTTTGATCGGTTAAGAGATCAAGATTTCTTAGCTTCTAGTTGCAATCCTTAGTCGAATGGTTAAAAGAGCTAGACTACCTAGCTTATAGTTGAAACTCTTAATTGGTCGACTAAGAGAGTTAGGGTATCCTAACTAGTTGCATCCGCCTCACGGTATATAATCACATCCTTCACACTAGAGTTTCTCTCTTTGTTTCTTAACATGGGACTAGAGGGAGCAATACCGAGGTGAAGTCCTCTCATATAGAATTCTCCACAATTAACTTACTTTCTTGCTTGTTTATTTTGTAGTTTTCTTAGTTTTTAAACTCCAAACTGTTTGCTAGATAACGACCTAAGCGATTGAAGTAGGGGTACATGGACCGGCCTGGGTTGACAATTAAAATGCTTGCCCTATACTGCACCCTTCTAGAGTTTATACTTTGGCTCTAGTTGGGATTTTATTTTGTGGCAGTCGAAGTGAGTGAAGTTTTTGGCGTCGTTGTCATGGAAAGGTTACTGTATGTTATCCAGAAAAATTCGTTTATTGTTACTCTAGCATTTTCTTTCTTTCTTGTCTTTTGTTTTGTTTTGTGTTTCATCTTTTTGTGATGCAGAGTTGAGCCATGGATCTTGATAGCTTCTCCTACACGTGGGGGTATCAACCAACACCTGAATGGTGTTACCCCGAGCCAACATGGAGCTATCAAGAAGGAGAAGAATACGAATTCGGGGTCAACAGCCAACTACCTTCCTACGATAAGCAACCATATCCCCCATATATTCAAGAGTTCCAACATACTATGAAAGTTACCCTCCACAACATGAAGTGAGGAGCCAATTGGAGCTATTGGTGGAGAAGTTCGCATCAGATAATGAGAAATCATACTTTGGACAGGCCTTCCCAACATTGGATCCAACTCACTCGGATTTCCTCTATGAAGCGGAGGAAATACGCAAGAGCACGAAGAAGCTAAAATCGTTGGTCAAGGAAGCTTTGCAAAGTTCACTCAAGAACGATTCTTAGTGGTTGATGAAGAAAAGGAAGATGAAGAGGCAAGCCTAGAGGATGAGTTGGAACGTTTGGAAGTTGTCACGGATGGCCACCATGATTCTCAAGAATTGGAATGTCCTCTTGAGGTAGTCACCGCTCTTCCACACTTCATTTCAAGAGTGGAAGAGGAGGTTCTTAATGAGGAGATGAGGTCCGAGTCAATCAAATACATCTCTTGGAAACTTGATATCCAATGCATGCTTGCGGAAGGGCGCGTGAAGATGAAAGAAGAAGTTGTGGAGAAGGTAGAAGAAAATGAAGAAGAATTTCTTGAGGATCCACAAGAGGAGGATTATGAAGAAGGGGAGGAGTTGGATGAAGCAATTGGCTTTCGTTCTAACTTGGAAGTCTTGGTGGAAGAGGCTTGCATCAGCCACGATATTATTGCAAAATATCCACCAAACTTCAAGGAGTTGCTTGGCAAGGATCCTTTTTCCGATCACTCTTTGCTTGACCAAAGTCACACCGTCATCATTCTTCCTTGATGGATTCGATGGTGGAGAGTTGATGTTTTATCCGGTTTGGGGCAAAGAGGGAAGAGAAAAAGTGAAGGAGAGGTCTCAAGGGTGGAGTCTTGACTCGCACGAAACTACACTGCGAATTAATCCCGACTAGAGCCCAAGTTTTTAAACTTTAGCCAGGTGCAGAATAGGGCAAGTATTTAATTGTCAAAATCGGGCCGGTCCATGTACCCCTACTTCAATCACTTAAGTTGTTATCTAGCAAAACAATTTTGGGTTTAAAAGTAAGAAAACTACAAACTAAACAAGCAAGGAAAGTAAATGGAGTAGAATTCTACTCGAGAGGACTTCACCCGGGTATTGCTCCCCCTAGTCTCAGGCTAAGAAGCAACAAACAAAGCTCCAGTGTGAAGGACACGTTCATGCACCGCGAGGTGGGTGCAACTAGCTAGGCACAAACTACCTTAGTTGATCAATGAAGGAAAATCAACAAATAAAAGCTTGGAGAACTAGCTCTCTTAACCGTTAGGTTAAGAATTGTGATTAATAGCTACGGAACCCAACCCTCTTCACCAATCAACAGAGGAGATCCCTAACTCCCTTTCGTTAGCTAATTGAGAATCGTTGCAACAAGTTAGAAAGATAACTCACTTAACCTTTCGGCTAAGGGTGAAAACGATAGGATAGGACACCTAACCCTCTCGACTAGGTGACTAAGGATTGCAAACCAAACCCTCAGAACTTAAATCCGGTCGGCGGAGAGACCAATCCCGGTGGAATCAAGGTCCTACTCTGATACTTGAGATTTTGGTCTTAAATCGACCTAAAGGAGGTTACCCAAGTGGCTAAGAAGTCTAGCTTCCAATTGGACCAAAAGGGGATTTCCACTCTCTAGGTCAATTTTACCCAATATTGAGTTAAAGCTAGCACACTCAATCATTCATGAATAATACCTCAAATATCATATAAAACACACAATAGGTTCATGTTCTTACATCCTAACACGTAAAGAAACTAGGATTCACAATACCCAAGTGAGTAGGTAGGCTATTCCATAGCTAGACGAGAGAAAACAACAAAAGGGGAAGAAAGAACCATGAAGTGATGCCAATCTTTCCTCCTTGTTGCTTGGTACACCCTTGAGATGAAGAAATCTTCAATCCTCTAGCTAGGATCAAACCCAAAGCTCCTTCTTCCTCCTTTGATTTGTACTTTCTCACTCTAGAAGAAACCCTAACCTCTCACTAGAATCCCTCTTTATTCTGAAAAATGAAAACCTAACCTAAAAATGAAGCCTTTCTCTTCTTCCTTTGAGCTCTCCCTTTATACTGAGATCGAGCTGAGTTCACGGCCTTCCAGTTCATGGTCGTGAACTCCTCAACGCGTCCGTGAACTCGGAGTACTGTGTCGAAACACACCGCTTCACTCACTTGAGTTCACGATTTGCACTCAATGTTCACTGTCTTTGTGAATTTGAACTCACTCGGCGTCAGTAACCTCTGAATTCACCCTGGACGCTTCGTGGCTCATGATTTATGGCTCCAGTTCACGACCTTAGAGGCCGTGAACTCCATTACTAGGTCGTGAACTGCAGCAGATTCTAGGATGCCATTGTTTCACTGTTACGAGGCAATTGTCACGGTCTATGGACTTTTCTTCGGTTTTTGCACTTTTTGCCCTCCAATCGCCCCAAAACTGGTCCTCAACCCTTCCACACGTGCTAGGACTAGAAATGTATCAAAACAAGCACAACCTAGCATGAAATATGTCGAGGGACGAAGTAATGCAAGACCAAACTATCAAGAAATGTGGGTTAAAATGTGTACAATTGGGCTCGAATCAAGGTTTCAACTTACTCAAGTACATGAGTTGTCATCAACTACTATTCCATATATGCTCATGACTTGAAGCTACACCTAGAAGACAAGAACCTCAACTTCAAGGAGGTTCTATACTGGACCGAGGCTTAAGGAGAAACCGTCTGGCTTATGGCATAAAAGTAGCTCTTGTTGGGAGGAAACCCAATGCCAGTTCGTGTTTCTTTGCCCTATTTTTCTCTGTTTCTGTGTGTGTTTGAGTTAAATGGGCGAGTTCTGCATGAGCACCATGCTATGGTCTATGTGTTTGAATGTCTGAATGAGTGGTGTTTGAATTAGGGGCACAGTTGAATAGATTAGAAGTTGAAAATTGTCAAAACGCTCTGTTTTTATCATTGTCATGGTTTATGGTCAAATGTCGCGGCTTGTAGACTGTGACAATTGAAGCCAAACCGCGACATCGGCCCAAAATGTGTGAATTGCAGTTTTCAGGTTTAAATGAAATTAGACCCAAATGGTGCATTTTGGTACCATGTCGCGGTTTGCAGGCTATTGTCACGGTCTCAAGACCGTGCGAATTCACACGAAACCGCAACTCTCACCCTCGAGCAATATATAAAGGGTTCGTGACCGCCCTCTCTTCACGCCCTCATTTTTGCCGGAATTCTCTTCAACTACCCAATACCGCATTAACCTTCTGTATTTTGTCGATTTCATCAACTTCAAGCGACCCAAATAAAAAACCGAGACTCAACCCATATTCCCCTCGTCAAGGTGCCCCTTTTCCATGGTTTTGGAGTGATTTGGCTCTAATTTTTATGGGAGGGCGATTTATGGCCGATTTTTGACACCCTTTCCATATCGTCACCTTCCTCTCTAACCCTACTTGCATCTCCAGGTCTGTCTTGAACTTGCCCATAGTTGAGTTTGGAGAATCAGGTTAGAGTTCTTAGGTGAGGAGAATTGAGAAATTTTGTGTGGCATGACATTAATGCAGGCTCCTAAGTCCTCCAAGGACTTGTCTGTGTGACATGTTCCACTCCAAATAGGGATAGTAAAGATACCTAGATCCTGTTGCTTATCAGGCAACTTATTTTGGATAATTGTCGAGCACTCCTTGCTCAGGGATAGTAAAGCTACCTAGATCTTCATGAATTTTCCAAACTCCGCCTTCAAATGGTCCGTGTGAAATCTTGTGGGGAAAGGAAATGGATGCTTGCACTCAACCACGAGGGGTGGCGTTGGCGGTGCCTTCTTAGCCTCGTAGTCATTTCCCTCCATAGGATTTTGTTCATCGACCTTTGGAGGGGCTTCTCCCTCTTCTTGTATTATCTTCTTCGTCGCAACATCTTGAGTTACCTTCCCACTTCTTAGTGAAATAAAATGCACCCACGCTCTTGGATCTTTGTGGTTAGCAATGATTTGTGAAGGTAGAGCTCCTTGTGGTCTCTTCATGAGGATTTCGTCTAGGTTGCCTATTTGAGTCTCCATTTTTTGAAGGCTTGCTTGATGACTTATTAAACCCGCCTAAACTAAGGTAAACTTGTTTGTTGGAACTTTCAAAAACTTCAGAATCTTCTGAAACTTTTGAGTACTTGAACTAGCAAAGGTTGTAACTAGGTCTTCCAGTTTGGAGACCTTGTCGAGTTGTTGTTGTTGTTATTGTTGAAACCGTTGCACACATTATGATTAAAATTGTTGTTTTTGATAGTTTGAGGATTGGAATCACGGTTTTTGTTAAACAAATGGAGATCTTGGTTGATAACCTTTGGTTGGTCCTTGGAAACCGGGTGGTCTTGGATTAGTGGGTGAAGACCATGCAAAATTTGGATGATTGCTCCATCCTGGATTGTATGTATTTCTATAGGAATTGTTGTTATTGTTGGTCCACGTAGCATTAGCAATGAAGTGAACTTGCTCTTCTAGAGTGATTGCCTCCATAATAATTTGACATTCTTTTACTACATGACCGGGACTATAAGACCATTCACACACCATAACCAAACTCTTGCCTTGGTTTCTATCCTTCATCAACAACTTGAGCAACCCATCAATCTTCATTTCAAGTGAAGAACAATCTTCGCTTCAAGTGAAGGAATGCTTAAGTGGAATGCACTCCCTTCTCAAAAATCTTCCTTCTTCACCTTGTCATACCACAACCATAGCCCTTTGCAGCCATTTATTCAAACAATTCTGTCATTTGCGGTGGAGTCTTGTTAAGCATATTCCCTTGGAACAAGTAATCGATGAGAATATGGTCCTATTGAAAGTGACCATTGTAGAAAGTTTCAATTCAAAATTGCTCATCAATACCATGGTGTAGGCATTGGAGAAAGAGATTGGAGTAGCCCTCCCAAGCACCCCTCAAAGTCTCATCATCTTCTTGAAAAAAATGGGTGATCTTCTTTTGACACTCCGCCATCTTAGAAGGTGGAAAGTACACTGCCATGAACTTGGTCAACAAGTCCTCCCAAGATGTGATCAAGAGTGGAGATCTATTGTTCAACCAACTTCCTGCCTTACCACTTAGGGAGTAGGGAAAGAGTCTCACAATAGCATTAGAGTATCACAATAACATCTCAACGTGGGAGTAGGAGGAATATCGTCTAGGGATATTTTCTCGATTGAATTCAACATCATTTTTATTGCTTGCTTAATTTATTTGATTTATCAACAATTCAATTTCTAGATAAGGGTATATAGATCTCCAAATAAATACTTACTCTATAGTAGACCCGGTTATAGGTTACACTTGACTTATATTTGAAATACTTACTTTGCTCTCCTCGAAATTATCATACTCTATGGGCTTCTTTTGTTCCTTCATCTCCAATAGACCCCACTAATTGATGCATGATCTCTCCTACTTGTAATGTGATTTCTCGTTTTATTGCATTGATGATGGCATCGAAAGTGTCCAGAAATGGTCTACCAAAGATCGAGGAGTACGGGGTCTCTATCTCCATGTCGATCACCACATAGTCTAGAAAGAAGATAAATGGCCTGATCTGGGTGCTTATTCCTCGAACTACTCCAAGAGTTTGACATGGAGTGTTGTTTACTAAATTGATCTCCATTTCTATCTCCATCATGTCAGCTAGACCCATATATTTATAAAATGGAAGTGGTAGGATGTTGGTACTAGAACCAAGGTCCACCAATCCTTGTTCTAGATAATGGTCATCTTGGAGAAAATTGATCATGCCATGACTAGGATCCTCCTTTTCTTCGTATACTCGAATGAGTCTTTGATGTCAAATGACATTTGAGTTGATGCGAGTCTTCTTAACCTTCCCCTTCTCCATAGTAGCAATGCTCTCCAACAATGTCATGGTACTCTCTCTTCCTCTCAAAGCTTGTATCAATTTATGCACAATTGAGGTATGTTGAGAGGCTTCTTTATGGATGGCCAGCTCCTTTCCCATGGTTGCGTCATCGTCTTTGTCTTCCTCCATGGCTTGATATTTCTCAATTGCATGGTCTTGACCAAGCTCCAACGGCTTCCTCCACATCTCATTTTCTACTTCTTGGATGGCTACCTCCCTCTCACTTCCTTGCGTTGATGCTCCTTCTTTATCCTCCACCATCTCACAAGGATGGGTCTTCACAACTCCTCCTTCCTTGAAAGTCTTCTTTAAAAAGAGTGATGCCAAGTTGATCACCGAATTTTGGGTCTTGATGCTCTTGATCTTTGTGAGTCGATGTGAGGAAAAAAGAAGAGGGGCTGCCCTCTCTTTTATAGATGAGAGACAGGTGGGTGGCGGGTGGTACCGCCACTTGTTTCCTCTTCGGATATAGAATTTTTTGAGTCTTTGTTCTTGTAGGACTTGAAAAATGTACGGGTGGTGGTAATGACGGGTGGACCCATCGTCGTTTTCTTTGTAGGAGAAGGACTACTTTGAATCCTTCTTCGTGTTGGAGATGGAAATTCGGCCTCGGGCAAAGCCATTTCCTACAGCAGTGGTGGAATACGACCTTTATTGCCGTTATACTAGCAAAGCCATTTGGAGTTATACTTGGCTAGAAATGGGGTAGGTTGACTCGCTCTGACTATCACAATAAAATCCCACCTAAGGTCCAAGTATAAACCTTAGATGGGTGCAATATAGGGCAAGTATGTTTAAATATCGACCCGGGCCGGTCCATGTACTGCTACTTCGACTGTTTGTAACATTATCCAGCGGATTGGTGTGGTGAAAACAAAGGTCTAAAACTAAATTTCTTTGTAAAGGTAAAATGGAATTGACTCAAGTTGAGAAATCTTCATCCGGTTGTTGCTCCCCCTAGCTAAAAGTTATGACTTGAAGAATCGAACGGTCGTGTTTGGTTAGGGGGTCATAAACCGCAGGGAAGTCAAACAAGCAGCTGAAGCTACCCTCTTAGCCTCTAGTTTGAGGAATGAGATACAATCCAAGCCACTAATGTGTCCCTCTCAACCTATCAACTAAGGAATGGTTACACTTCACCCTCGAATTGGAGTTCGGACGGCCACCCACAACCAAACCCTAAGTGCTGATGTGAATTAGGAGGTTTTCCCTTTAACTAACCTAGAATAGGAAGCATAGAATGCCCAAGGAAGCCCATCTCTAATAGAGCCTCTTAAGTTAAGGAGGGTTCTCTTAAACTAACTTAGGACGCATTGAATGCCCAACGAAACCCATCTCAAGATGAGCCTCATAGGTTAAGGAGGGTTCTCTCTAAACAAGTTTAGGAGGCGTTGAATGGCCAAGGAAACCAAGCCTCTTGGGTATGGGAGGTTTCCTCCCTAAATTAGCCTACGAGGCATGAAATGCCCAAGAACACCCATCTCAAATTGAGCCTCTTAACGTAAGGAGTTTTCCTCTCTAAACTAGCCTAGGAGGCATGAAATGCCCAAGAACATGAGTTCACGGCCATGAACATTGAAACACGTCCATGAACTCAGTGCTGCGACCAAAACGCAACGCTTTATTTGCTCGGGTTCACAGTCAGCGGCCTCTGTTCCCGGTCTTAGCGACAGTGAACTGCTTGGGCGTTAGTAACCTGAAAACCCCCTTTGTTTGCTCCTTGGTTCACTGGTTCTGGCTCCAGTTCACGGCCTTGTGAGAACGTGAACTCCATTGTAAGGCCGTGAACAGTGGGTGTCTCCGATGCTTTGCTCCTTTTCTTTCAACTTTCGACTCCGAGTTTGGTTTTACATGTTAGGATCTGAAACACACTAAAACACAAGCAACCTCGCGTAAAACCAACATTTTTGGAGTTCAATTGCAACAATCGTCAAAGAGAATCGAGGATAAAAAGTTTACAATAAGGCCCGAATCACTCCCCCACACTTATAGGTTTGCTTGTCCCCAAGCAAACTATTTCACACAAGATAATTTCTCGATCTAAAAAAATGCGATGGGGACAAACTTATGGGCACAAAGTGGCGAATCGCAGTGGCTATTGGCAATTAATAGATGACCGTTGGAAGCAATACCGACATCCACCACAAACGACATTCGAGGTCACCAAAAACGGTTAAACGAAAAGTTCTCACCTTGTTCATGAATCAATGCAAGTCTCAATAGGATCACTTATCAACCACAACTAACCATGCATAATATTCAAGTCCAAGGAACAAACGAATGGGCAACAAAGGTCCTCACCGGGGTATGATCTGGCATGGAAAGCAAGAATGAATCACTCACTCTCTTGACTAGTGGGGTCGGTAGCTTTTTGGTGCAAAAAAATGTGCACAATCATCAACACTCGGCCCTATCGTCTCTTCACCACGGTGGCAACCTCTAAAGGTTAGAGTTCATTGGACGGTTGTCATCACTAGCTTGTTCGGTGGTCTTAGACACGAGTTCAAATGACTGGCAATTATCTTGGACATAGAGAAAAGGCTTTTTGATTGGTGGAAAACACATCATGAGGTCCTACATCTTCACCCTAAACCCGGAGGTTCTATGGTTTTGACTAAGAACCTTCCCTACAAACAATGACCAATAGCATTGGCCGAAAACCTTGCTTCTCCCTTCCAACCTGTCACCCATCATGAATTATCTTTAAGGGCTCTTCCTCGGTCTTTCTTGCTATCACATTTAGACTTGGTAGTGAAGAAGTTCTAAAACAATATGAGGGCTTCAATGGCTTGCATGCCAAGAAACCCCACTTAGAGCATACTCTTCGAATCATCTGTGGCACTCTCTACTTTATTGACCCCGTTTTATTACCTCTTTTTTTATTCTATTTTTTCTCTTTCTACTTTTATTTCCTTTTATTTTCTTTCCTTTTTGAGGGGGTACTAAAAAGTTAAACACTTGCCACACTACTTTTATAACCAATGCTTTGCTTTAGGAACTCACTCAAACACTACTCTTTTCTCTTTTATTCCTAGTAAGAACCGCGTATAATCCTCCTTTGGGGAACCTCAATAGAACTCAAAAGCGAGAGCTCTGGGTCACAAGGACGATACACGTATAGACACGAAGAAAGGATGGGGGTCGTTCTATCAAATACCATTAAGCACACAATCACAAAGCTCCTAATCATTAGAACGACTCCCAAAATCACAAAGCTCTCAATGTATTGCACTGCCCGCTCTCCCTGAAGCACTAGCTTCTGGTTGTAGAGAGTCGCCACTAGGAAGGGATCTGTCCATCCCACGATGGAGCACCACTCCAGATTCCCCTAAAAGTCTTGAGCCAGTCTCGTGATGATGCCCCCCATATGCATGGTGTCCACCCTATTCCGCCTCAGGCCTCAGGCGAAAGAGGTGGCAATCAGCGATCACAGGTGGATCGGCTCTGCAGGATACCTCATGGAGTAGAGAGCTAGCAGTCCTCTGTTTGTGATTAGGTGTCCCAACTGTAGGTTGGGGATGACAGAGCGGGTGAGCAGGGTATGGAGGATCCTCCAAGGGGTCCTCAGCTTCACCGCATTGGTGCGGCTCGCCTCTTACTCCTCGTGCTCATGCTCAGGATGAGTGAGGGCCCTGAATGCGGCCAGGTAGTGGAAGTCAGGCACCACTTGGGGTGACAGACGACCCCTGACATTGCGGCCCGACACCTGGACATGTTAAACATGTCCAGGTCCAGCCGCTAATGCTGCCTAATTGGGCTGTCCCTCTGGTAGGCAAACTTATCTCCGAACCAGGTGTGGTTCACCATGTAACTGAAATACTCCTGCTCCACGTTCAACATACTGCAAAATCGACAAACATGCACCATATGTGGAAATAAACGTTCATCACAGCTCATTGGGAGGAAAGAGAATCCCAACACACACTTAAATTTCCAGTACGGATCCATGCTAATAAAAACAATTAGGCCTAAGCACACCACGACATGGTTTTAGGTGGTCACGGACCATCCCACACAAAAATTCAAACCCGAACCATGCCACGGTGGCTACCAACCACCACTCAATCAAAACATTTGTCATTATTCAACAAGTAGCACTTGGTGGGCAAGTTTCGTAAATACAAGCAATTCGAATTGAAACATGCCCACCAAGGCTTAAATAAGTTCAAGCAACATCGTTCAATCATTCAATCACCCTAATTCACCTAATTCCTTTCCCTAATGCTAAGTTCAACAATAAATTAACTAAGATTCTCCTCACTTCACTACCTAATCCGATTCTCCCCAAATAAATAAGGTAGAGCTGAAAACCAACCTAGAGATTCAAGTAGGATGTAGGAGGAAGTGAGGTGAGGGCGAGGACGGTGAAAATTGGCTGAAAAACATACTGGAGAAGGTCGCCGGAGCTTCGTCGGCATCTCGCCGGACTCTCGTAGAAGGCGCGCCGCCGGTGACTTTGCCGGAAAAATGTACTCCAATTCTCCCTTTAATCTCAGTGGAAGTGGGTGAAATGGTTGAAAATCGTCGAAATTTCAAGGTTTTCCAACGAGATTTGAAAATTTTCGATGAGTTTTGGGTCGTGAAGTGAAGAGTCGACATTCATGACCCTTTTATAGGCAGACCCTTGAGTTCACGAATGCGTTTTCCTGCACGGTCTTAGAGACCGTGAACACTGCAATCCGTCCGTGAACTCGGGAAACACGGTGGGTTTGACACACGTGGAAGTACCCTGGTTCATAGACGTGTTTGCCTGTTCACGGTCTTATAAGACAGTGAACTTAGCAATCCGTCTGTGAACTCAAGTGAAAACATGGCACTTCTGAATTTTTTTTGACTCGACCTATTCCACCCTATCGATCACGACACAACTTTAAAATGCACAACCACAAAACTTGGCACGGGGATACCACTCGACCACTTGAACTCTTCACTCGACACACAAAAAAGAAAATAAGGGAAAGAAAACAAACCTATGTTGGGTTGCCTCCCAACAAGCGCTAAGTTAACGTCACTAGCTTGAATTGCAGATCTATCACGAGTTTGAACGTGATGCCGCCGAGAGTGGATCCTCCACGTTCTCGGGGCGAGGCATGTCGCCTCCCAACTCACTCGCCATGGGGTGGCCTTCTTGGCCGATGACCTTTGCGTTGCCCCTTACCTTCCACTAGGCCTTAGCACGAGTTATCCTCCAAGCTACCTTCCTTCCTTTTTTGGGCGAGATAAGCTCCTTGCTTTCCTGCTTCACATCATCACAAGAACCAACAATAATAGTGGGGTTTTCCTTGCAAGGCTTCCCTCTACTTGCATTCATATCACACGGTTCAACTTCCTTCACTTCCTCACTCCGAAGCTTATGATCAATTCCAAGAGTAATTTTCTCCTCACCCTCTCTCAGAATCAAAGTTCTCTCATTTACATCAACTAATGCCTTGGCGGTGGCTAGAAGAGGGCGTCCTAGTATGAGTGGCATCTCCTAATCCTCACTTATATCCAGGATCACAAAATCTGCCGGATAACAGAATTTTCCCACTTGTACTAGCACGTCCTCCACTATGCCCCTAGGACTAATGAAATGACGATCGGCCAATGTGACACTAAGCCACGTAGTCTTTAGTTCACCTATGTCTAGCCTCTTAAAAAGCTTATATGGCATCACATTTATGCTCGACCCTAAGTTCGCCAAGGAATTTTCTATGTGATAAGAACCGATGCAAAGAGGTATAGTGAAACTACCTGGATCGGGTTGCTTCTTGGGCAACCTGTTGAGGATGAAGGCTGGGCACTCCTCGCATAGGGTGACATTGGCAAGATCTTCGAACTTCGGCTTCTTGAAGAGATACCCCTTGAGGTATCTCGAATACCTTGGCATGTGGCTCATTGCTTCAAAGAAAAGAATGTTGAGGTGGAGCTTTCGGAGCATCTCAATGAAACCTCCACATTCCACTTCCAATCTTTCCTTGTGCTCTCTCATGGGAAAAGGCAGGGGTGGCATGTACTTAGCCACAAATGGTGGCCTCGGCAATGCCTTCCTCGCCACTCCTCTCTTTTCTCCCGATACTTCCTCTTCTTCACCCTCGGGTTGTGGGTCTTCCTTCTCATTCAATTTTTTGGCAACGACCTCCGGGGTCACCTTCCCGCTCCTCAAGTAAATTGCATTGTACTCGGCTTGATCCTTGGGGTTGGCAATGGTTTGAGAGGGTAGGGCTCTCTTTGGTCTCTTGATTAGGATCCTGGAAATATTGCTAATTTGAACCTTCCCGCTTCTCAAACTTCTGAGAGCTTGTACTCACAAAGGCGTTCACAAGGTATTTAAGTTTAGAGAACTTGTCGACTTCTTGTTGTTGTTGAAAACCTTGACCGCATTGTGCTTGGTATGGTTGTTGGAAGTTCGAGTGTTGGAATTGAGGCCTTTGTTGGATGAATGTTGGCCGAGGTTGATAGTTGCCCATTGGACCTTGGAAACCGAGAGGTCTTGGATTGGTAGGGGAAGACCAAGCGAAGTTGGATGATTGCACCATATAGCATGTTAATGAAACTCACTTGCTCCTCGGGGGTACTCAACTCCTTCATCTCTTGGCAATCCGCAATTTCATGATTGGTGCTCGAACACCAATCACCAGACATCACCACTCTCTTCCCTTGCTTCTTGTCCTCAAGGATCACCTCGATCAAAGTTTCAAGCTTCACTTCAAGTGGAGCATTTGCTCCCACACTTCACACTCCTCGATTGGTGTTTCTCTACCCACTTCTTGTCAAGACCCAATCATATCCCTTAAGAGCTATATCTTCGAGCAACTCGGTCACTTGAGGAGGGATCATGTTCATCAACCTCCCTTGGAAAAGAGAATCAGTGAGGATCTTGTCATCTTGAATGAGACCTCCATAGTGAGGGCATTGGAGGAAGTAGTTGGAGAATCTTTCCCATGCATCCTTCAATGTCTCATCCGCTTCTTGCTCAGAGTGAGTGATCTTCTTCCTCCACTCGGCCGTCTTGGAAGGAGGAAAATATCGGGTCGTGAACTTGTTGGGGAGATCGTCCCAAGAGGTGATAGATAGAGCCGAATGGTTGTTGAGCCATCAGAGTGCCTTCCCCGCCGAAGAATAGGGGAAGAGCTTCAATAGCAATGCCTCCTCATGGATGCCATTTATCTTCAAGCTTCCCGCTAGCTCAAGAAACCTTTGGACATGCTCTCGTGGTGATTCATGGGCATGCCCGTGGAAGTAAGCTCTCGTGGTGATCTCAAATTTGTTGGTGGCCACAGGTGGAGGTAAGATGGGAGATTGGATATACTCCGCCTGTGGAGCCATGTAATAGCCCATAGTCCTTGGCCCTTCCTCGGCTCCCGCTTCTCCATTTGGGTTTGGAAGTGGATTAGCCCCTCGGAGTGGATTACTTTATCACATCAATGTCGTTACAAATTTAAGGTTTACCACTTTACCACATCAAAATCATACATTAACATAAACACATGATCAATCACTTTGGCATTCAAGTGGCCATTCACATTTATTGTACAATCATCACATAATCATCATCAAATTAAACACATAATTCTCATATCATAGCCCTTCAATTCATATAACATTCAATACTCATTCATTTTATACTTCGGACTTGGGCCCTTCATGACCCAAATACCTCAACATTTATGATATGTACTTGGGTCGCTTCGTGACCCAAATACTGTATTTGAATTGATATAAATTTAGGGTTAGAATATACTCACTCTTATGATTTCTAATCCACAATTCCTTCTTCCTTTGAGGACTCCCCGACTTGACCTTTCCCTTTAATCAACCATATAACACACATTTAATCATCTAAAGCAAACATGTAGTCATAAAATTGCATATAAGGGTCAAGGTGGGCAGGTTTTGGGTCAAAAGATGCATTTCCCCGCCCTAAGAACAATCCCTTATCACTCCTCATCGATCCTCGGTTGATAATTTAGCTTTCCTTATCGAGGGTCCCTGTGGAGCCATTCCCCAGTCACCACCAAATGATAGCGGATCGGGGGATCTCAAACGATGCTGCCCCAACCGAGGCTCTCCAAGAGTAAGGGTGTGACAGTGCTCGAGGAATTTTACCCCGTTCACCATTATGATCATATCTCCCTCAATTCAGAGCCAAAACGATTGATTCTTGTTACTACTCAACCTAGATTCATATAGATACAACATAGACAAATGTCAGACCATTTAGAGACGAAAATTGGTTTTAAACTAAATTCAAGTTGAGGGTCTTAAAACCGAATTCTGCACAAGTGCCATGTTTTCATACCTTCGGTTTTCAATTTAATTACTTAGCAATTGAACTTCAAAATTACCAAATTTTATACATATATCCCACAGATCATGAGGAACATGTTCTATGAAGAAAGATTTCTAAAATTCAATCGTTTTACCCCCTGATGCCCGTATTGAACAGAACTCCCTCATTCAAAATCTGTTTTTGGAACATCCACTACTTTGATCCAATATCACTTCTATCTCCCTTATTTGGTCTCCAACATGTTTATATCATGAAATAGCATGATTTATGGAGCTCTTGCTCATTATTCTTCAAATCATCATAATCTACCTCTGAGATTCTTTCTCTAAACTTAAAGAAAAAGAAGATGAAGACATCTTACCCTTAGATAGTCCTTCTAGTGACTTCTAGCTTCCCAAAGCCTTGTACTAGACAAATAGAGCTTCCAAAAATTCATGGGGAAGCTGGTGGAAATGATAAATTGTGCTAATGGTGGTGTTAGGAGATGGATGAGAATGGTGCTGGAAATTTCCAGCACCTCCCTCTCACTTTTAACTTAGGTAACCTAATTCGTCCCTTTTGCGCCACGGCTCCCGCTTTGGAGCGTAGAAACACGGATCGGAATGGGAGTGCCCAATCGATTGATTCTTGTTACTACTCAACCTAGATTCATATAGATACAACATAGACAAATGTCAGACCATTTGGAGACGAAAATTGGTTTTAAACTAAATTCAAGTTGAGGGTCTTAAAACCGAATTCTACACAAGTGCTATGTTTGCATACCTTCGGTTTTCAATTTAATTACTTAGCAATTGAACTTCAAAATTACCAAATTTCATACATATATCCCACATATCATGAGGAACATGTTCTATGAAGAAAGATTTCTAAAATTCAATCGTTTTACCCCTTGATGCCCGTATTAAACAGAAGTCCCTCACTCAAAACCTGTTTTTGGAACTTCCACTACTTTGATCCAATATCACTTCTATCTCCCTTATTTGGTCTCCAACATGCTTATATCATGCAATAGCATGATTTATGGAGCTCTTGCTCATTATTCTTCAAATCATCATAATCTACCTCTGAGATTCTTTCTCTAAACTCAAAGAAAAAGAAGATGAAGACATCTTACCCTTAGATAGTCCTTCTAGTGAATTCTAGCTTCCCAAAACCTTGTACTAGACCAATGGAGCTTCCAAAAATTCATGGGGAAGCTGGTGGAAATGATAGATTGTGCTAATGGTGGTGTTAGGAGAAGGAAGAGCAAGAAGGAAGAGGGGAAGATGGATGAGAATGGTGCTGGAAATTTCTAGCACCTCCCTCTCACTTTTAACTTAGGTAACCTAATTCGTTCCTTTTGCGCCACGACTCCCGCTTTGGAGCGTAGAAACGCGGATCGGAATGGGAGTGCCCAAAATTCTCTAATCCATTTATGCTAGAGCGCGAACTAACTTACTATCAGCGAAGTGTGAATTTCCTTTTGCTCAATGTTTATTCCGCCCAATGCTGACTCGGCCAGAGTTTTCGTTGCTTTGTTAGTGTTATTTGACATTGTTGGTTGAGGTGGTGATTTGGCGGAGGCGGTGGTGGCCAAGCTGGATGGCGGGTTTCGGAGTTCGGGGACATAGCGCTAGTCTCAAATGAAGCCTCATCTTATCACGCCGCCAACGCTAGTATCATATGAAATCTTCATCGGGAAACCGTGACAATTATCGTTTTCCGCCAATTTTGGCTACTTCCAGCCACCCAAATCCAAAACTAATACTAGACCCACTCTTCTCTCTTCTGGCCGCACCTTCGCTGAGATTTTGTAGAGATTTAGGCTCGATTTTTCCGGTGAGGAGATTTCTGACGATCTTCCGACGAAGCTCTAGCTAGCCTCTTTTCGTAGTTTTTTGTGCATTTTTCGACTCCCTCTCGCTCTCCTCACCTTACCCTTCGAGGCATATTATCATATTGGGATCTTAAGTGTGTGTGTTTTGGGGGGGGGGGGGGGGATTCTTTTTCTACCCATTGATTTGTGATTGATGAAGTGTCTCCGCGTATGGTGTATGGTTTGGATGTTTTTGAAGGATGGCGGATATCGCCCACCCGTACATTGGCTACTTCGTGAATCATCAGAAGTACAGGGATAGGTTCGAAGAGTGGAAGAACAATGATGCGGGACCTCATTGGTTCTTGGTCCTAGATATTTTCACCATGTTTAGGTGCCGAGCGGCGATGTCTGAGGTGCTCATACATCCCCAGTGACGGAGTCTGTTATCTATGGACGAGCTCATGTCCACCTTTATCTACGAGATACCCAACAGAAGAAGGAACATGCCATATGTGGAGTTTATGATGGGAGGTCAGCATCATGTGTTGACCTATGAAGGATTTGCTCAGGCCATGGGCCTTGACACCACAACCAAGACGATGACAGAGCGGCAGTGCACCAGATTCTTCCATTACCAAGAGGCCCATAGTGCTATTTGTCGGTCAGAGCATCGAGAGCAGCAAATTCGGGCTTCCAACACCAATGTTGTGAAGTTTAGGAGACCGTGGAGGATCTTGCATACACTCCTCACTCGGTCGGTGATCCCCAGTCTTTAGTCGGGGCACATGGTCACCAACGAGGGGTTGATTTCCCTCCATACATTGAGTCGACCCACAAGACCATTTCATCTAGGATCTGTGGTGACTACCACCTTATCGAGAGTGCTAGGTCGAGACCGAGTAGACACGATGCAAGTGTGGGGCATCATCACGAGGATTGCCCAAAATTTTAGGGTCGGCACTACGGGCTGTGCCATTATTGGCCGGACACAGTCTTTTCCAGTAGAGACCTTGCATAGCATGAAGTTGGTTTAGAAAGAGCAGAGAGTGGAGTACCTTGAGGGACTCCAACCTTCGGCTCCACTAAGGCCGCATGTGGAGCCTACATCGGTGGAGCCCGATCTAGCAGAAGTTCCACCTGCTCAGCCACGCCATCACCTCCTTCAGCACCTCTGCACCACCACCATCGTCTTTATCGGCTGAAGTTGGTCCTTCCACATACGTAGTCCACCTCGAGGATCTAGTCACTCGCCTCGAGGAGCAGTTCACAGGAGTCCCCACGTGGTTGGATAGATCCAACACTCTTCTGGAGCGGATGGCTCAACAACAGGGAGTCTTGTCTGAAGACGATGAGTGATCACAACTCGAGCGAGGTAGTCGACTGAGTGAGACATGTGGCAGAGTCAATTTCTTTCTCCCACTTCTCCACTGGAAACTCTAAAATTTGTTATTTTCTTTTCTTTAGTGTGTGAACAAGTACTATTGTGGGCTTTTCTTTTGATTAAACGTGATGTTGAATATTGTTATGTGAAATACCCTCACCTTGAACGAGAATGTGTGTGTGTTTTGTGTGTTTAATTCTTCTCTTTGAAGCTCAAATCCCCTACCCCAGAACATTTCCAACTTTCACTTGCCAATGGTTCGGTAACTTCTTCACCCTACCTTTTTTTATCCATTGAGGGAAATGTCGTGCTTAAGTGTGGGGGGAGGGGGGGTGTATCATTTGTGATTGGCATTTGATTTTGTGAGTGAATGCTTGATCAAAGTGACTGGTTGGTGGGAGAATCTCGTGTTTATTGGCATTGACCTTGAATTGATTGCTTGTGATTGAGTGCATCCAATTATGATGATTGATAAGTGTATAAGGTTGGTGCAAGTGTTTAGTTTTCATATGTGTGCAAATGAATGGATGTCTTGACTTGATTAATCCTTGATTGCAATTGCCATGCATCGAAATTTGTGAAAATTGGAATAAATGATTGGGTGATTAGGTAGCCATGTGAGTTTTGTGCCGATCATCTTCTTTATGTGTGATAGATCCCTCTTACCATGGCGAGTAACATTCACCGTTGTCACTAATGAGTATGATGGAGGCATAGGATTAGTCCATGCCCAAAAGTTGATTATCCCGAAACATCTTATTCCCTAGTCAACCCCTTTACCCGTGTGACTTTAGGGTCGCTCTCTTGTTAGGAGCTTGTTGCTTTTTGCGCTTAATGGTGATTGATAGAACGACTCTATCATTTCTTCATGTCTAAACCGTTGCGAGTCATCCTTGTGTCTCAGAGTTCTGGTTTTCGAACTCCATTGCGGTTCTACATAGATGGATTTTGCACGATTCTTGCTAGGAATGGAAAGGTAGTGTTGGAGGAATTTCTTAATAGATAGCATTGTTCGTAAGTGTTAAAGTGGCATGTGTTTAGCTCTCTAATACCCCCCTCAGAAAAAAGAAAAAAAAGAAAAGGAAAGTAGAAGAAAGATTCAAAAAAGAGGTAATAAACGGGGTAAATAAAAGATAGAGAGTTGCCATAAGAAATTATGTGTTTTCTCTAGAAAGGGTTTCTTGACACCGAAGCCATTGAAACACCTAATTTCTTGTTGACTTCCTTCACTACTATGATTGAAATATGGATAGTAAGATTAGTCGAGGAAGTGTGCTTGAATGTAGTTGGTGGTTGGTGATGGTTTGGAAGAAGGGAAGTGTGTTTTTTTGGCTTTTGCTAGTGGTCGGTGCTTGTAGGAGAAGGTCCCAATTGAAATCATAGGACCTTGTGTTGGTTTTAGGTGAAGACGTGGAACCTCATGCTATGTTTTCCACCACTCGAAAAGACTTTTCCCAATGTCCAAGACCCTTGCCAGTCATTTGAACCCGTGTCTAAGACCTATAGACAAGCTAGTGATGACAACCATTTCGTGAACTCTAGCATTTAAAGGTTTCTGCCATGGTGAAGAGACGACAGGGCCGAGTGTTGGTTTTTCACATATTTTGCACCAATTGTCCCAACCCCACTAGTCGAGAGTGAGTGATTCATTCATGTTTTGCATGTTCATATCTTATCCCGGTGAGGACCTATGTGACCCATTCATTTGTTCCTTGGACTTGAAATCTATCCATGGTTAGTTGCGGTTGGTTAGTAGACTTGTCGAGACTTGTATTGATTGGCTAACAAGGTGAGAACTTTTCATTTTCACGTTCTTAATGCATTCGAATGTCGTTTGTGGTGAATGTCGGTATTGCTTGTAACGGTTCATATGTGAATGTCGGTTCTATTTGTACAATTTTTACATCCTTTATCCTTAGATGTTTGAGGTACTTATACTCTGTGAGGTTCGATTTTACGCTAGGTTGTGGTTGTTTTTAGTATGTTTCAGATCCTAGCAGGTGAAATCAACCCATAGAACGGAAGTTGGATGAAAAGGGGCGGAAACTGGTCAAAAGGGAGCAACAACAGTAATTCACTGTGGAGGTCAGAGGTTCACGATCATCCAGACCGCGAAGAGGAAGCATAGGCCGTGAAGATCGAGGAGTTCATAAGGGTTTTGTCCATCTCGCGGGCATAAACTAGTTCACAGTCACTCAACCGTGAAGACCATCTCCCGACCGTGAAGCACCTTAATGAAATGGCGCATTTTGCTCGACATTACCGTCTGAGCCAGATGTTTACGGCCGTGAACTGGGACCATGAGACATTGTCGATCTGGGTATATAAAGGGGGCTTATCTGTAGGAGAAACGAGTGAGAAACCTAGTGAGAGAGACTTCTTCTTCTTCAGATTTATAGAGTGAGAAAGTGACAAACAAGAGGATAAGAGAAGTTAGGGTTTCATCCAAAAGCTAGGATTTGGGAATTTCTTCCTCCAAGGTTGATCTCCACACCAAAAGGAAGAAGGCAAACATCTCCTAGATGGTTTTCTCTCTTCTCCCTCTACTTAGCATGGAGTAGACTTTTCTTTCACTTGGGTATTTGTAAACCCTAGCTACATTTATGTGAATGTTTGTATGGATTGAAAGACTTGTGTGTGGTTGTGTTTTAATACAAGTTATGAGGTATTGTCAGGAAGATTGTGTGTGTTCTTGCATTTCCAATTCTTATGCCATTTTGACCTAGTTAGAGATAAAATCCCCTTCTTGTTAAGAGGCTTGTAAAAGCTAGAATTCCTTGGCCAATTGTTTCACCTACCTAGGTTGAATTAGGGCAAACATCTTAATACGTATTAGCACCTTTGGTAGGTTCCAATTTGGTTGTCTGAGTTATAGTTCGAGGGTGAAGTCTAAGCAACCCTTGGTCGATTGGGCCAAGAGAGCTACCTTGGTAGTTTGATTTGATATCGCTTGGCCTAGTGACCGAGAGAGTGACGGTTGTTCACTTGTTGCAGTTCCCTACGATTTACAACCAACTTTACCACACATTTCATTCGATCCAACAAATCATGATTTTTAGCTAGGGGGAGAAACACCCAGGTGAAGCCTTCTCAATTAGTGTTCACACCATTTACTTTTCCAATAATTTTAGTTATAGATCGTAGTTTTAACAAAGAACTTATTGGTAGATAATGTTTCAAACAATCGAAGTAGGGGTACATGGACCGGCCAGGGTTTGACTTTTAAAACATACTTGTCCTATATTGCACCCGGTTAAGGTTGATACTTGGATTTTAATTGGGGTTTTTATGTGATATTTGGGACGAGTCAAGTTTTTCAGCGAATTAGTTTTCAAATGTTCCTTTGGCTTTCATCTGCTGGACTAATTTCAAAGAACTAGAGGGAGGAATGGTTGGGAAGCCTTCAAAGATCGGTTCCTTTTGTGCACAACTTTTGAATCAAATTTGAATCACTAGGCATCAAAAGTTTACACATCTTCAAATTTGTCCATCTTGTACTACTATGGCTATTTGAACTTTAATTTGTAGGAGAGCATTCTGGTGGTCAAAACATGGCTAGTGGATATCACCAACCCTGATGTACACCCTTGGATAATGGGGTTTCTGTGCAGTAGGTGGAAGAGAAGGTTAGTCTGTAGGGGTGGGCAATCTGTATGCTCGAACTACACCACACCGCAGTCATCTAAACCGCAGCACACCGTTATTATAGGGACAATACCGCATTTGGACCGCAACCATATCGATGTGATGAAACCAGACCACATAAATATGCGATTTCAGTGTGGTCTAGACCCTAACCCTTCTATTTGCTCCATCGGGGGCAATGTCTTGCTTAAGTGTGAGAGGCGGGTGTACATATCTTTGTGATTGGTGCGTGAATAATGAGGGTGAATGGCCTATTTGAAAGTGCTGGAGCCTTGTGATTGCAAAATTTCTACAATTTGAGGCTCCAATCACTTGTGCACGAATGAATGATGAATGGTTGATATTTAGATGTGTTTTGGAACCTATATTATTGCATGAATTGAAAGTTTTAGTGGTTCCAATCACAATTGTCACTAGCATGATCTTGCTCCGCGTGCTTTGAATTGTTTGATGATTATGATGGTGTGCATTATAGGGAATATAGTGGTGTCATGAGAATTGTTGATAACTAGTGGTTTTAATTCGATTTCCTCTCAGTTGTGTGGAAGTGTTTGTTATGGAGGTTATGACATGTGTGTGAGACTCCCCAATTTAGGAATCTAAAATATTTTGCAAAAGGTGCTCCAATTTGAAAAATAAATCTTTTGAAATCTATCATTTGGCACTAACCTATCCTTCATATTTCCTTGCTCTTCTCATACCAATAAGGAAAATGAAGGCCAAATTTACTTCACATGTACAAATATAATTAACAAAATCCATCATGAAATCTATGAAACAAATAATGGTGTTTTCAAGTCATAATGAATCCACCCTCATATATCCATGGTTTTTTCAAAATATAAGTTTTACCAAAACCTTCAATTTTCAAATCCTCAGATGAAATGAACAGTAAGTTGTAGGAATTCTTTATTGCTGAAATGAGTTGTCTGCATGTGTGCATGAGTCCTTCTACTTTTGTACTTGTACATGGAGCTCAATCTATGTTGAAAAATGTTGCTAAATGTATAAGTACTTAATACATGCTCTTGTTGTTGAGAGGCATCTGTAGTAAACCCTCAACATTTTTATCAGATAACTGTCTAGGATAAGGAACTTTTGGTGTTGAATCAGCTACTTGAGTCTTCTTTGACTTCTCCTCATCATCAATCGTGATTTCAATGGGGGTTGCTCCTCTTTCCGAATTAGCTCTTCTTCTTTAGAGAATTCACGTTGAACTTCTTTTACCAAAATTCTCAGAGTTGAGATAGGAATCTCCTTAAAGGGTTGGCCACTTCTTAGAGTTACCGCATGACATCCTTCCTTTGGATTAGGTTCAATATTGTCGGGTCGAGTTCCTTGAGGTCTTAACGATATATTTTGAGCCAACGAAGTTAGTTGAGCTTCAAGATTTTGAAGTGAAGGTTGTTGATTCCTCTGACTCGCTTCCAAGCTTGAGAATTTGGTTGAGGTATTCTCTATGAACTTGTCATTAGCTTCAACTTCTTGTTGGATTGTGTAACAAATTGTCCTACCAAGTCTTCAAGTTTAGTGATTCAACCATCAGAGGGTCGACTTTGTTCTTGATATGCTTCTTGGTATGATGGTTGAATCGGTGTTTGATAAGTATTTTGAGTTGGTGCTTGAGATTGAAATCCCTGAGGTTTCCTATTCGTCGGAGAAGACCAAAGAAAATTAGGATGGTTCCTCCAACCCGGATTTTATGTTGAGCTATAAGGGTCGTTCCCTCGTGATTACCCTCCAACAAAGTTGGCTTGCTCAAATTGTAGTGAATCCTCAATCATAGATTTTCACTCTTCCATAGGAGAGATGTAAACCTTTCTCATTCTTCAAACAATGGTTCGTCCTCTTCTTCATAGAACATAATAATCTCACTTCTCATCAAAGCCATCTTAGAAGGTGGAATATACCTTGTAGAAAACTTTTTGCATAGATCATCCCATGAGGCGATGGAGTGATGTGGTTGATTATTCAACCATTTCTTTGTGGGTCCATTCAAGGGAAACGGAAATAATCTTAGTCGGATAGCCTTTTGAGGAACCCCCTTCACCTTGATTCCATCCGTCAATTCGTAAAATGACTTGACATGTGCATGTGCATCTTCCCTCATCATCCCATTAAATTCGATCTCACTTTGAAGCATTGAAATGGTACCTAGATTTATCTCATAATCATTGTTGGTCAATGTCGGATGAAGAATATGTGATTGAACGTTATCCACGCTTGGCCTTGAGTAAGACCCATTGTTCTTGGCCTCGGCGGAACTTGAGTGTGGACATTGAGATCTTGCAACTCTTCTAAGATTCCGAAGGGTTCTCTCGATTTATGTATCAAGAGGTAATATCTCCAAAGAATCCCTTCTTTGCATAAAAAGGTGCTACAAAACACAACCTCAACAGCTCGTGATGTATGATGTTGGAAAACAAAACAAACAGCAAAAAAAACACAAAAGTAACAAAAACATGAAATAAGACACACAAAACAAAACAAACACGAAAACAACAAAACAGAAAACAAAACAAGGTAAAGACTAACTAAAAACTTAATGGTTTTCTACTAGTTACCAAGGTTCCCCGGCAACAGCGCCAAAAAGCTTGATCATTTGAGTCTATGCAGATTATTGTGAATGGTGTCAACAACTACCCCATCCTAAGCTAAGTGAACCTAAAGATGGCATTGTCCTATAGTGGTAATCAAGGTCGTATTTTACTTGGGTCCTAGTACCCTAGCTTATTTCCCACCTTGTTGTTAATTAGTTAATCGATTTTGGAGGTTTGAGTGGAGGATTTGAGGGAACTACTAGTTTAGAGATTGAATAAAGATTAAAAAATAGGTACTTTGGGGAAGGCTACCTATAGCAAGGGTTCGGTCTCCTCGACCACCATAGGTCCCTATTCATACATCTACCTCGGTTTGCTTGATGGTGTATACCCGTCTAACCCTAGAACTCCATACCCACCGTAGAAGCATAAAGTAGGCCAATAGAGAAGATTAGGGCAACTAACCCAAACACAATCTAAGATAGAATAACAATAGAATCAACTAGATAAACACATTCATTCATTCAAACCCTAAAATATGCATACATACATAGTAAACCCTAAAACTAGTGTTTGGGGTTTAGAACCCCTAATACCTTAAGGACTACTCAATAAAGGAGGGAAAAAGATACATAAAAGAAATTGAAGAAGACTTGAGGTTGAGGAAGATGCCTCCTCTATTCTAGCTTTGTCTCCTTCGTTCAGCTTCTCTCTCTCTAAAACCAGAAATTCTTCTCTCAAAACTAGCTCTTCTAAAAGGGGGAAAGGGGTCTCCTAATTCTAGGCAATCAGAAGACGGACAAGTTCGCGGTCAGAAGGGAAGAGATCAAGGCCTGACTTTGTGGTCACGATCCGTGAGTCGCGGTCAAAATAGTGTGGCCGTGATTCGACTGGGGAAACTCTGTGTTTCTCCTCGGCTCCTCCTTTGCGAAGTTCACGCCATGAGCCCTCCAATTCGCGGCCGCGATCTTGGGCTTCCAGGCCACAATCTTCGGCTTGTCTTCGTGGTTCAGGATCTCGGCCATGATCTTTACTTCTAGGCCACGATCTTAAGTCTTCTGCCCCCTCGCTACACTTGTGACCTTGTTTTGTATCTAATTCGCATATATCGTCTAACACACCCTAAAATCACATCAAATTCAAATAGGAACGGAATAGGGATGCAATTGACGATGTTTAAGCATTTATGCACGTGAATTGGGACGAAACAAACCTCAATATGAAGAGTAAATAACACCAATTTAAGTGTTATCGGGAGGATACTAGCAATTCATGGTTCAATCAATCATGATAATCATTCAAGCATTCACACACATCACCCCCCCCCCCCCCTAACACACACACACACACTTGAGCAACACATTGTCCTCAATGTGGGAGATCCAAAAGAGAAGATCGTGAAGGTTACTATAGGTAGGGTTATGGGTTGGTGAAGATACACAAGTGTAGGTCTTTGTCTTCCTGGTGGTTTTCACAACGATAAAGCGCATAAGAAAGAGTGGAAGACGATTAAGAGTAATAGGTAGATAGATATATAATATAAATACGATTACTACTAGTATGAGAATATTTAAAGTACAAAAATAAAGCAATAATTAAACATTGTCTTAGAAGAGCACAGAAAAAGAAAAGATAGAACTTAGGCCATGTATTCCTAGTACTCAATCCTCCTCGGAGGGTCCTTCTTCTTCATCTTGGAATGGTGCAATGGGAGGGGATAGAGCAAGTTGGGGCGATACATCTTCAATCAGAATATCCATCTTCTTCATTATAGCATGGATACACGCCACGATGTGGAGTCCCGCTTCATTCTCTCTTCTTTGATTGTGAAGGATCGCTGCTATCATCGCTTCGACTAGGTAATCCTTTGCATTATTGAATGGTGGCGGAACTGGATGAGAAGTGGATGGAGGTGAATCTCCTCCCTCATACATGATTTCCACTTGTTCTTCCTCATTGACTATTCCTCTTACCACCGTAGCTTCTGGAAGACGGAACACGGTACCCTCCTTGTCTAACGTGTTTGTGGTTGGAAATTGAAGTCCCCGTACTCCCCAAATGCCATCTTCATTCATATGAAACACTTTGATTCTCGACTTTGATAAACCATTATTTGTACATGTTATTTCCCACTAAGCCAATTTCACGCTAGGTTGTGCTTTTATGTCATGTTTCAGGACCTGGAGCGGAAAGGAAAGCTTGGAGGCGAGTTTTGGGTAAAAAACACCAAGGAAATGGAAGGAGTGGAATGACCAAAATCCCTAGTATGGTTATCAAAAACCCTGCTGGGGAAATGGTTTAGAGGCTGGGGAATCGCTCTAGGGATTTTACCCGGTCTGGACCCCTAGTTCCCCAACCTGGTAATTTCAGATGGAGACCGGATTTTACCCAATCAGACTGTGCACCATTTTGATATTACCCAGTCGGTTTGCTTAAAATCCGACCGGGTAATTGGACCGAGTTTCGGGAAGGAGAGATTTTTCAAGGCAATTCTGGGTTGTTCGTTCAATTATTCAAGCTTTAGAGAAATAAAGTGAAACCTAGAGAGAGAAAGCGACGAACTAAACCTCCTAAGTGACCTTGATCGAGTTTTGACGCCATTGGAGCTCGATTGAAACTTGGAGACGTGCCGATTGACAACCGGAAGCTGATTTTCATCCTCGACAGAATGATTTCTGCATCTGAAGCTGATTTCTCTTCTCTTTCTATGAAGTAAACTCTCTCTCTCTCTCTCTCTCACCTGAGTATAAAGAACCCTAGATTTGTATGTTAGGTTCGGTTGTATGAACCCAAGTACATGATCTTTTGACATTGATTATATTCAATTGAGGCATGATTTCTGAACTGCTTGAATCCTGATCAAATTCCGGTAGTTTTTGCTTTGACCTAGAAAGAGAATATCTTCATAGGTTGATAGAGCACCCTTAATTGAAGGTGGAGAATTGACTACTTTAGTCGAGGAGTCAATTCTCTGCTCTGTACTAGATTTACTCCAGTAGAGGAGGTTTTGCACGTTAGGGCCTTAATTTGTTTACTCTGGCGGAGGTCATTCGCCCGTCGGGTATTTAGATTGAGAGGATCTGGAGAACTTGATTCAGGCAAAATTTTCCAGGTTTGCCCCTGTTTTACTTAGGTGTTTCTGCCAATTACACTCCTAAAAGGTTAGCTTTACGTTAGGTTCCTCGTGTTTTAGTGTGTTTCAGGTTTTATCATGTGAAACTAGCCTCAGAATCGAAAGTTGGACGAAAAGGATTGAAAACCGAGAGAAGAGGTGAAAAAGGGTCACTTCATGGCTATCTAAGGAAGTTCACGGTCTTGCATGACCGTGAAGAAGAGCCCTTCACCGTGAATCGCGAGGTGCCCACGGCCAATACGAAGGTTACTAACGCAAGGTGAGTTCATGGTCACTAAGCCCGTGAACTAAGGTTGTTGAGTGTGAACAGAAGAGATCGAAGCGGTGCGTTTTGGCGCATGCCTGCAGTTCACGGACGCGTTTCGTGGTTCGCGGCCATGAACTGAGCTCGCCTCTGGTTTAAATGATGAGCTGAAAGGAGGAGAGAGGGGAGAGCCCACTTTGTGTGAAAAGCCTTCTTCAGATGTCTAGAGAGAGAAACACGAACCAAGGAAGAAGAAGGCTAGGGTTTTGCTTCAAGGTGGATTTTGGGAAGATTTCCTCTAAGGAAAGCTCAACACCAAGGCCAAGGAGATTAGGAGCATCCTCCAAGATGGTTTCCTCTTCTTCTCTTTGTGTTTTTCCCATTTCTAGCATGGAGTAGATCTCCTTTCACTTGGGTGTTGTGAAACCCTAACTCTACCATGTAGTTTTTTTATGTAATTGAATGATTTTCATTGGGTATCGTTTAATGCAATGATTGAGATATTTTTCATGATTGATTGTGAATGCTTGTGCTTAAAAACCTATGAGTTGTGCATGTTTTGTGCTTAGCATCCTTAGGTTTCTGCATTTTGGTGCTTAGCAACCTAAGGATTATGCATAATTGTGCTTAGCACCCTTAGTTTTGTGCATGTTGGTGCTAGCAATCTAATCAGCCACCTTAACCTAGCTTAGAGAGGAAAATCCCCCTTCCAAGGGAGTCTCAATTGAGTTGGTTTTCCTTCAGCTCTTAAACAACCTAACTAGGTTAATTTAGGGCAACCGTGAGTGTTGAGTTAAGCAAATAAGTTAATCATGATTAAGTCGTCCGACCTTTGAGTTGAGTGAGGGAGTAAGTCAATTACCGATTGCCTAAACCGAGAGGGTCGAGTGACACGACCTTTAATATTCACCTCGGTTTAGCAATTGAGATTGTGGTCCCCGACCATGTATGCACCCCTCTGCGGTTCGCGATTACCTAGCCCAAAACAATCGTTCAATTCGCATAACATGGTAGTAGTTAGGGGAAGCGACACCCGAGTGATCCTTCCACAGAAGAGTTTTCAAAATCCATTTACCTTTGTCCTATTTTAGTACAATTAGCAAACTTTTAAACCAATATTATTTTAATATTGATATATGGATGACCAATGACTTACCACATTAGATGCCCACTTGGGAGTTACATGTAACCCCTATTTCTATATCATTATCTCCCATTCTTATGCATTGATATAAGGATGTAGTGGTTACCAAAGTGTGCCTATAAATATAGCACACCATTATATCAAAAGTGAAGAATGAATAAGAAGAACTCTTCCCCTCTCTTCTCTTGTGTCTTTCCCTCTCTAATCTTCTCTTGTAGTTGTTTATATTTTCATTAGTTCATAACACGTTATCAGCACGAAGCTCTGCCAAAATTATCATTGCTCAAGCCTCAAAGACTCTCGACATAATCTAAGATATTGGAGTAAGATCACAATATGATCAAGGTATGTAAATCTTAGATCCTTTCTTATCTTATTGTCTTATTTGTGTTGAGATTATCTCATTCCAATATATCAAGATGGGTGCTACTTCTCATATCCATTGATATTTTATCACGTCGATCTATTTGGATTAACAAGAAAAGTAATATAAGTGATGAGTTAATTTCTCAGTTCTCCGTGTTATCCTATTCTTATCAATCATACATTGATATGTAGAAAATGCAAGTTTCAAGCGCCCATATATTCCCCAGAAGTAAAAATTTAAGAATCCATGGGCAAAGAAAGAAGTGGACATGGTAACAAGAAGATTGGTTTTGTATGTTACCATTGTAATGGAAAATTGCATTTGTCTCGTACCCTTTGTGAGCAAAAGACCTTATTCTACCAAGAATCAAAGGGAAAAGCTAATTCATATACGCTCCTGCAATATCAATATTATGGAACATATTTTTTGTATTATAAGTTGGTATATTCTCCATTAAAGATGAAAATGATATCACTTGAGAAATTTTCATTTCCAGAAGTAAATGAAATAATCTATTCTCTGAATTGAATGGAGCTATAAACATAATTATATATATGTTAAATGTATTGTTTGGATCTTTTCACTAGAAATGAGAAAAGAGGAGTAAAAGGAGAACTATAAATAAGGATGACACCACAATTGCATTATCAAAGTCATGATAACATAATGTACCTGTTGTACATTATAATGTATATTGAAACGCATATATAAATTTAAAATCACCTAGCTAGTGATGGTATTGTTCCAAATAAATCTTATTTCATTTTCACAATTGTAGTATTATGATTCTTATTTCTTTTATGTTTTATTGTGACGTTATTTTTCATGCATAATTTAATTTCATAACCTTTATCTAGAAAAATTAACTTGATAAATTCATCATTTTTGTCTTAAGTTTGAAATATTCTCATTTATTAATTTTATTATGTTTTTATAAAGTATGAGTATTAGAAAATTTTCATATAAACTATATGGTAGAGTGCATAAATAAGAAAAAGCTTCCGAAGAGCTTATGTTTGGTTACTTGAAGTAACTAAATTATGTACTCGTGATAACAATTTGTGATGATATTCACTGTGAATTTGTGTTTACTAAGAATGCATCAAATTATAAGTCCTCGGAAGGGTGGAATATGGTACAAAATATAGTAAAGCTTTAAAGGAGCTAATTTTGTGGCCTGAAGAAACCAAACTGCCTAGTGATGATGCATTACCCAATTAAAATGATATTCGTAAAATGAATATCTTATCAAGAAAATAGTGAAACTAATATTTGCATCACAAATATTTACTACATGTATATGAGTACAATCAGTACACATAAAAGTGTAAACCAGAAGTTTAAAAGATTTGATAACTTGATAATTGGTTGGTCCGGTTAGACTATCCCAGATCTTGATGTGAAAAAAGGTTCTTTGAGAATTCATGAGAACATCATATGAGAAGTCAAAGAACTCTTCAACTAAAAGAGTTATTATGTCATATTTGTTCTCAAGGAGAATAGAACAATTTATCATCGCTTGTATAAGAGTTGGCAAATCTCTTGAGATTTTATGGACGTGTATGCAGAACAATACATCAGTCATGTGGATCATTTCTGAATTTTATGGGTTGCTGCATCAAATGGATGATCACTTTTATTTTATCTAATCGCAACCCGATGTTTGCGAGATTGATTTCCTCACTATGGATACATTTTGATGGTTATCCAATCAAACATCACTTTGCTTAAGAGAACAAACTGAGCCTTCTGGTCTCATGTCGAGGACATGCTAGCTGGCAAGTGATAGTATTGGTTCACATTTAACCAACAAGTTATCATAAGTTCCCCCCTTTTACAAATGATTTTGGTAAAAAACCTAACATTTCTCATATGAGAATATCAGGGTGTGCCACATACATCCCAATTGCTACACCACAGTATCTTAAGTTGATTCTCGTTGGAAATTGAGAATTTGTGTTGGGTATGAATCCCAAATGGGAAATTTGTTTGCGAAATTATTGTTTTGATGAATCACTTTTCCAACATTAAGGGGGAGAGAAAAAAAAAACAGTTAGACAAAGAGATGAGTTGGAATGAGTTATCATTATCTAGTTTTGATCCTCAAAGTAAGAAACATGAACCTGACGTTCATAAGATGAATTATCGTTACCAACTATCAAATGCCTTTACTGGCCATACAAAGTGACCAATTCACATATACTAGCTGTGAATGCTCCAACTAAATTTGATATCCTTGTTGGATACTCTAATATAATAAAAAATGTGTATGAAAGAGCGCATGAAGCGTGATAGACCAATCGGTTCCAATGATAAACATCCTCGAGAAAGAAATGGAGCTGTAATTAGAATGGTCAACTCGAGGACATGAAAACTCAAGTAAAGTAACCAAGAATAAATTATAATTTTAGTTCCAGAAGAACACATGTCTCTGAAAGTTGTGAAAGTGAAGAGATCTCAAAACCATATTAGACTACAATACCGGAACCGTAATGAAATCATTGTCGATGAAATTTGTTTGTTGTACTTCAGTACTGAATATGATATGTAGAAGTGAGGATCAAGAGTAAAACTCTATTGCTGCATGCAAATGATGATGTTATTGGCCAATATAGAAAGAAATCATGAAACTTGCTCAAGGAGCATAAAGTTTAAGGACCAGAAGTCATTGCACCTAAAAAGGGCAAAACTAGCGGGATACAAACAAATTTTTGTGCTATTGGAAGTTATGAAATTGTGAGAGATATCACATAATGTTTTGCAATGGGTTTCTCAAAGAGACCTATCATTGTTTAAGAGGAGTTATACTTATACTCCCTTGTGGTGGATGCAACTACTTTTTCAAATCAATGTTTGAAAATTGTTGTGCTAGCCTATTTGTTTGAATTCCCTGAAGATGTTATATATATTTGAAACTCCCAGAAGGATTAATTACTCCTAGAAGGATTAATTTACCTGAAGTAAACAAGTAAAGTTCTCGAGAACATATATAGATAGCTAAGAAAATCCCTTGTGTGGGTTGAGACAATATAGACGAATATGAAATACTCGTCTAAGTGAACACCTACAATAGTAGGTTGAATGGACCTTAAAATGTTAAATTCAGATAGAGTGCATACGAGTATTTGCATTATGCATATATAGTTGTGTTGTCTGTATGTGTTTCAAGGATTTTAAATTCTTGATATGAGTTGTGATTTACTTTAAAGTATGAGTTGTATTTTATGAGTGTGCTTTGTCTAGTTCATATGCTTCTATGATGTGAGTTTTGTTATTATCTTTCGTTATATGAAAGAATGGCTTGCATCAATTTGTGTTAGTTAAGTTTTTTTTTTTGTGAGGATCTCATATTATGTTGATGATATGACTATTATTAGATCTCCCGAAGAGCTTCCTAAATCAGTTGATTGCTTAGAGACATAAGTTAAATTGAAGGATTTAAGATCCTTTTTATGGGCAAGGAAGGTAATGTTGAAAAAGTGGGAAAGTAATTTTGCATGAACGAATTGTGTTCATGAAATAACATTAGGATCCTAAGATCACTAGAAGTGACCAAAGATCCATTTAGAAATCAAGAAAGAAGTGAAACATTAGGTACTGAATTACCATATGTTGATGAATTAGAACACCAATGCACCTTACTAGCCAAGCACCATATAAACTATCATTTTGGTGTTGATAATATTGGCAAGATACAATGTCTCCCTCATTAGAACGTTGGAAAATACTTTGTTACCTCCGAGAACAATATATGCGATTGTTCTATTATGGTATTATCAAAGAGAGATTTGGTAAACTATATATCCAAATCCTATATATCATTTGATCCTCATATTGGTTGATCGGATACGAGCTATCTCTTACATATGGTGATATAAATGTTTCATAAAGAAACAAAACAAACTATAATGGGCAAGTCCTGAATGTCTTTCGTTACACTTTGTGATCCACCATATCTCAAGTACTTGTGGTTGTGAAATATTTTCAAATTAAATGATCCTGACGATCATTTATGAAGAAAATCTAAAGATCATGCATCAAATTGACAATCTAGAAGATTGTTCACTAACTCACTCCCGACAACAATCTTACTAAAAGTTGTTCGTGAAATTTGAGTTCAACGACTCAATAATCTGAAGTGATGTGGTCATGAGGGGGAGCATTACGCACTACACTCTTTTTCCCTTAACCATGGTTTTTTCCCAATGGGTTTTCCTGGTAAGGTTTTTAACGAGGCAGTATGAGATAGCGTAATGAAATCTAGTGGTCATCCAAGGGGGAGTATTATGTAAATATTGATATATGGATGACCAATGACCTACCACATTAGATGCTCACTTGGGAGTTACATGTAACCCCTATTTCTACGCCATTATCTCTCATTCTTATGCATTGATATAAGGATGTAGTGGTTACCAAAGTGTTCCAATAAATATAGCACAACATTGTATCAAAAGTGAAGAATGAATAAGAAGAACTCTTCCCCTCTCTTCTCTTGTGCCTTTCTCTCTCTAATCTTCTATTGTAGTTGTTAATATTTTCATTAGTTTCATAACAACAAAAACTTTGTTGCTAGAAAATGATTAAAACAACAGAAGTAGGGGTAGACGGACCGACCCGGGATGATATCTAAATACTTGCTCTATACTGCACCCGGCTAAAGTTCAAAAACTTAGAATCTAGTTGGGATTTTATTGTGGTGTAGTTTCGTGCGAGTCAAGTTTTTGACGCCGTTGCCGGGGAACAATGGTATGTTATCTTGAAAAGTTGTTGCTCTATACTGCACCCAGCTAGAGTTTAAAAACTTAGAATCTAGTCGGGATTTTATTGTGGTGTAGTTTCATGCGAGTCAATTTTTTGACGCTGTTGCCGGGGAACAATAGTCTGTTACTTGAAAAAGTTGTTGGTTGTTAATCTAGCTTTTAATTTCCAGTTTTGCAAGTGTGTGTGCTTTGCTTGTGCTAGACTTGGTGTGTTTTTTATTGTATGTAGGTGGTGCAAGACCCAGAGTAACCCGTCACCTTTGCTACCACTTGACAAGGACATAAACCGAACTCTCCGACTCTTAGCACGGGAGAGAGAGCTAGCGAAGGCAAGGAGAAGAAGTGAAAGAGGGGGACAGCGTTTGGGTCTCGGTGTTAGTGGAGAAGTAGTTGAAGAAGTGGAAATGGCAGGGAACCAAAGGCAAGATGGCGCTCAAGCCTGCCATTTGAACAATGCGGCGGAGGATGAGGATTCCCCGAGGACGATGGTGTACTATATGGCCCCAAGGCCGAAGGACATTCAATCACCAATCCTACATCCTCCAGTGGCGGCAACCAATTTCGAGATCAAGCCGGCTCTAGTGACTATGATAAAAAGTAATGCTCTATTCCACGGCCTTGAGAGTGAGTCACCAAGAGAGCACGTCCAAAGAGTTTTGGAGCTCGCGGGGAGCTTGAAAATCAATGGTGTGTCGGCCGAAGCTTTGCATCTAAGGCTTTTCCATTACTCACTCTTGGGGAAGGCACTTAGGTGGCTGAACAATAGCCCACCTCGGTCTATCACCTCATGAGACGACCTCCTCAACAAGTTTATCGCTCGCTATTGCCCGCCTTCGAAGACGGCGGAGTGGAGAAAGAAGATCACACATTTCGAGCAAGAAGAGGACGAGACCTTGAGGGATGCTTGGGAGAGGTACTCCGACTACTTTCTTCAGTGCCCTCACTACGGGTTTGAAGAACAGTTCCGGATCGAAACCTTCTATGGAGGCCTAATGCAAGAAGATAAAATTCTCACTAACTCCTTGTGTCAAGGAAAATTTATGAATATGGCTCCACCCCAAATAATCGAGATACTTGAAGACATGACCCTTAAGGGATACGATTGGGGGTCGACTAGTAGTGGAAGAAGAAGCAATGATAGGGGAGTGAGAAGCGTGGGAGCGAGTGCTCCGCTTGAGGCAAAGTTGGATAAGTTGCTTGAGGTTATGCTTGAAGATAAGAGGCAAGGAAAAAGGCAGGTGATGTCGTGCGAGCACCACCCGTGAGATGGAGGAGTCTCAAACAATGAAGGAGGCAACCACTCCGGAGGAGCAAGTCAACTTCGTGGCAAATGCTAGGGTCAACAACCCGTATAGCATTACTTATAACCCCGGATGGAGGAACCATACCAACTTTGCTTGGGCATCGTCGAAAAAACAGAGGCCCCCGGATTTTCAAGGCCCCACGGGAAATTTCCAACCTCGGCTGACCTTCATCCAACAAAGGTCCCAACTCCAAGGCTCAAGCTTCCAACTACCGTACCAATAACAAGGTGTCCTAGGGTTTCAACAACAACAACATGACAAGCTATCTAAGCTTGAAGACCTAGTGAACACCTTTGTGAGTACGAATAGCCAAAAGTTCGAAAAGATAGATCAATTTATGGTTGTGGCGACTACAAAGTTTACCTCGATTGAGGCGGGTCTCCAAAGACATCAAGCGAGCCTCCAAAGCTTGGAGGTGAAAATCGGCAACCTTTCCGGCAACCTCACCGAGAGACCCAAAGGAGCTTTACCTTCCTAAACTATGACAAACTCCAAGGACCATGCCGGGGTAAATGCAGTGGAAGTGAGGCGTGTGAAGGTGGTTCCGAAAGTTGCCACTACTGAAGTGATGGAGAAGGAAGATACCAACAAGTAAGAGACCAACCCAAAGAGGAGAGAAAAGAATCCCTCGAGGAATGAGAGGAAGGCAACAAGGGAGGCTTTGCCAGTGGATGGATACACACCACCACTTCCTTATCCCACAAGATGTACATGAAGAGGTTGGAGAACTAATGTGGAAGTTTCATGGAAATGCTCCCAAACCTCCACCTCAAAATCCCTTTCCTTGAAGCCATGGCTCAAATGGCACGATATGCCAAGTACATCAAATGATTCCTCACCAAGAAGCCAAAGCTTGAAGGCCTCACCAACGTGACTCTTGGCGAGGAGTGTTCGGCTTACCTCCTCGACCGCTTGCCCAAAAAGCGGTTCGACCCAGGTAGCTTTACTATCCCTCTTGATATTGGTAACCATCATATAGACATTGCCTTGGCGGACCTAAGAACTAGTGTTAATGTGATGCCCTACAAGCTTTTCAAAAATTTAGAAGTAGGTGAACTTAAGACCTCTAAGCTTAGCATCACCTTAGCCGACCGTTCGGTCATTAGCTCGAGAGGCATTGTAGAGGACATAATGGTGAGAGTTGGCAAGTTTTGCTATTCGACCGATTTCGTGATTCTCGACATAAGTGCAGACTCGGATATGCCCCTCACCATCGGTCGTCCTTTTCTTGCCACAGCAAAGGCATTGATAGACGTTAATGAGGGGACCCTAATTTTGAGGGATGGTAAGGAGAGAATCAAGTTTGAAATTTATCCTAGGGTTAGGAGTGATGAAGTGAAGGGAGTAGTTTCAAATGATGTGAATGAGATGGAGGAGAGCCCTCAAGGCAACCCCCACCATTACTTGTGTTGCTTTTGGTGATGTTGAGCAAGAAGTTAAGAAGGGTCCTAAGCCAAAAAGATCCAGGATGAATGCTTGGAAGAGAAGGATGAAATGAGCTTTGACCCAGAAGATGGGGGAGGCCGAAGAAATGTTGGCCAACAAAGAGGGCTAACTCAAGGAACCTAAGATGGGAGGATACAAGCCTCGCCCCGAGAGTGTGGTGGATCTGCTCTTGGTGGCATCACGTTCAAAGTCGTGATCGATCCCCAACCATCAAGCTAATGACGATAAATTATGATACACCCTAACCCGGCCGGGTACTACTTTTACTAAAATGCCCTTGAAAAATAAAATACTCAAAACTGAAATTGCAGCAGGAAAAATTTTCATAAATAAAAAAAAACTGAAAACACACACTTGTAGCTCAGAGCAAAGCCCTAACACGTGGGCAAATTAAACTCAAACTTTAAATCTCATCTGATCTCCAGTCTATACTCATAATCATAAAATGCAAATAACTAGGTAGTCTCTGTCGTTGCTTCTACTAAAAATATTAACTAGGCGTCCTCCGTGACTCTTGCACTGCCCTCCTCTAGCTGGCTGCCCTCGAACTTTTCCTCCCGAATTCGCTGCTCTCTAGCTGCTCCTCTAGCTAGCTGCTACTGATCTGGTTCTCGCTCATTCCCTTACTAAGGCCTGGTGAGTGAGTTGGGGTCAGTCTACGCCCTTACGTTTAAAATCTTATTAATACTTGATCACTCTACTTAACTTGGTGGAAGTTGTTTTGTACTTCCACTGTTATAAAAATCTGAACTCTTAAAACTGTATGGGATTTACTGTTACTCTCCATTCTTAAAGCTCAAATCTCGACTAAAATACTTGACTGACACGGGGATCCCTCACTAGCTAGTCCGGTTGCCAACTCATACGTATGAGAAGCCATCCAGGCTTTCCTTAAACTTAAACTTAGTTAGGGGAGTCGTAACGATTCATCCCCCTAACATCTTAAACTTATCGTGGTGGCTCTTCACCACGATTCTCAAGAGCATAACTGTTGCTCATCTTAAAAGTCTCAAGAGCATAACTACTGCACTATCTCAAAATGTATCAAAGGTCAACGGACTTGCGCTAGTGACTAAAAACACTTAACCGACCTCACCTTCTTGAAGGTGAGTTACTTCTTAAAAAGAACTTGTTTCTTAACTTTAACAATAACTTATAAATGTAAAGCTTTAATTTAAATAAGAACTCATGCACATTCACACAAACATAGCTCAAACAAAATCACATATCACCAATCATAAACACAATCAAGCAATAACAATCACTTCATCAAATACTTAAAGCTCGTCAAACTTGAAAGAATATGTAAGGCGTAGAATTTACCCCCTTCACACTCACCTTACTTCCGTCGGAATTGGCTATGATTTTGTTCCAAAGTTTCCATACTGGCTTCCAAATATTACACTCGTACTTGGTTGGACCAGCTTGCTTTGGACGTTATTGGACGGCGCTGGCAATAACAACCCCTCGTCGTCCGTCCGTGTGGAGAGATTGACACCTCCTGCTTTCTTAAGCATGGCCTCCTGCATGCTTAATAATGGTTCTGCTTGCTTGAATAATGGTCCTGGTGAGGGCGCAAGCGGATGAGAATCGCCTCCTGCTTGCTTAAGCTATCACCTCTCGTAGTAGAGAGACCACCTCTCGTAGCAAAGAGACCACAGAACACACTATTGAAAAGGCCCCGAACTTCTGACTTGCTGAAAGTAATGGGAGGTTGATGAATGTGGCAGTAGTCATCGAAAACAATTGCCTTGTCTATGCTAAGATCCGTGAATACAATAGCCTGGAAATCAGACAGTGGTTCCTTCTTGAATGGGCCAGTTAAAGTGGAAATCACCACAGAGTTGTTTAGTTCTTGTAAGTTCTGGATACAAGCAAGAGCCCTGTTCTTCCCAACATCTTGTTCTGTGAAGACGAAATTGCTAGACAAGTCCCACAACTCCACCATTCCTTCATCATATAAGGTCACAGACGTGACTCCAGCAAGAACCAGGTTCTTCGCATTCTCAGCGTCGAGTCCATTCATCCCGGATATGAGAACATTGGAAACAAACAGCCTTCGCATAGTCTCGCGGCCGTAGACAGCAAGTTGATGGCTGTGCAGATCCTCATCGATATCTTGCTGGTTTCCGCTTCCTAGAGTCATGATCGATGAGCCGATGTTGCTGTTACTGCTAGCGTTGCCGGAGTTGCTGCTGTTGGTGTTTACGTTGACGGTGGTAGTGGTTGCGGGAGATCCCGTGGCCGCGGAAGCTGTTTCGATGGCGTTACAGATAGATCTCTCTTCTCCTTCTACTGTAACCTCTCCTCCACCAGCTCTCGAGAAGAATGAGGAAGCAATCGGATCGATCGAGAAGGAGTGGGTAAGAAGAAGGCTTAGAGGTTTGTCTGGCGATTGCTTTTAGGGTTTGGGAGGGAACGTGACCGGAGAGGATGAGGAGGTTCGGGTCGGTGGGTTCAATGTCGGCTTTTTGTAGAGGGGAGAGAGAGTGATAGAGAAGGAACTAGGAAGGGCTGTGGCCGCTCGGACCTCCTGTCCCATTACTTCAATTTTTTTTAATAATAATATAATAAAAATTATGTTATTATTATTATTATTCCTAGCCCGTGATTGTAATCCTTCATACGTAACCGTTAACCCAATCGTTCACGTATTTTGGTCAAACCTGAACCCAAAATTCGGGGTGTTACATTTCCTCCACCCTTATAAAAAATTTCGTCCCCAAAATTTGTTCGGAACTCATCCTTCTATCAACACCCGTCTTATACTTCTCCCCACGATCATTTATTCTTACCATAGTAACTTCGTTGGTAACCTTTGATCATTTAAAATTCCCTAGCTTGTAACACTTGTGTAACCCTGAGTGACTCACTGCCTTTTTATTTCATAATTTGACCCCCAAACGTGGTGAACCAAATGCCAGTTTGGCTTGTCATGTTGATCCAATTCTCCTGGTAGCTGATGTTGAACTTAAATCCAAAATTGAGATATCATATTCCTCCCCTCCATAAGAAAAATTTCGACCTCGAAATTTTTTCATCGTGATAGCTTAAAGTCCTACTTGAGGAATCCTTTTACTACGGGGATTTATACTTCTGTTACTTTGTACGACCTTGAGCTATGAATCTTTCCTCCAATTCGTTGTGGTACTTGGCTGACTTAGAAGTCACCCATTTCTCATAAACCACTTACTCAGCTAGCTACTTGCTCAACGCGACTATGACACTCCCCCTTCATAGACGCCATTGATACTATAATGGCTTCTAACTTCATGTTGTTCTCAGCAGTTTGTATTAGGTCTCTACTCCGGATTCCTTAAGAAACATTAAGGAAATAAATTCTTAGATAACCCTATTCAGGATATGACCCGTCGCAACTTCATTTGATAAGGTGCTTAGACCTTGAACTACTACGCTTTCCATATCCTGACTGCTGACATCTCAACTTGAATTCCCTGACATCGATTTCCATAGTGAATACTTGACTTGGTTAATGGCTTACTCATAGGTCGCTCACTCGGTATCGCTTCTTCCCCCTCTGTATACCTCATTATTCCCATGTTTGGTAACTCCCCTTGATGCACAACTTGATGTCTGATTCACCATATATGGTACCTTTAGCATGGTCAATCCCTAGACACCCCTATTGATATCCGTAATACCCCTTTTTAATCCTAAGATTACTGTTGACGGCATAACCTCCTTCTAGTTAGATCACAAAACTCTTATTACGTAACCTCGATCGTGGTTGACCACGTAGGGCACCTAGGTCCTTGTACCTTCTAACTTAAAATCCTTACTTTCTTCCAAGATGCTTCGTCTCTCCCTTTAGCCATCAACTGAATGGTCATATCCTCGTTACTTCTTACTTCACCCTGAAACCTCACACTACTGCTTTTACTTCCTGTATGCATTAAATGCATCTTTTGCATCCTTCTCTAGCTTGCTAACAACTTTATGACTCCCTTCAAGAGTCATGATTTTCCCTTTCGCTTATTTGTTCACTCATGGTTCCTAACTTAACACTTCTTTATCGCCGCCTGAATCTGAAACTATCGTACTATCCATTCTGCTACTCTTAGATCCTAGCTGAAATTCCTCGTACGGTTTTCCGTCCAATAGAGTCTTACCCAAGAGATTGACACCTTTCACCAACATAGGCGATCTTGGTTTCACTTTGGAGTATTCTAGCAGGTTCCCTAAACTCATATCCCTCTTACTTCTTTACCCGTGACTCTTATTCTTTATGTTCCTTTCTAGGTTTAGGTGTCCCTTGTTCTCGATGTAGTCCTCTAGGCTCTTATATTCTCTTCTCACTTATGTACTTTGGCCTTTAAGGTTTTCCCTTCGACTATTCTTGACGACCTTGATTCCACCTTAAAATTGACTAAAATTTCTTGATGGAGTTCCTATGGATCACTTGTTCTCCGCTAGTATTCAACCTAATGCTTATCTGTAACCGAAAGGTCTTATGTTCTAATCCCGGTAACCCCCATTTGTTAGCACATGGTGTCTGATGCCTGTGCAAACTTCAAACCCATATATGGTGGCTTTCGTTTAAGGGGGTGTGTTGGTATGTGGTATATGATCCAGAATTGAACCTCTCCCAACAACTCGAGTTATTAGGATCAACTGGTTCTTGGCATGGTATTAGAGTCTTCTGTAACCAAGTGGTCTTTTGTATTACTGCTTCGGCCCATCTTAGCTAGCTTCCTTGACTTCATACACTACGACTTCTCTAATGCCACTTCATAGTTATGGGCTTACGGCTTCCCAAACTCCAGTACTACTTCTAGATTGCTTACCAATCTTTAAGCAATTTTAACGATGAATTCGCACAAAGAAACTTGTAAATCCCACCTGAGACTTGACCAATTGACTTCTTGAAATCTCATCAAACTTCCTCTAGCCTTCTTGCTCATTCCTGTATTGTACGCAAACTCTCTTTATTACGACCGTTGAGACTCTTCCTCGAAATCTCTTACATCTATACTTCCAATAAATGTTCTACATCCTTGTCTATACTCGGTTGGTTGAATGACTTACTCCTACAGCTGGTTTCAAGACTCCAGCTCTTAGTCCTCTAGTTCCAACTTATTACAGAGGCTCCTCCTTCTGTCACCCCTCATGTACCCTAGGTGGCTAGGTGTTCCCTCCATTTAGGAAAGGACAACCCCATAACAGATCATCACGAACTCTTGCATTCCCATTTCAACAGTCCCAACAACCTCCAGACCTTTCATGATCTGGGTAGTTTGTAGAGTCTCTCATATACCAATCCATCCTATTTCTAGCTTGGCATTGTTAACTAGCACATTGGTATTCTTGATCCAAGCTCGTCCTCTACCTCAATCATCTTGACTCTTGTCTTGTTCCTTATAAAGACTTGCTACCGGCCTAATTGTCCAGGTCATGTACCCTATTCACGAGTGACGTAGTTTATCTACAAGGGTTCCTTTATCGTCATTATGTAAGTGACCATAACTCCTCTCTGCCTTGTCCTTTTAACTTCTTGACGTCCTTTCATACCCCATGTAGCCTACTTATTTCCTCCTTTGCTTCCTTTATACTACCCTAGCATTTCTTAAAGTCTAAACATTCCTCTGCTCTTTGTCACTGTGTTGTAATGGCATTGAGCCATCGGGGTACTTCTCGGGGTACCTCTTCCTTTCTTGACCCGTTGCCCACTTTCCACTGCTTAGGACCAAAGACCCTAACATCATCCTATTATCATAGCTACTGGCATCTGGTGATTGTTCCTCTTCCTTTGGAGATTCATATTACTCCCCTTTGTTTGTCTTAGCTTATTAGATCATCCACTTGTTTCCTTGTAGTAAAATCCTCGTACTATTCTCTCAACTCCTTCAAAATCCTTGAGGTATTCTCTTTCAATTGGCACCTCTTTGCTGGCGTTTGGACTTGAAGTCCTCGCACATTTGATTCTACCTCCACAGACCTTTGCAACGTTCCTCCTTCCTTCAAGAGAACCACCAAAGCTTGGAGGTGCAAATCGGCAACCTTTCCGGCATCCTCACCGAGAGACCCAAAGGAGCTTTACCTTCCTAAACTATGACAAACTCCAAGAAACATGCCGGGGTAAATGCACTGGAAGTGAGGAGTGTGAAGGTGGTTCCGAAAATTGCCACTACTGAAGTGATGGAGAAGGAAGATACCAACAAGGAAGAGACCAACCCAAAGAGGAGAGAAAAGAATCCCTCGAGGAATGAGAGGAAGGCAGCAAGGGAGGCTTTGCCGGTGGATGGATACACACCACCTCTTCCTTATCCCATAAGGATGTACATGAAGAGGTTGGAGAACGAGTTTGGAGGTTTCATGGAAATGCTCCCAAACCTCCACCTCAAAATCCCTTTCCTTGAAGCCATGGCTCAAATGGCACGATATGCCAAGTAAATCAAAGGGTTCCTCACCAAGAAGCCAAAGCTTGAAGGCCTCACCAACATGACTCTTGGCGAGGAGTGTTCGGCTTAACTCCTCGACCGCTTGCCCAAAAAGCGGTTCGACCCAGGTAGCTTTACTATCCCTCTTGATATTGGTAACAATCATATAGACAATGCCTTGGCAGACCTAGGAGATAGTGTTAATGTGATGCCCTACAAGCTTTTCAAAAAGTTAGAAGTAGGTGAACTTAAGACCTCTAAGCTTAGCATCACCTTAGCTGACCGTTCGGTCATTAGCTCGAGAGGCATTGTAGAGGACATGATGGTGAGAGTTGGCAAGTTTTGCTATTCGACCGATTTCGTGATTCTCGACATAAGTGCAGACTCGGATATGGCCCTCATCATCGGTTGTCCTTTTCTTGCCACCGCAAAGGACTTGATAGACGTTAATGACGGGACCGTAATTTTAAGGGATGGTAAGGAGAGAATCAAGTTTGAAATTTATCCAAGGGTTAGGAGTGATGAAGTGAAGGGAGTAGTTTCAAATGATGTGAATGAGATGGAGGAGAGCCTCTCAAGGAAACCCCCACCATTACTTGTGTTGCTTTTGGTGATGTTGAGAAAGAAGTTAAGAAGGGTCCTAAGCCAAAAAGATCCAGGATGAATGCTTGGAAGAGAAGGATGAAATGAGCTTTGACCCAGAAGATGGGGGAGGCCGAAGAAATGTTGGCCAACAAAGAGGGCTAACTCAAGGAACCTAAGATGGGAGGATACAAGCCTCGCCCCGAGAGTGTGGTGGATCCGCTCTCGGTGGCATCACGTTCAAAGTCGTGATCGATCCCCAACCATCAAGCTAATGACGATAAATTATGAAACACCCTAACCCGGCCGGGTACTACTTTTACTAAAATGCCCTTGATAAATAAAACACTCAAAACTTAAATTGCAGCAGGAATAATTTTCATAAATAATAAAAAAAACTTAAAACACACACATGTAGCATAGAGCAAAGCCCTAACACGTGGGCAAATTAAACTCAAACTTTAAATCTCAATCTGATCTCCAGTCTATACTCATAATCATAAAATGCAAATAACTAGGTAGTCTCTGTCGTTGCTGCTACTGAAAATCTTAACTAGGCATCCTCCGTGACTCTTGCACTGCCCTCCACTAGTTGGCTACCCTCGAACTTTTCCTCTCGAATTCGCTGCTCTCTAACTGCTCCTCTAGCTAGCTGCTACTGATCTGGTTCTTACTCATTCCCTTGCTAAGGCCTGGTGAGTGAGTTGGGGTTAGTCTACACCCTTAAGTTTAAAATCTTATTGATACTTTATCACTCTACTTAACTTGGTGGAAGTTGTTTTGTACTTCCACTGTTATAAAAATCTTAACTCTTAAAACTGTATGGGAGTTACTGTTACTCTCCATTCTTAAAGCTCAAATCTCGACTAAAATACTTGACCGACACGGGGATCCCTCACTAGCTAGTCTGGTTGCCAACTCATACGTATGAGAAGCCATCCAGGCTTTCCTTAAACTTAAACTTAAACTTAGTTAGGGGAGTCGTAACGATTCATCCCCCTAACATCTTAAACTTATCGTGGTGGCTCTTCACCACGATTCTCAATAGCATAACTGCTGCTCATCTTAAAAGTCTCAAGAGCATAATTGCTGCTCTATCTCAAAATGTCTCAAAAGGCAACGGACTGGCGCTAGTGACTAAAAACACTTAACCGACCTCACCTTCTTGAAGGTGAGTTACTTCTTAAAAAGAACTTGTTTCTTAACTTTAACAATAACTTATAAACGTAAAGCTTTAATTTAAATAAAAACTCATGCACATTCACATCAAACATAGCTCAAACAAAATCACATATCACCAATCATATACACAATCAAGCAATAACAATCACTTCATCAAATACTTAAAGCTCATCAAACTTGAAAGAATACGTAAGGCGCAGAATTTACCCCACTCACCTTACTTATGTCGGAACTGGCTATGATTTTGTTCCAAAGTTTCCATACTGGCTTCCAAATATTACACTCGTACTTGGTTGGACCAGCTTGCTTTGGATGTCATTGGCCGTCGCTGGCAATAACAACCGCTCGTCGTCCGTCCGTGTGCAGAGATTGACACCTCCTGCTTGCTTAATCATGGCCTCCTGCATGCTTAATAATGGTCCTACTTGCTTGAATAATGGTCCTGATGTGGGCGCAAGCGGATGAGAATCGCCTCCTTCTTGCTTTAAGCTAGCACCTCTCGTAGTAGAGAGACCACCTCGCGGTAGAAGAGAAATCACAGAACAAACTACTGAAAAGGCCCCGAACTTCTGACTTGCTGAAGGCAATGGGAGGTTGATGAGTGTGGTAGTAGTCATCGAAATCAATTGCCTTGTCTAAGCTAAGATTCGTGAATACAACAGCCTGGAAATCAGATAATTGTTCCTTCTTGAGTGGGCCAGTTAAAGTGGAAATAACCACATAGTTGTTTAGTTCTTGTAACTTCTGGATACATGCACGAGCCCTGTTCTTCCCAACATCTTGTTTTGTGAAGACCAAAAAACTCCCACAACTCCACCGCTCCTTCATTATGTAAGGTCACAGACTTTACTCCAGCAAGAACCAGGTTCTTCGCAATCTCAGCGCCAAGTCCGTTCATCCCGGATATGAGAACTTTGGAAGCAAACAACCTTCGCATAGTCTCGCGGCCGTAGACAGCAAGCTGACGGCTGTGCAGATCCTCATCGATATCTTCCTGGTTTCCGTTTCCTAGAGTCGTGATCGACGAATCGCTGTTGCTGTTACTGCTAGCATTGCCGGAGTTGCTGCTATTGATGTTTACGTTGACGATGGTAGTGGTTGCGGGAGATCCCGTGGCCGCGGCAGCTGTTTCGATGCGGTGCTTCTTGATGAGCGATTCGATGGCGTTACAGATAGGTCTCCCTTCTCCTTCTACTGCAACCTCTCCTCCACCAGCTCTCGAGAAGAACGAGGAAGCAATCAGATCGATCGAGAAGGAGTGGGTAAGAAGAAGGCTTAGAGGTTTATCGGGCGATTGCTTTTAGGGTTTGGGAGGGAACGAGACCGGAGAGGATGAGGAGGTTCAGGTCGGTGGGTTCATTGTCGGCTTTTTGTAGAGGGGAGAGAGAGTGATAGAGAAGTAACTAGGACCCAACCGTTAACCCAACCGTTCACGTATTTTGGTCGAACCTGAACCCAAAATTCAGGGTGTTACAAATTATCACTTGTTGGGAGGCAACCCAATGGAGGTTTGTTTTCTTTCCCTTATTTTTTGTTTTAGTGTCTTGTGAAGAGTTCTAGTGGTGAAGTGGTGTCCCATGTCGGGTGTTGTGGTTTTGCGGTTTATGGTTGTGTTGGGATCGATTAAGAGGCACGGAGGAATAGGTTGAGTCAATATTTTATCAGAAGTGCCCTGTTTTCACTTATTTTCACGGACGGATTGCTGAGTTCACGGTCTTATAAGACCGTGAACATGCAAACGTGTCTGTGAACTGGGTACTGATGCATGTTCACCACCTGTCAACCACTGCGTGTTTACGGACACGTTTGAGAGTTCACGGTCACTAAGACCGTGAACTGGGCAACGCGTCCATGAACTCTGAGTCGTGCCTATAAAAGGGGCGTCAACGACGAATCTTCACTTCACGACAAAAATCTCGCCTGAAAATTTCAAATCTTGGCCGGAAAACGCAAAAAAATGTCGGTTTTTTTTACTTTCCCCCCATTTCCGGTGAGAAAAACCCAAAACCAACGTCATACCCAGTCTCCTCTCCTCAAAACCGGCTTGTGCTGAGATTTTGGGGAGATTTGGAGCACATTTTCCCGGCCAAATCACCGGCGGCGAGTCTCCAACGAGCTTCCGACGATGCTCTGGCGACCCCTCTTCAGTCAGTTTCCGACCGTTTTTCACCGTCCTTGCTCGCACCTCACTTCCTCCTATGTCCTACTTGTGTCTCCAGGTTTGTTTTTTGACTTTACCTTTGTGAATTGTGGAGAATCGGATTAGGTGGTGAAGTGAGGTTGAATTTTTGTGCTTTGCATGATTGAATCTAGATATAGGGCGAGGAATTAGGTGAATTAGGTCGATTGAATGATGGATTGATTTTTGAATGAGCTTAGTGAGCCTTGGTGGGCGTGTTAGAACCGAATTGTGTTTATTTTTAGAATTTGCCCACCAAGTGCTATGTTATTAATGCAAATGGAGTTTATACTTGTTTGGTGGATGGTAGCCACCGTGGTAAGGGTTGTGGTTCAACTTTTTGTGTCCTTGAAAGGTGAATTACCCACCATCATGCCACGGTGGTTTGGGCTTAAATGTTTGATAACCATGGTGGAAAAACAAGTGTGGGTGGGAATTTCTTTCCCTCCCAATTAGCATTATTTGACGAATGTTTCCACGTATGGTGTGTGTTTGTATTTGTGCAGGATGCTTAACTTGGAGCATGAGTTCATCAGTTATTTGGTGAACCACCCAAACTTTGGCGACAAGTTCACCTACCAGAGTGGTAGCCCCATTGGGCCTCACTGGCAGCTGGACCAAGACTTATTTAACTTGTTCAAGTGCCGAGCCGCGATGACTGGAGTGCTCAGCCACCCCCAGTGGCGCCAGCTCTTGACCATGACGAGGAAATATACCATGAGCTATGCATGGACTTTTACTCAACCTTCTCCCACATCGTTCCGACCAGCAAGAAGCGCCGACCACGAATGGAGTTTATGTTGGGAGGTCAGCCACAAGTGTTGACCTATGATGCCTTTACACAGGCCATGAGGCGCGACACCGCCCACATGACGATGACAGAGCGGCAGTACACCGTCGACTTCAATTACCAGGGCGCATTCCGAGCCCTCTACCACCTAGAGCACGAGGAGGACGAGTTCGAGGGGAGCCTCACCAATGCGGAGAAGCTAAAGACCCATTGGAGGATCCTCCACTCTCTGCTAACCAGATCCGTCATACCCAAACTCCAGTCAGGCCACTTGATGATGAACAAAGGGCTCATTGCCCTCTACTCGATGCAGAGTTCAGCAGAGTCGATCCATCTGGGATCATTGATCGCCACCTCTTTCGCCCGGAGCATGAGGCTGAACAGAGTGGACACTATGCATGTGGGGGGCATCATCACGAGGATCACATGTCACTTCCAGGTGGATCTGGCCTACTGTACTAGAGTCGGAAGGATGGAGCCCTTCCTAGTGGAAACATTGTATAACCAGAAGCTGTTACTCCAGGGCAAGAGAGGAGTGGAGTACCTTGACGGACTCCGACCTTCCGGAGTGATCCGAGCTGCAGTATCACCGACTCTTGTAGATCCTGACCCCGAGGTCCTGCCAGCAGTCGAGCAGCCACCTGCTCACGCACCCGGCCGCCACCGCCCAGTGTTCCAGCACCCTGCATAGCAGGCACCAGCAGCAGCAAGCGATCCCCTCGTCCAGAGGGTGCCTAGAGACGAACTTCATGGGATTCTCATCGCTGCTCGACCGACATACCGACATCGTCGAGCTTATGGCTCGACGCCAGGGTATCCTACCCGATTTTGGAGAGGGTCCATCCACCGGAGAGAGGTAACCGACGAGTGAGACATGTGGTAGAGCGGAGTCCTTTCGCCCCACTTCTCTACTTGTAACCCTGAACTTGTTTTTGTTATTTTTCTTCATTTTGTATGAGTGTGTGACATAACTACTACTATGTATTGTGCTTGTAATAACCTCACCTCGAGCGAGTCGTATTGTGTTTGTGTGTGTTTTTTTGTCTCTCTATGAGCTCAATTATTCTACCCCAGTTCGATTCCAACTTTCACTCACTAAGCCCAAGCGATAACACCATTCTACCCCTTTCTTTCACCATTGAGGGCAATGTCGAGTTTAAGTGGGGGGGGGGGGGGTAGTTTACTAGTACGCTTGTGTGTGTGATTGATGCTTGGAGACTTTTGTATGCCCAAATTTTAAAAATTTGAGGGCTCCAAGCAATGTTTGCATAAGCAAAGTGGCCGGATGGTGGGAAATTCTCGTGTTTATTGGCATTGATCATGACTTGTTGCATGTGATCGAGTATATCCTATGATGATGACGGAGAAGTTCATTATGATAGGGCAAAAGTTTAGTTCTCGGGTGTGCATAAATGAATGGATGTCTTGACTTGATCACTTGTTGCTTACAATTGTCATGCATCGTGTTTGTGAATTGGAATAGATGGTTGGGTAACTACGTAGCTTGTGAGCTTTGAGCCGATCTAATACGCCCCTGGGGGGTGTATGTTTATCAAAGTCACACAGCAAACAACTCAATCGAAGAATCGATTGAGCTCGAATCAAGAACGAAGTGTTCTTAATACGAACTTGGATAAAACGGAACCAAAAGGACAAATCCACACCCGGGGATAGCTCGATTGGTATAAAAGGGTAGTTGCTCGACCACGATTGAAGTGACTATTTAATCGATACACAAGCTCAGCAAGTTTGGAATCCACCAAACCCAAAACAAGTCGCAACTTGCACAAACCAAACGGTTTCTTTTCTATTCAATCAACTCTTGATTTTACAACGAAATAGAAGGTATTTAAAGGCAAATAAACCTAATACAATCCTAATAGAGCTAGGCAACAATTAAGGTAAAAGTCTACACTAAAAAGGACACAAAAATTTGGGTTTAAACTCCCTTTCTTGAAGCACAAGCAAGCTGCCAGCTAACTGTCAAAAGGCAGCTTTCGTACTAACTTCGCGCCATTCGTTCAAAACCTTCCCGAACTCTAATCCTTCATACAATTCCTTCCCTTTGTACATAAACATACCTAGTTTCATGTTTTGGAAGCCTTTTGACTTGAATCCCATCCAGGATCCTTGAATTCAGCTCCAAAGTAGGCTTCACAAAACAGTTTTCTGCCTTGGGCATTTTCTGGCAGTTTTCCAGTTTTGAGGTAGCAACTTTGAAGCCTTGGAAAACAAACTTAATGACATCATCTGGATCCACAAAGCATATCATTGGAAAGATGTAAAATTTATATACAAAACAAACCCTTAACCTTTAATTTACACCAACCCAATTGAGAGAACCATGCCTCCAAAGTATGTACCCTGAACACGGATTTTGACTTTCCACCTTCGATAGCTTCTTTGTCAAGTAATTGTGACGTGAATGGTTGGCAATTTAGGATCATATCACGATCGTTTTCTTCCAGTGTGATATTTCCTTCTTACCACGGTGTGTAGCATCACAGTTGTCACTAGAAACTATGATGGAGGCATAGGATTAGTCCACGCCCAAATGTTGATTTTCCTGAAATATTTCATCCTTTAGTCAACCCCTTCGATCCTTGTGACTTCGAGGGTCATTCTCAATTTAGGAGCTTTGTGTATGTGAGCTTAATGGTGTTAATAGAACGGCCCCTTTCCTTTCTTCGTGTCTAAACATGAGTCATCCTTGTGTCCCGGAGCTCTCGCCTTTGAGTTTCCATAGAGGTTCTACACAGGAGGGTCATGTGCGGTCCTTGCAAGGGATGAGAAAAATGAAGTGTAGTGTTAGAGTGATTTCCTCAAAAAGAGAGCATTGATCGTTAAATGTATAGGTGTCAAGTGTTTTTACTCTCTAGTACCCCCCTCGAAAAGAAAAGAAAAAGAAAGAAAAGAAAAGATAAACAAAAAAAGAGGTAATAAAATGGGGTGAATAAAGTAGAGAGTGCCACGAAAAACCAAAGTACATGTTGTAGGAGGGGTTTCTTGGCACCCAAGCCATCGAAACCCCACATTGTTTTAGAACTCCTTCACTGCCAAACCTTTATGTGCTTGCAATAGTAGACCGAGGAAGAGTGCTTCAATGTAGTTCACGATGGGTGATAGTTTGGAAAGGACAGATAAGGGTTTTGGCCGAATCTAGTGGCCTTGGATTGAAAACAAGGGTTTTAGTCGAAACCATAGAACGTTCGGGTTTAGGTTGAAGATGTAGAACCTCACGTCATGATTGCCACCACCCAAAAAGCCTTTTTCCCATGCCCAAGACAATTGCTAGTCATCTGAACCCGTATCTAAGACCTCCGGACGAGCTAGTAGTGACAACCATCCCGTGAACTCTAACATTTAGAGGTTACTGTCGTGGTATTGAGACGATAGGGCCGAGAGTTTATGATTGTGCACATCTTTTGCATCAAAAAGGTCTCGACCCCACTGGTCTTGAGAGTGAGTGAATCATTCTTGTTTAGCATGTCATATCATACCCCTGTTAGGACCTTTGTTGTCTTTCCATCTATTCCTTGGACTTGAATTCCATGCATGGTCGGTTGTGGTTGATAAGTGGTCTTGTTGCGACTTTGTGGCCTTTGAGCTGTCCCCAAAGTATTTGTGTAGGTTAAAATATTACATTGTGTGAAATGGTTTGCATGGGGACAAACAAATGTCTAAGTGTGGGGGAGTGATTAGGGCCAAACTGTACATGTTTTGCCCCCGTTTTACTTAAGTGTTTGTGCCAATTTCACTCCTAAAAGGTTGGTTTTACGCTATGTTCTTCGTCTTTTAATGTGTTTCAGGTTTTATAAGGTGAAACCAGCCTCGGAGTCAAAAGTTGGACGAAAAGGATCAAAAACCGGGAGAAGAGGTGAAAAAGGGCCAGTTCACGGTTATCCAAGGAAGTTCACGATCTTGCACGATCGTGAAGAAGAGTCGTTGACCGTGAATCGCAAGGCTTCCAGAGCCAAAAAACGGAGGTTACTGACGCAAGGTGAGTTCACGGTCACTAAGAGCGTGAACAAAGGTTGTTGACCATGAACTCAAGCCGTGAACTGAGCTCGTCTTTGATTTAAATGATGAGCTGAAAGGAGGAGAGAAGGGAGAGCCCACTTTGTGTGAAAAGCCTTCTTCAGATTTCTAGAGAGAGAAACACGAACCAAGGAAGAAAAAGGCTAGGATTTTGCTTCAAGGTGGATTTTGGGAAGATTTCCTCCAATGAAAGCTCAACAAAAGGGCCAGGGAGATTGAGAGCATCCTCCAAGATGGTTTCCTCTTCTTCTCTTTATGTTTTTCCCATTTCTAGCATGGAGTAGATCTTCTTTCACTTGGGTGTTGTGAAACCCTAACTCTACCATGTGTTTCTTTTATGCGAATTGAATGATTGTCACTGGGTATTGTTTAATGCAATGATTGAGGTATTTTTCATGATTTATTGTGCATGCTTTTTCATAGCAACCTAAGGGTTGTGCATGTTTTGTGCTTAGCATCCTTAGGTTTGTGCATTTTGGTGCTTAGCAACCTAAGGATTGTGCATAATTATGCTTAGCACCCTTAGGTTTGTGCATGTTGGTGCTAGCAATTTAATTAGCCACCTTAACCTAGTTTAGAGAGGAAAATTCCCCTTCCAAGGGAGACTCAATCGAGTTGGTTTTCCTTCAGCTTTTAAGCCACCTAACTAGGTTAATTTAGGGCAACCGTTAGTGTTGAGTTAAGCAAATAGGTTAATCGTGATTAAGCCATTCGACCTTTGAGTTGAGTGAGGCAGTAAGTCAATTACCGATTGCCTAAAGCGAGAGGGTCGAGTGACACGGCCTTTAATGTTCACCTCGGTTTAGCAATTGAGATTGTGGTCCCCGACCATGTATGCATCCCTCTGCGGTTCGCGATTACCTTTCCCAAAAAAATCATTCCAATTCGTATAGCATGGTAGTAGTTAGGAGGAAGCGACACCCGAGTGATCTTTCCACAAAAGAGTTTTCAAAACCCATTAACCTTTGTCCTATTTTAGTACAATTAGCAAAATTTTAAACCAAAACTTTGTTACTAGATAATGATTAAAACAACTGAAGTAGGGGTAGATGGACCGCCCGGGTTAATATCTAAATACTTGCTCTATACTGCACCCGGCTAGAGTTTAAAAACTTGGACTCTAGTCGGGATTTATTGTGGTGTAGTTTCATGCGAGTGAGACCATTAGTCGACACTTCAGACTGAATAAGAACCTTCCACGGTATAATTGTCATTAAATCTGGACTTGGTGAATTACAACTTGGCTTAACTGCAATCTAGGAGGAACCATATCTGGGTGACCTCTCTCAAACTTGAACTACAACCTTTACTGTTTTTTTGTTTGTTTAGATTAATTACAGCCTCAGTACCGTTAAACAGCTAGATAACATGAATTCAGGGAGTAGTCATCACATTTAGGACCTGGGTTGACAAATAAAGCTAAACCCACTATACTACGCATTAGTAGGTGGTTACACTTTGCCACTTTCTAGTGTGACGATACAGGCGAGTTAGACTTCAAGACATCAAAGGATGTAGGATTGGTCCTACTATCCAACCAAAATTGCACGGCCCTGAGCTCAACTTGGAAATACTTAGCTAGACTAGTGACAAAAAAAACTCCTCCATGAAGGGCAACAAGTCGATGGTCTGTCCATAACGCTTGAAGATGGACAAGATGGCCAAACCGAGGTGAAGAGATTAAGGTAGAAGCATGTTTTGGAAGAAGGTGACGTCTCGGCCAGTCAAATTGCCTTCACTTTTGTTCTTTCCAACCATAGACTATAAAAACTATTTTTCAAGGACTCTCATCAATTCTCTAAGTTCCCCCCCCCCCCCACACACACACACACACACTTCAGTAATACTAAGGCTTGCACAAAAGAGAGGACTTAAATGAAGATGGAGTTCAATGACAAGGAATAGTGCTAGGATTTCCCCAAACAATACACAATCAAGTAAACAAGAGTTAACAAGTGCATGGAGGTTGATGCTCAATGAGTAGGATTAAAGAAAATAAAAACTTCGTAGTTGGGGACTTTCTACGAACACTTGTTGGCCGCTCTTTGAAAACTCAAGAAATGCATGAAAATAGCCCACCAAGGTCTCTCGAAATGCATATCAAGAACATTGAAGCAAAGAAACAATCCTATGGCATCTAAAAGTTATGCGGAGATGAAGATGAGCATTTCAAGGTCTCAAGGCATTCAACACATGTTGAGCAAAACAAGGTTAGTTAAAATATGGAGAAATGAAAAAGTGAATTTATCTTCACAGGAGACATGTTGGAAATCCACAAACAATTAAAAATGCTTCTCAAGAGATGTTGGAAAGTGAAGTAGAGAAGTTATGCTCAACAAGCTAAGAGAGGTGGAGAAACATGGCATTTAGATCTAAAATATGAGATGGAGAGGCTACACAAAGATGCAATGTGAATCTTTCCCTTAAATAAGCACATGCAAGATCGCGAGTTGTTGGCACGAGATTGCGACCACAATCTTTTTCGTGAAGGCCGCGATCTTAAGGGCTCTGATTCTACCATTTGGCTAAAAGGTTAATTAAAATCCTGAGGTTTAGAGTATCGGACCATGGTGCCTAATCTAAGAGGTTCCAGACAAAGTTCATGCCCAAGGGCTCCATTTCTGAAGCCGCGAACTAGGATCCGCAGGCCGGAATCTTCTCTCCTGCTTCGCAGTCTATTATCTCGACTGAGATCTTTTCCTTCTAGACTGTGATTCCTGCCCATTTCACATTTGTGCCCTTTTTCGTACCTAATTCGCATATATCATCTAAACCACCATAAAATCAGGACATTTGTGCCCTTTTTCGTACCTATTTGTGCCCTTTTTGTGACAGAGCGGAGTCTTTTTGCCCCACTTCTCCACTTGTAACCCTAAACTTGTTTTTTGTTTTTGTATCTTTCTTCATTTTGTGTGTTGTGACATAAACTACAACTATGTATTGTGTTTGTAATAACCTCGCCTCGAGCGAGTCGTATTGTGTTTGTGTGTGTGTTTTTGTCTCTCCTTGAAGCTCAAATTATCCTACCCCGGTTCGATTCGAACTTTCACTCACCAAGCCCAAGCGGTAACATCATTCTACCCCTTTCTTACGCCATTGAGGGCAATGTCGAGTTTAAGTGTGGGGGGAGAGGTGGTTTACTAGCATGCTTGTGTGAGTGTGATTGATGCTTTGAGCCTTTTGTATGCCCAAATTTCAAAAATTAGAGGGCTCCAAGCAATGTTTGCATTATCAAAATGGCCAGATGGTGAGAAATTCTCGTGTTTATTGGAATTGATATTGAATTATTGCATGTGATCGAGTATATCCTATGATGAAGACTGAGAAGTTCATTAGGATAGGGCAAAAGTTTAGTTCTCAGGTGTGCATAAATGAATGGATGTCTTGACTTGATCACTTGTTGCTTACAATTGCCATGCATCGTGTTTGTGAATTGGAATAGATGGTTGGGTAACTAGGTAGTCTGTGAGTTTTGAGCCGATCATTTTCTTCTGGTGTGATAATTCCCTCTTACCACGGTGTGTAGCATCACAGTTGTCACTAATAAGTATGATGGAGGCATAGGATTAGTCCACGCCCAAATGTTGATTGTCCCGAAATGTGTCATCCTTTAGTCAACCCCTTTGAGCCTTGTGACTTCGAGGGTCGTTCTCAATTTCGGAGCTTCATGCTTGTGAGATTAATGGTATTAATAGAACGAACCCCAATCCTTTCTTCGTGTCTAAACATGAGTCATCCTTGTTTCCCGAAGCTCTCACCTTTGAGTTTCCATAGAGGTTCTACATAGGAGGTTTGTGTGCGGTTCTTGCTAGGAATGAGAAAAATGAAGTGTATTGTTGGAGTGAGTTCCTCAAAAAGAGAGCATTGGTCGTTAAATGTATTGGTGGTGATAGACCGTTAATTACACATGTTTTTACCCCTGTTCTTACACCGTTTGAGATGTGATTTCTCGTGTTTTAGGCCGATTTCACGCTAGGTTGTGCTTGTTTGTGATATTTCATGTCCTAGTACGTGAATAGAGGCTTGGGAGCGAGTTTGGGGTCGATTGGACGAAGATCGGGCGCGAGGCAAGTCACAAAGCAGGCCACACGGGCACACCCACAACTCACACGGCCGTGCAAGTGACCACTTTGGCCGTGTGAGATTGTGCGATAGCAAACACGGCTTGCCCTGATGTTCACACGGCCGTGTGAAGGAGTGGTTTGGCCGTGCGAGTTTCACCGAGAGCAAACACGGGCAGATGGAAATCTCACACGGCCGTGCGACCCTGGCCGTGTGAGAAGCCTGAAGATCGAACTAATTGGAACGCAGCGTTTTGACTCACACGGGCAACTTGGTATGCCACACGGCCGTGTGGCCCTGCCCGTGTGAGTCGGGAATTGCTGGTTAAAACTCGATTTTCAGCCAAAGGAAAGGTGAGAGCTGGGGTTTTTGGATCCCAAACACCCAAGGGACGAACCCTAGAGAGAGAGAGAGCGACTTGGGAACATTCTTGGAGCTATTTTGGAGTATTTCTTCGCCATTGGAGCTCGGGAATCAAGCTTGGAGATGGAGATTGAAGATCTAGATCAGATTTCTGCAGTCTCTCTCTTCTCTATGGAGTAACTTCCCTTCACTTAGGTTTTGAGGAACCTTAGTTCCATGAGTTAGGATCTTTCTTGTATGGAGTTTTCGATGCTATACTGTTTGGTTATAATCGAATAATGCATGTTTATTGAGTCAATTGAAGTCTGATCAACTTTTCCTGATTCCTGCTGCAATCTGAGATAGATAGAATCTGATTAGGTTGCTAGAGTCTCGTCATTCGGTAGTGGGAGATTGGCTATACGAGAGTTAGCCAGTTGACTGCTTTGTACTGGAATCCAATTCCAGTAGTGGAGTTCTGTGCTTATTGCTTCAGCTTTCTATTCCGGTGAAGACTAGTCGTCTGCCGGATAGTTAGACTGAGAGGGCTTGGTCAGCTTAAGAGATTCCAAGCTACTGTCGGATCTTCCGCAGTTTAATCAACAGTAAAACAACCAAAAGGAATTACAACTTGGACCTAATTGAGGAGCTAGGGGGAATCATACCTAAGTGAGTTCCCAAACTGTAATTAGTAGTTTTACTTAGTTTAGTTAGTAGAGTAGTTTAGTTAATCAATCCTTAATGTAGTTTGCTAGATAATGAACTGAAGCTGAGTAATAGTAACTCTAGAGACCCGTGGATTCGATATTTATTACTTGTGCCACTATACTGCAGTCCCTTTCATTGGTTACACTTGGCCATTGTTAGGTGTTGTGTTTTAGAGCATCAATTTTTTGGCGCCGTTGCCGGGGACTTTCTAGAGTATTAGGAAAGGCAGAAGTTTGTTACTTTAGCGTTTTTCTTTTCTTTTCTTTTCCACCGTTGCTTTTCACTTGGGTGTTTTTGTTTTTGTTGGTGCAGATCTGAAACATGGATCCTCATGGCTTCTCCAATCATTGGGGGTATCCACCACCATTCGAGTGGTATTACCCCAAGACTCCCTGGAGCAATCAAGGAGGAGAAGACTATGGATTCGGGTTCCAGTACCAACCCCCTTTCTACGGAGAACAACCAGACCCCTGGGCATATCAAGAACAACCTCATTACCAAGAAGACTTTCTCCCACAACCAGAAGGGCCATTGGAGTTGGAGTTACCCATGGCAGCCTTCACGGGCCACTCTACAGAGCCATGCTACACTTCACTGGAAGATCCGAACAAACAATTAAGGCTTCTCGTGGAGCAGTTTGCTCGAGACACTGATAAATCATGCTCCAAGATGGATCTTCAAATCAAAGCCCTTGCCACTTCCGATCCCTCATTTCTCCATGATATGGAGGAGACTGTTCAGCGCTCAGCGAAGCAAACAGAGTGGGTGAAGCAAGTTTGCTCGCATCTTGCTCAAGATCACCTTTCTGCTACCACGCTAGAAGAGGTGGAGGATGACAAAGGCTATGGGAGCGACCACACCTTTCCTCATGTATGCTCTAACATGCTGGGCCCGTGCGAGGAGATGCAAGATGATCCCATTGAAGAAATTGCTTGGTGACTTGCTCTCCAATCTGTTATAGAAGAAGAAGAGCGAGCAAGGATGAGGAAGGAAGTTGTGGATGATGAGGAAGAAAGAAAAGAAGAGGTGGTTCTTGATCTTTTCCCAGGGGAGAGACCACATTTTGAAGAAGGAAGGGGGGTTGAGGAAGCAATTGGCGTCCAAGCTGAGGATGAAGCTGAGGTGGAAGAGGCCTGCACCGGCCATGACTTACATGTGATATCTCTACCAAAATTCGAGGAACTGCTTATCAAGGACCCATTTGCAGTGTCTCTTTGCCAGACCAAGGCCACATCAACATCGGTCCCTCTTGGTGGACGCGATGGTGGCCAATCGATGCTGTCATACCTGGTTTGGGGCAATGAGACGAGAGAAGAGAAGAAGAGGTCTCGAGGGTGGAGACTTCATCTGCATCAAGTATATGAGCCTTCATCACCTGTCACACCACATGCTCGTGACTTGAGACTCCACCTCATCGACGAGAACCTCAACTTCAAGGAGGTTCTAGCATGGACCGAAACTTAGGAGCCATCGTCCGGCTCACGACATGAAAGAAGCGCTTGTTGGGAGGCAACCCAACCAGTCGGTTAGAGCATACATGAGGAAAGGTGTGGTCGCTCCCATAGCCTTTGTCATCCTCCACCTCTTCTAGCGTGGTAGCAGAAAGTTGATCTTGAGCAAGATGCGAGCAAACTTGCTTCACCCACTCTGTTTGCTTCACTGAGCGCTGAACAGTCTCCTCCATATCATGGAGAAATGAGGGATCGGAAGTGGCAAGGGCTTTGATTTGAAGATCCATCTTGGAGCATGATTTATCAGTGTCTCGAGCAAACTGCTCCATGAGAAGCCTTAATTGTTTGTTCGGATCTTCCAGTGAAGTGTAGCATGGCTATGCAGAATGGTCTATGAAGGCAGCCATGGATAACTCCAACTCCGATGGCCCTTCTGGTTGTGAGAGGATTTCTTCTTGATAAGGATACTATTCTTGAAATGCCCAAGGGTTTGGTTGTACTCCGCAGTAATGGGGTTGGTACTAGAACCAGAATCCATAGTCTTCTCCCTCTTGAATGCTCTAGGAAGTCTCGGGGTAATACCACTCGTGGTGGTGGATACCCCCAATGGTTTGAGAAGCCATTAGGATCCATGATTCAGATCTTCACCAACAAAAACAAAACACCCAAGTGAAAATCAAGAATGGAAAAAAAAAGAAAACGCTAAAGTAACAAACTTTTACCTTTCCTAATAATCTAGAAAGTCCCCGACAATGGTGCCAAAAACTTGACTTGCTAAAAGACAACTATTAACATGACCAAGTGTAACCAATGATAGGGACTGCAGTATAGTGGTGCAAGTAATAAATATCGAATCCTCAGGTCTTTAGATCTATTATTACTTAGCTTCAGTTCATTATCTAGCAAACTAGATTAAAATAACAGAAGTGTAACTACTCTAGCAAACTACAATTAAAGTTAATCTAATTACAGGTTGGGAACTCACTTAGGTATGATTCCCCCTAACCACTTGCCAGATTAATGGTTGATGATCTCTAACCTGATTCACTTTCATTCACAATGCGGAGAATCCTTGACTAGATCTTGAATCTCGACTAAAGAAATCAAGGCCCTCTTGAGTCGATTGCCTAGAGGGACGTATCCTACTCTAGAACAACCGATCAAGGAATTCTGAACAAGATTCTCTCTATCAAATGCGGTTCTCAATCAGTACAAAGTAGTGAATCGACCATCGATTAAAGCAATCAATCCAATACTATCAATCTATGGTGCTCAATTGACCTAAACAGGTATTCGCTCTCATAGGATCAAAGCAGAATCAATAATCTCGACTAAAGCAGAATTGAATCATGAAAACATGCATAGATTGAATATGAACTCAAGATTATAAAGTAGGAGTACTCATACAATCATTCAATCAAACAAACATGGCTAGGGTTCCTAAAAACCTAAGTGAAGGGATGTTACTCCATAGAGAAGAGAGAGAATGCATTATAACTTTCCAAATCTTCAATCTTCATTTCTAGACTTGATCCTGGAGCTTCAATGGTGAAGAATCCTCCAAAATAGCTCTAGATCTCCCTCTCTCTCTTTGGTTCGTCCCTTGGGTGTTTGGGATCCAAAACCCAGCTCCCCCCCCCCACCTCCCAAACGCACAAAACAGCTCCCCCCCCCCCCCTAAGTGAGTTCCAACCACTGTTCCGTTATGTATGCGTGTGAATGTTTGGTTGTATGTGTATGCTTGGAGCCTAGTCCACTATCCAAATTTTGAGATTTGAGGGCTCCAAGTATGGATATTTGCTTGATCATATTGGCACAGTGGTTTTGTATGGTGAATCGATTGGTTGTTAGCATTGATATATGAATGACTTGTTTGTCATTGAGACAACCTATAATGATGACTGAGACGTGCAGTAGAGTTGTGTAGGGGTTCAGTTTTTTAACTGTTTGCTTACCAACTGTGACTTGGATTGATCACTCAATTTCTACAGTCGTTTATGCATCTAATTCAGGGAATCAGAATGAGAGATAGAGCATAATAACCAAAAGAAAGTTGCCACTAGTAAGTTTAATTGTGCTCATCAAAGTACTGTTTCTTAGAAGTTTGGCTGGGAAATACTGATATTGTTACCTCCTTCACTTATGTGCTCTAAAGACTTGGTTAATGCAGAATAGCAGAGAGAGAAATAACTGGTTTGATTGAATGTCGATTAGCTGGGTTTTGGAACCCAAACACCCAAGGGGTGAACCAAAGAGAGAGAGGGTGATTTGAGGGCGATCTTGGAGTTGGAGGATCTCTTCACCTTGGAAGCTCGAGGAACAAGCCCAAACATGAAGATTGAATACTGGAAAGTTATACTATATTCTCTCTCTTCTCTATGGAGTAACTTCCCTTTACTTAGGTTTTGAGGAACCTAGATTTGTATGCTAGGAAGAGTTGTATGAACTCGAATTCATGATTGATTGACATTTTATATTCAGTTGTGGTTTTTATTCAGAATTGCTTGAGTCCTGATCAAATTCTTGTGATTCCTGCTTTGACCTAGAATGATAGTCTCTGCATAGGTTAAAAGAGCATCCTGAATTGAAAGTGGTGAATCGACGACTTTAGTCGAGAAGTCGATTCACTACTTTGTACTAGAGTTCAAATCCAGTAGAGGAAGTTTTGTGTGATAATGCCTCGGTTAGCTTACACTGGTAGAGGTTAGTCGCCCGCCCTATATTAGCACTGAGAGATTCTGGAACACTTTAGTTGAGACTCCAGACTGTTTGAGAACTTTGCGCAGTGTAGATGTCAGCTGAATTGAATATGGTGAATTAAAACTTGGCCTAACTGCAATCTAGGGGGAATCATATCTAAGTGAGTTCCCAACCTGTAATTAGATTAACTTTAACTATAGTTTGCAAGATTAGTTATAGTTCTTCTATTTTAGTATGGTTTGCTAGATAATGAACCGAAGCTGAGTAATAGTAACTCTAAAGACCCTTGGATTTGGTATTTATTACTTGTGCCTCTATATTGCAGTCCCTTTCATTGGTTACACTTGACCATTGTTAGGAGTTGTGTTTTAGCGAGTCAAAGACCGGATGGATTCCCTGGCTATTTCTAACGACGCTTCTGGGACATAGTTGGAGAAAACCTGTGTAGAGAGATTAAAAGATTCTTTGAGTCAACTTCCATACCAGAGGGATGGAATGATACACATATTTTTATGATCCCTAAGGTGGACCATCCTGAAATGATCAACTAGTTCCATCATATAAGGTACTATAATTTTAGATATAAAATTATATCCAAATTAGGGCAACCCGCCTCAAGTAATGGACACCTGACATGATTTCGCAGCTCTAGACGACCTTCACCGGAGGGAGGCTTCTCCAAGATAACTTCATCATTGTCCACGAGGCTCTCCATCACTTCAAGAATCGTAAGCTTGGAAGGAGAAGAGATAGGATGCTTGAGTTGGATATGAGAAAGACATATGATATGGTGGATTGGGATTGCTTAGAGGCACTTCTAAAGAAGTATGGTTTTGACGATATTGTGCAACTGGGTTAGTGCATGTATCCGGTCATTCATATTCTCGATTCTTTTCAATGGAGAAGAAATGGAGCCTTTCAACCCTTTGTGAGGCATTAGACAGGGAGACCCGCTTTCCCCTTTCATTTTTCATTTTAATGTCTAATGCATGCACCTTTTTTTATCGATAAGGCAGTTGCTCAGGCGCAATTAAAAGGGATTAAATTGAACTATAGATGCCCAGTTCTCACCAATTGTCTGTTCGCAGATGATACAGTCATCTTTGGGAAGGCTAACCATCAGCAAGTTGAGAAAATCCTGGAGCTAAACAACTAGTATGGAGCAATCACAGGACAAGAAGTGAATATCAAGAAATCATCTGTCTTCTTCCGTGCAAATGTCTCCAATGATGACAAAGCCTCTATCATTGCTCACATGGGTTTTGCCTCATCGAATTGTCACTCAAAATATCTTGGGGGGGGGGGGGGGGGGGTTTCGACTGAGTGGGGATATTCAAAGAAGGAAACCTTGAACTTCCTCATTCAAACAATGGAAAAGACGGGGGAAGCTTGGAAAATCCTCTTACTTTCTCACGAAGGGAAATAAATTATGCTAAATGACCCTTACCAAGAAAATGGACTCTCTCCTCACTAACTTCTTCTGGTCAGGGTCAATGCAGAAAAGTAGCATGCACTGGTTTAGGAAGGAGATTCTGTGTGCACTAAAATCAGAAGGGGGTTTGGGATTCCAAAACTTCAAAGATTTCAACATGGCCCTTTTGGTGAAACAAGCTTGGCGTCTTCTCACATCCCCTGATTCCCTGTGGAGTCTTCTTCTTAAGGGTCTTTATTTCCCGCGGGGAGATTTTTTAAATTCAAAGAAGGGAAGTAGTTCCTCTTGGATCTGGGCTAGTCTCTGGGAGGCAAAAAGAAGTCATTAACATGGGAGCGATTAAAGTCATTGGCTCAGGAGAGGACACCTGGGTGGATCAAGACCTATGGATTTCTCCTCTTCAACATTTTGTTATTAGAAGCGAACGCCAGCAACATATGAAAGTCAAGGAATGGATTGATCCCGGTGATAGATGTTGGAACTCGAACATTATTGAAGCCACATTTCTAATGCAAAATTAGAAGCTATTGTGAGGATTCCAATTGGGGAAGGAGAAGAAGATTTTTGGCTTCGAGTCTTACTAAAGAGGGCATGTTCTCGGTTAAGAGTGCATGCCATGCTTTTCACAAAGCTAACACAAACTATCAATCGATGGGAAGCGTGAATAGATGAAAATGGATGTGGGTACTGAACCTACCACCCAAGCTCAAATTCTTCGTCTAGAGGTGTTCCTTAGATGGGTTTGCTATGAAAGCGAGGATTTTTCATCGGAAATGTGCCCCTTACCCAAACTGTCAAGGCTGCCATAACTCAAATGAGTCCCTCCTACGCTGCCTCTTCTACTGCCATCTCTCCCTCTCCCTCCCCACTCCCCATGACACTTCACTTTTTGATTGGATATGCTCTCTGAAGGAAGCTATTACACAAGAATCCCTGATCCATATTGTGTTTCTATATTGGAATATTTAGAAGGCAAGAAATGAGTGTACGTTAAAGAATAGAGTTCCTTGGTCCCCAAATGTATGTATGCAAACTTATAGAGAACTTATTGAATGGACTTCTTGCTCGAGGCCCCCATCTCCCGATCCTACCTCTCCTACTCAGCTCAGGGGAACCCATTATACTACGAATCCCCCGCCAAGTAATCACTCTATGGTGATTCACTATGATGGGTCGTTCATTAGTGACTCCTAGCCGGCGGCTTATGGTGTTGTGTCTGTTAACCACCATGGACAAGTGTGTGATGGGCGAGCTGAGACTCTTTTATATATATAGAAGCTGAGACTCTTCTTTGTTTCACACCGATTGAAGCGAAAGCAAAGGCTCTCTTGGAAAGTTTAAAATTAGCACAAGAATATGAATCAGAATGCATTGTCCAATCTGACGGTCAGGTGTTGGTGAAAGCTTTGAAAAAAGATCAATCAAGATGGTCATGGCGATGTGCGGCCTGGATTGGATCTATGGTCACTATCGTTAGAACAATTCATGTCATTAAAGTCAAGGAGGTGCCGAGAGCTTTGAATGTCAGAGCGGATCAGATTGCGCAATCAAGAGGTAGATCTTTACTGACATATGACTGGATTAATATTTTTGATCTAATTTCATATCTTTTTTAAGATTGCAACCGGATATGGAATAAAAGTTGGGTATTATTGTTAAAAAAACTCAGTGCGCTATGTCGGGAGCAAGGTTGTCAAACCGGTTTAAGTCATTGAGGCTGTCAAACTAGAGGTTTGAGGTTTAATGCTTGATCGGGAGTCCGACCGGTTTGAGCCGTTTTAGACGTTTTCTAAATATATATACAAATAAGATAGTAATTAAAGATTTAATAACTGAAATGAAATTTATCTTACATATATCTATTAAAAACCTTTTTCCAAAAAATAAATCTACCTAACCTCCATGACCCACCCACCGTCTCTCATCATTCGTTCCTCTTCCTTTCTTCCCCCTCTCTTCTTCTCCCTCTTTAGGGGTCAGACCGGGGGCTTTCTGGAGACCGTTTTGAAGGCTCCAACCAGAGGGTAAAACACCTCATGACCACTTACCTTTGAAAATTGGGGTAGACATACCACTAAAGTTTGAATAGGACGTCGGTACCATTAAAGTCGCAAAAATGTGCATCCGTCTACTTTTTCCATCCAACCCAAACTTTTAATTACATTTTTGTACCCAAAACTTTTAAAACATCCAAAACTATATTTCAACAAGTTTTATCTGATATAATAATTAGAAAACCTTCTAAACATATTATTACTAGAATGTCAAATAATTTTTTTTCAATAAAATAGATAAATTAGTAAAAATAATAAACGAATATCAAGAAGAAAAATAATTATACTAAATATTATAATAAATATTTAAATCAATATTAGAATATATATTTAAACTCCCTAATTCAATTGGGAGCACCATTAAAAATAGTTAAAATAAAACCTAATCGATCATCATCAAGATCAAACAAGGATAAATGGAACACAATTAGAAAGAATTAAACATATTTCACTAGAAAGAAAATTTAGAACGAAAAGAGACAGAAAGTAATCAAGTAATAAAATAAACTATAAAAGCTACAACACTCAATAAAAAATGTAGAAAATAAAATACGACTATCATAAGATATATTTGCTTCATGGAATTATTCAATTATTAGAACACATAACGATAATTGATTCTAAATTTCCTATTCAAAAATTGGTTTGGTATCAGAGTTCTCAAAAGAGGATTCCAACTAAATTGAATTCACAAGATATATTTGTTTCAGGGAATAATTCAATTATTAGACCACATAATGATAATTTAAAATACTTATAATGATAATTAATTCTAAATTTTCTATTCAAAAATTGCTTTGATATCAAGTATTCAAAAGAGGATTCCAACTAAATAATAAAAAATAATATTTTTCATAAGTACAAATGATTTTTTACAATAAGAAAAGTAGAAGAACCAATTATGAAATTTAGAAAACAGAATATTCTAAGAATATTTAGTTAACTTTAACGAAATGCACTTAGTATTAAACTTAAGTGGTACCGGGTGCATATATATAATAGAGTTCAGTGGTACGCGATGCCCTATTATTAGTTAAGTGGTATTGCTCTCCCAATTCTCATACTATAGTGGTACCAATGTATTTTACCCTCTAACTAGGGGGTCCGATAGGGGTTTAACAACTTTGATCGGAGACATCGTGCTAATGGTCAACCCATTCCTCGGACTCAGCGACGAATCCAAGATAAGATAGAGCATTGGGCCACATTAGATAAAAAAATAAAAAGTACTGAGCCATAACCCGATGAGAACATAAACAATACCTAAAATCAGAAATTTACAAAAATTATATTAGCTCCCAATCTAGAAGAGGGCTGAACCGTGCCCATGGCAGCCCACTAGATCCGCGGCTGTTTGACCCTCAGAGTCTCAGACCCTCTACTCTACATGCTCAATTGACGGCTCGCCTCTAGCAAGACACCACAACAGACCAACAGCGCACCGACACGCAAGCTCGCTGTGCAAGTTCTATTTATCCAGTACATCTCAAAGTATCACATTCACACCGCTACCTTGTTTCTCGAGTGGGTCCCACTTTGGATGCCTCGTGGCGGACAAAACTGAGTGTCAATAGCAACAAAGTGGATAAGAACCAGCAATCCGCTGCCTCTCGGGTGTAAGCAGTTTTCCCTCCCCCGGACCGTCCGATCACCTCAGACCCAGATTCCATCTGACGGTGGGTATCATCCCTCTCTCTCCCCTTTCCCTCGGAGTTGGATATTTTGGAGCTGCAATAACAATCAACTATAATATCCCATCTCTACTCTAAAACCCTGTATATTTCAGAAGTCGCATCTTTTCAATTCTACTATTAATTTTAATTTTATTTAGCTAAAGAAATAAGAATAGAATAGTTATTCTTCGTTATGGGGTCCGCCCGGCCCATCCTTTCCTAACGAGTAAGGACTAAGGAGTGACGATTGGAACCAAAAGTCCCAACAAGGTTTGGCAGAGGGGAAGGAGGGGGTGTTGGTTTGTTGCTGTCCGTCTGTGTTTATACTTATAGATCACTTGCAGGGGAGGAGAGAGAGCGAGAGTGGCTTCTTTTTTCCACTGGAAATTAGAAAAGACTGCATCTTTGCTCTTCCATTTCTCTCTCTACCTCTCGTTTTCCCGTTGAAATGAACAAGTGATTGAAATTGGAAACTGAAAAAGCTACAGCTTCCAGGATTTCATTGTGGGGGCAAGCAAAAAACGTTTTCTGCGTACTAAGCTCCAGCTGGTACTGACCCACCACCACTGTCAAAAGGAAATGGAATTCCATTTTCTGGGTTATGGTAAGTTTTTCTTTCCCACCACCTCACTGCGTGCTTTTCAACTGTAAATTCGTTTCTTCTTCAATAGAAATTATTTGTGAGTTCCGTGTCCAAATTCATTGGTGTTTTTATGTGGGTTTCTCGTTTCTTGTAGTTTGTGGAGATCTTCTCCTCCTTCTTCAGCTGTCTGCTGCTGCGTGCTTACTTTAGCTCGGTGTTATTGAATATATTCCAAGCTACTTCAACGCTTGTGTTTGTGTCTCAACCTAATTTGACTGTTGCAGTTGCTGCTCCTTTCTGGGTAACTATCCCCTTTTGTTTTCCGCTCTAAAAGGCCTTTCAGCTACTCGTTGTGCCTAATTTGTTGCTTAAGCTGTTGATTCTGTGATAGAATAGCGATACTTTTTCAATTTTCTGGTCGGGTTGTAGGTGTTCTTCCGGCTTTTGCGCTAAAATCGTGCAAAAGGGTTTCCCTGTTTCGTTGGGGCGAGTGAAGTACTTCTTCCAGGCATCAGCAATTAAGGGAAGAAGGAAGATTTACTTCTTTTTTTTTTTTGGAGAACCATAATGGTTTCAAGATCATACTCCAACCTTCTCGAGCTTGCCTCTGGTGACTCTCCATCCTTTGGTCGAATGAGTAGAAGAATTCCAAGGATCATGACCGTGGCCGGTATCATTTCCGATCTGGATGATGATCCATCGGAGAGTGTGTGCTCTGACCCGTCTTCCTCTTCTGCCCAGAGGGACCGGATAATCATCGTAGCCAATCAGCTCCCCATAAGGGCCCAGAGAAAATCGGATGGCAGCAAGTCATGGACATTCACTTGGGATGACAACTCACTTCTTCTTCAGCTGAAAGATGGGTTGGGTGATGACGATCTTGATGTCATCTATGTTGGCTGCTTGAATTCAGAAGTTCACCCAAGCGAACAAGACGAAGTGTCACAGATTTTGTTGGAAACCTTCAAATGTGTCCCAACTTTCCTTCCAAACGATCTCTTTAGTCGGTACTACCATGGCTTCTGTAAGCAACAGTTGTGGCCACTATTCCATTACATGTTGCCTTTGTCTCCAGACCTTGGGGGTAGGTTCAACCGTTCCTTGTGGCAGGCATATGTGTCGGTGAACAAGATTTTTGCTGACCGGATCATGGAAGTGATCAATCCCGAAGATGATTATGTCTGGGTCCATGATTACCATTTGATGGTGTTGCCAACTTTCTTGAGGAAAAGGTTCAACCGGGTGAAACTCGGGTTCTTCCTCCATAGCCCATTCCCTTCGTCCGAGATTTACAAGACTTTGCCTATCAGGGAAGAAATTCTACGGGCACTGTTAAATTCAGATTTGATTGGGTTCCATACTTTCGACTATGCCAGGCATTTCTTGTCATGCTGCAGTAGAATGCTTGGTCTAACTTATGAGTCGAAAAGGGGATATATTGGTCTGGAGTACTGCGGTCGAACTGTTAGCATCAAAATTCTTCCCGTTGGTATCCACATGGGTCAGCTTCAATCGGTATTGAGCCTTTCCGAGACTGAGAAAAGGGTGCAAGAGCTGATCAACCAGTTTTATGAAAAAGGCAGGATAATGTTGTTGGGAGTGGATGACATGGATATCTTCAAAGGGATAAGCTTGAAGCTATTAGCTATGGAGCAGTTACTATTGCAGCATCCAGAGTGGCAAGAGAAAGTGGTGCTTGTTCAAATAGCAAATCCTGCTAGAGGCAGGGGCAAAGACGTGAAAGAAGTCCAGGCCGAGACTTACTCCACTGTCAAGCGGATTAACGAGACATTTGGTAGGCCAGGGTACAACCCTGTCGTGCTGATCGATGCCCCACTAAAGTTCTATGAGAAAGTTGCCTATTATGCTGTTGCAGAGTGTTGCTTGGTGACTGCTGTTAGGGATGGAATGAATCTCATACCTTATGAGTACGTCATCAGCCGCCAAGGGAACGAGCAACTAGATAAAGTGTTGGGACACAAATCGTCGATGAAGAAGAGCATGCTGGTGATATCCGAGTTCATAGGCTGCTCGCCGTCCTTGAGTGGAGCGATTCGAGTCAATCCGTGGAATATTGATGCGGTGGCTGATGCAATGGATCTCGCCTTGGTGATGGCGGACTCAGAGAAACAACTTAGGCATGAAAAGCATTATAGATATGTGAGCACACATGACGTTGGGTATTGGGCGCGTAGTTTTCTTCAGGACTTGGAAAGGACGTGTAGAGATCATTCAAAGAGGAGGTGCTGGGGGATTGGGTTTGGGTTGAGCTTTAGAGTTGTGGCGCTTGATCCAAACTTCAGGAAGCTGTCGATGGAACATATTGTTTCAGCTTATAAGAGGACCATGACAAGGGCGATCCTACTGGACTACGATGGTACACTAATGCCTCAGGGGTCGATCGACAAAAGCCCTTCACAGAAGACTATACAAATCCTGAACAGCTTGTGTAGGGATAAGAACAACATTGTTTTCCTTGTCAGTGCCAGAAGCCGGCAGACGCTTGGGGAATGGTTTTCCCAGATTGAGGACATGGGTTTAGCTGCTGAGCATGGTTACTTTTTCAGGTAAGACTGAATAAAAGGATGCTTTGTTTTTCTGTGATGCACTGAACTTAAAAATTCAATTGTCTTTTTTCTTCAGGCTAATGCGAGACGTGGAGTGGGAGACATGTGTGGCTGCAGCTGATACTAGTTGGAAGCAGATTGCTGAGCCAGTGATGCAGCTTTACACGGAGACAACTGACGGATCAACGATTGAAGATAAGGAAACTGCACTTGTGTGGTGTTATGAGGATGCTGACCCAGATTTTGGTTCATGCCAAGCGAAAGAACTTCTTGATCATCTTGAAAGTGTTTTGGCCAATGAACCTGTCACCGTCAAGAGTGGACAGAACATAGTGGAGGTTAAACCTCAGGTTTGTTTGCATCACATGCCATCCTTCCATCCTGCATTTGAGTTGCTTGTCAGTTCACATATGTTTTTCTAGGTTTCTTCTAAAACACAACCAAACATGCTTCTTTTCTAACCCTCTACTTAAAAAAACTGAAACAAACACATCCATGTTACAAAGAAATGTCGAGAAGAGAATCAGAAAAGTACCAAGTTCCTCTCCTTTCCATATGAATAGAGCTGGCTTATGTTGTATTTCACATTTGTGTACTATTGCCTGCTTGTTCGCTGGATCTTTTGCTTTTTCTTGTGCAGCAAATAATAGTGGATAGCTTATATTGGAACACTTTTTTCCTTCCATATTCAGGGAGTGAGCAAGGGGCTAGTTGCGAAACGCCTGCTCGCCACCATGGAAGAGAAACAACTAACGCCTGACTTTGTGGTATGCATTGGAGATGATCGGTCAGATGAAGACATGTTTGAGGTGATAACAAGTTCCATGGCGGGCCTAACATCATTGAACCCAAGGTCAGAAGTGTTTGCATGCACGGTTGGTAAGAAACCCAGCAAGGCTAAGTACTATCTGGACGATACAGCAGAGATCGTGAGGTTGATGCAGGGTCTGGCTTCTGTCTCTGAACAAAACCTTACCATTTAAGTCCGTGATGGGCTTTTCAGAGCTGGTAAGGGGGCCCCTTCAATAGAATGTTAGCTATAGATTTGGGAAAACAAGACAATGTAAAGCGGTTTGTTCGAGTTTGTACCATCTTCGAGTTTGCTTGGCTTTGCTTTCTTCCCCATTTGTGTATAAAGTTGTTTCTCTAAGAACATTTCTACAATCGTCGATGGAGTACCATCTTGTGCGTTTTCAAAATGAATGAATGCCTTTGTTTAGTCCGTATTCTAGAAGTATTTTTCGCTTCAAAAGTTGAAGTCGGGCCAAACATTTCTAAAAGATTGGCTTTTAAAAAATTAAAAAGTGTTTTTGTATTATATAAGAGCACACGCTTCTATATAGAGATTTTGTGAAAATTCTATTTTGAAAATACAAGATTATCCTTAACATATTTTAATTTTATTTCATTTATATTATTAATCCGCAAGTTAAACTAGTGTTGCATCCGAAATTCTCACTTCTCCCCGGGTCACTGTTCACAGAGGTCCTACAATACTCCATCCTATACACAGAAACCTTACTATTAATTCAAATGACTTTACTACTAACTCAAGTATTCACAATCTTATCAATTTGCATTACACAAAGGTTTCATAAGGTAACTTTTAGATGAAAATTTAATCGAATGTGAGACTTTTCAATTTTCATAACTTTATTTTATTATTAGACCACATGTTTATGAGGGGTTTTATCCCATGTATACCAAATCTAACCATAAGCTTTCCCTCCCTTCCAAGAGGCATTATTCACTGGATTTGTATTTTCTAATACCTTATTTCACACTAAGCCATTATTTTCTCCCATAGCCTACTTTTAATCGAACGTGACACTTTTCATAAGTTAATTTCATTATTATTAACTAAAATGAATTTATTATTAACTAAGGTATTCACCATCTTATCAATTTGCATTACACAAATGTTCAGCAAGAGAGTTAACCTTTACATGATAATTTAATCGAGTGTGATACATTTCATAACTTTATTTTATTATTAGACCACATGTTACAAAAGATTTATGTAATGTACTAAAAAAGCCATGTAAATTAAAATTACATTGCGTAAAGTTTATAGACGAATAATATTTCTTATGTATCAATTAAACATACATATTATTAGACCACATAGGCTGTATTCCCCTAGTCACTGTTCACAAAGGCTGTAATGCCCTGAGGCGACACCCACAATACCGCATCCTACACACAGAAACCTTCCTGGACACTTCCAAGTTTTCATGACACTTTTAATAACGTAATTTCGTTACTATTAATTCAAATGACTTTTTTATTAACTAAAGTATCTACAATCTTATCAATATGCACCCCAAAGGTTTCAAAGGTCAGTTAACTTTTACATGAAAATTTAATCGAATGTGAGACTTTTCAATTTTCATAATAACTTTATTTTATTATTAGATCACATGTTCATGAGGGGTTTTATCCCATATATACCAAATCTCACAATAAGCTTTCCCTCCCTTCCAAGAGGCACTATTCACAGGATTTGTATCTTCTATACCCTATTTCACACCAAGCCTTTATTTTCTCCCACTGTCTAAGTGTAAAACCGAGTTAAGAGAGGCTACTTTGAAGCTCCATTCCAAAAGGATGATTGTGCTTCGAGTCAGGGGCTTCATACCCCATGAAACTATGCACTTTAATCTACAGATAAGAGGCATTGAATGATTCATTGTGCACCTGGAAGTTATCGATCGAAGGCCTCAAAGATTGCATCAAGGCTGTTGGTGACTTGGAGTTGAAGAAGAGAGTTTCTTTCCTTATTTGTTTCGGATTGCTATTTCCTTTTATGTTTAAGCTTAGGTTTTCGAGTTGTGTTAGGTTTATGATGGTTTACCTTGTTTAAGAGCTAGCTAGGGTCTATTTAAGCTTTCGTTTGCGTTGTAATTGAACTCAAGTTTTAATCGAACAACCCCCTTTGTTCATGATTCCAACTTTCCAACTTTCCAAGGAACAAACAACGCCTTGACGTATTTGTACTGGGAGCGCAAAATTACCTTATTCTTTCAAAGCGGCAAGTACACAAAGCCTCAGAAGGTGACTCTCACGACGTACGAATTCTCTGATTATGCCGTGCAATGGTGGGAAAGAACTCAATTTTGACGGAGGCAGAATCTCCAACCCTAGATAACCACCTGGGCAGAGTTAAGGAGTCTTATGCATGACAGGTTTGTACCTGATTATTACCAGAGGGAATTACACGCGACATTACAAGGACTGAGGCAAAGATATTGTCCCGTCGAAGATTATTATCGTGAGCTTGAGCTGCTCATGATGACCGCTGACATCCGAGAGGATCGAGAGGCGACAATTGCTCGTTTCCTCCATGGCTTAAACCGCGAGATTCGTCAGGAAGTCGAGCTGCGATCGTTCGTTGATCTGGAGGAGGTTTTACACTTGGCTATTAAGGTGGAAAAGCAGCTCAAAGTCGTCACTGCAAGGCGGTTCCCACCTGCCAACAAGACCACCCCAGACACAGCTCCAAGCTCTGATTCAATGTCGTTACGAACCGAGGCTGACAACCCCACCTTCCCTCGCAATCAGCAACCGAAAACTGAAGGATCCAGTGCCAGTATCCAATGTTTTATATGTTTTGGGCATCGACATAAATCTCATTAGTGTCCCAACAGGAAGGCACTCATGCTAGTCGATTCCGACGGAGATGAAGTGGATGAGAAGATTCTGGTCACCGACCCGCCACCAGGAAAACTCTTTGCAGTAAACAGGAGGGCTCTCACCATGGAATATCATTCCGACATAGATCAAAGGGAAAACCTGTTTCAAACCCGCTGTGTCGTTAAGGGCCAAACATTGTTTGTGGCTTGACCACCAATAGATATCCAGACCCCTACAATTTGCGCTGGCTTAACGATTACAAAGCTATTAAGGTGAACAAGCAAGCGCGTGTTCCATTTGCAATCGGCAAGTTCAGTGACAAATTGGTGTTCGATGTAGCTCCTATGCAGGCCACTCATCTATTACTCGGCCGACCGTGGCAATTTGATCGCGGTGTGTGTCACTACGGGGGCACCAACTGCTATAAGCTACGACAGCAGGGTAATTAGAGCTTCTTGCTCAAGCCTTTGTCGCCTATTGAAGCTCGCGCCGATCAACGCCAGATGGAAGCTAATCGAGTACAGGGAAGGGGCGAGGCTAATCAGGCTAGTTTGCTGGTGTGCAGGTTCATGTTAACATTGTATAAGAAGGAAATGAGTTCCTACCGTCGGCGAGCTAAGCTGCTCTGTATCGCGTCGCCAGAGCAGAGCAGGAGAGAGGGGTATTTGGGTGGATTTCTGGAGGGTAGTCCGAACCCAACCAGTTATGGCGTCACCTTCCTTGAAGCATTGAGAAGTTCCTTCACCAACTAGAACGATTCGAATCGACCTAATTTACAGGATCCGATTCGAGCAAATTTTGCTCTGGAAGCGCTCAAATACGTTGAAAAATCAGGGTTAACAGGTGGGGGCATCTAGGAGTGAATTGAAGCTAGCCGACCCTGCAGATTTGTTGGGAAGGGATGTCCGAAAATTTCGGAAGCCCCAATTGCAGTCCCAAATCCCTCTAATGCAAACGCCCAATTCGGAATTGAGTTTCCTGGGTGCTGCAAATTTGAACATCGACGTTGGCGGGAAACGAGAGGAAGACGATTCAATGACGATGAGGGTGAATCGAGGCGGGAAACCAGTTCATAATGACAATTGGAGGTGTGGCGAAGACGATGCTAACCCTGAATTGAGTTGAGGATGTCGTAATAAAAAATCCCCAATTCAATAGAGGAAGAACGCAACCACACTTTTCCGGAATTGGCCGTTTGGGGTGCCATCTTTCGAGCCGATTTGGTGTCAATATTGTGCAGGGTTTGAGAAGAGGAAGGAACCAGCTTTGAGGACAGAGCTTTTCGAAGAGGGAGGTCCCGATACAACCCTATATTGCCTTCTTACCAAGCAGGAATTACTTGTTTAAGAAGGTAACCCAAATCATTTGAACAATTTGGAATTTCGGTCAAGTCTTTTGACGAGTTGAGAAAGGGTATTTGGGGACTTGGTTCTTCTGATTTGAGCAATGGAATGGTGAGTCTGGAAGCTTGTTTTGAAGTTCAATTTCTATTCTATAAGCTAGAGTAGTGTTTGGTAGCTCAAGGTGGAACTTGGAAGGTCAATTTTCAGGCTCGACAAAAGGCTATTGGTGACTTGAAGCTGTTTAAGTGTAAAACGGAGTTCAGAGAGGCTACTTTGAAGCTCCATTCCAAAAGGATGATTGTGCTTCGAGTCAGGGGCTTCATACCCCATGAAACTATGCACTTTAATCTATAGATAAAAGGCATTGGATGATTCATTGTGCACCTGGAAGTTATCGATCGAAGGCCTCAAAGATTGCATCAAGGCTGTTGGTGACTTGGAGCTGAAGAAGAGAGTTTCTTTCCTTAATGTTTCGGAATGCTATTTCCTTTTATGTTTAAGCTTAGGTTTTCGAGTTGTGTTAGGTTTCTAACGGTTTACGCTAGCTAGTGTCTATTTAAGCTTTCGTTTGCGTTGTAATTGAATTCAAGTTTTAATCGAATAAACCCCTTTGTTCATTGAGTTTTTCTCGTGAATTGTCCTTGGTTGAATGGAATTGATTCCATCAAACAAGCGAGCTCGGCATCGATCGATTCATCACATCGATTATGGACGAGTTGCTACCTTCATTGGATCGAGCCTCTTCCCCTAGTTGGCATTGAAGTTGCACTTTCCAAACCCATCTTTACCCAATTCTTGTTTTGTTTTTCTTCGAGTTTGATCAAAAGGAATGAAGGTTTAAATGTTGCGTGCTCTGTCCTACAAGCTTCAGCGAGTTGGGCTTATCACTAATTGAGAAGGCTTCACCCTGGTGTTGCTCTCCCCTAGTTAACAATTACAACTTGCTGGATCAAATGGTTGTATGTGGTGAGGGGTTGTAAACCATAGGGAAGTGCAACAAGTAGCCAAGCTCCACTCTCTTGGTCTATTGGTCGAGGAAAAGGGATATGATCTAAGCCACCAATGTGACTCTCTCGACCTATTGACTAAGGGTTGGTTAGACTTCACCCTCGAATCGGAGTTTGGAAGGCCACCCACAACCAAACCCTAGGTGCTAATATGAAATAGGAGGTTTTCCCCGCATTAACCTAAATAAGAGACAATGACTTGTCTAAGAAACCCCAACATTCAAGCCTCTTTCAAAGAAAGGAAGGGAGTTTTCTCTCTACCTAGGTAACAATGGAAATTAGATTGATAGGATTTCATACAACACAATCATTCATGAATAATACCTCCATATTAACATTAAACACAACCACACACAAATCATTCAATCCATACAAGCATTCACATAATAGTAGCTAGGGTTTACAAACACCCAAGTGAAAGAAGGGACTACTCCATGCTAGGAGAAGGGAAAACACAAGAGAGAAGAAGGAAAACCATCAAAGAGATGCTAGCCTTGCTCCTTGTGTTGAAGAGATTCTCCTTTGGGGGAGGAATTCCCAAATCCTTGCTTGAAGATGAAACCCTAGATTCTATTCTTCTTTGGTTCGTCACTTTCTCACTCTAAAAATATGAAGAAGAAGTTTCTCACACTATGTCTCTCTCCTCTTCTCCTTAAGCTCAACCTCCTTTAAATACTCATATCGGGCTCAGTTCACTGTACCAGTTCACGGCCGTGAACTGCAAGCCGGGACCATGATCTTAAGTCGAAACGCGCCGCATCAGAAAGTCCTGTTCACGGGCAATGGCCTGGGTTCACATCTTACGACCGTGAATTGACTCGTGTATGGTGAAAGCAATTTTTGCTCTCGATGCCTGGCTATTCACGAGTAGCGCCTCCAGTTCGCTGTCTTAGTGATTATGAACACACTGCCTAGACCGTGATCTCCTGCTGCTTCCACCCTTTGACTTGATTTTTCGCCCTTTCGTCCAACTTTCGACTCCGGGGTTGGTTCCACCTGCCAAATTCTGAAAAACACCAAGACAAGGCAAAACCCAACGTAAAACCAAACCTCTCGAAGTAAAAATGTTTCAAACGACTAAGCTAATCGGGGGTAAAAAGTGTACAAATGAGCCCGAATTAACAACCTTCACGATGGGAGAGGGGCTCGATTGGTGTTGTCGATGCTTGGCCACGAACAAGGTGAGTACTTGAACGATACAAGCTCATGATCAAGCCTATAATCGACTAGGTTGATCCCTCAATCCATAAGACAAGATCTTATGAACTCAAACTCTCGGTTTGTTATTCAATTGAACAAAAACTGAAAATTACAACAAATCAAAGCGACTTAAAAAGACCTAGGAAATCCTAGCTACTCTTATGGAAGTTTTAAACACATTACAATTAGAAAAGGAAATCTAAACCAACTCTAAAAAGGAATTAAAGTACAAGCAGCAAACTAATCCTAATCCGAGAAGGATTTGGATTTGTTGAATTCCGAATGCAGAAAAACAATCTTCAGAATATTTTGCCAGCCTTCGTTTGATGTCTTCCAAGAACCAAATCAAGCACCCAATTCCTCGCCGTTGTAGAAGGAAACTGTACTTCCATGGCATGTAAACCTCAAGCCTCGACTCTCACTCCTCTTCCTCGACTTGAGCTTCAAATTATCTTTCCCGAACTCACTCCATGTCTTGACCATTTTCAGGCTTTCTTCTCGGTTTGACATAAACTTTTGAGCTTGGGAAACCACCTTCCTGGCTTCTCCCGGATCTTCCAAGCACTTTAATGGATAGATAAACACTTCATATTCAAAATGAGAACTTAAACTCCCATTTCCATTAAGCCAATTAAGAGAGAGAGTCATGCAAAGTTGGGTACCTGAAACTGAATAATAACTTCGCCAAAAATTAGGATTCTTCAAGTTGTTTGGAATGCCTTCCTGATCCATCAAGTCCAACTTGTTTAATGGCCAATTTGAGCTTTTATCACCATTAGCCAATCCATTATAGACCTTTGTTTCCATCTCACATCATTTTTCAAAAGTAGGTATGTGATGTCAATTGTATTGTGACTTGCTAAAACAAACACAATCAAACTACGACCAAGTGTAATCCCAGTCCAAGAAGTTGATTTAAAGCAAAAGTAAAAAGGAAGCCAGTAACGGTTGTTTTCAGATTAAGATGGCTCAGTAAAAAATGAGCCCCCCTAGATTCTAGTTAGGCCTAGTTGTAATTCACCCAAGTCAATTCGATTGAGACTTAAACTGTGGAAAGTTCTCAAACAGTCTAGAGTCTCGACTAAAGTGTTACAGACCCTCTCAGATTGAATAGCCTACGGGCGACTAACCTCCACCGGTATAAGCTAACTGAGGCAATAAGATTTAAACATCATCTACTGGATTCTACACCAGTACAAAGCAGTGAATCGAATCCTCGACTAAAGTAGTCCATTCACTACTTCCAATTCAGGAGTCCCAGATACAGCTTGAGGTGATGCCCATTCACCTTGAAGAGCTCGGTTTGTGGAATGGCGATCTCCATGGTTCCATTGGGGAACACCTGGGTGACCGTGTACGATCCTTACCATCTGGAGTGCATCTTTCTCGAAAAGAGTTCAGGCAAGTTATAGAGTAGAACTCAATCTCCCACCTAAAACTCTTTGAGACCTTTAAGACTAGTGTCGTGGAGATGCTTAGTCCTCTCCTTATACAGCTGGTGTTCTCTTTGGCATGATAACGCCACTCTTCCCATTCCGATAGCTGCATTTTTTCTTTTGGTACCTGCAAGACTCAGATCAAGGTTTAGCAGCTTAAGGGCCCAGAAGGCCTTGTGCCCTTGTGCTCTAGCTCGACGGGCAAGTGACAAGCCTTTCCATAGACAACCCGATATGGAAAGGTACCAATCGGCATCTTGTAGCCTGTCCTATACCCCCAAAGAGCATCATCGAGCTTGGTATACCAATCCTTGCGGGATTGATCCACTGTCTTTTCTATTATCCTTTTTAATTCCCGGTTTTTCATCTCGGCTTGACCATTCTTTTGAGTATGGTAAGCCATGGACACTTTATCCTTAAACATCATAGTTAGAGAGGATTTTAGTGAATTGTTCTTAAAAATGGGTTCCACTGTCGCTAATATTGGCTTGGGTTGTCCCGAATTGGGAAAAGAAGGAGGAAAGGGACCCATGAAGCCGATGCCCCAGAAATCAAATACCACACAAGTCTTAAACAAATTTCGGGGCATCTCATCACGGGCAAAGATGTTATCTATCCTTTGGCAGCGATCGCACTGGCGGGTGAAGGCATCCGTGTCATTGAAGAGCGTGGGCCATAAGAATCCCGACTGCATCACCTTCTCCGCTAGGAATGGCAACGGGGCAGGTCTGGGGCGGGTATCACGATACCCATTCCCGTCCCGTGGAAGGTCGGGTTCAGGTCGGGTAATTTATCATGTGACGAAGGTCGGGCCAGGTCGACCCAATGGGCATGCAATATATATGGAAAGCATGAGAAATATTCATTATTTTCATTATAAAACCAAAAAAACAAATCATAATATGATAAATTATAGTTAAATTATTGGAGAAATTGAGGTTTTCAGTAATTTACAACTTTATAATAGCTAAAATATGATGTAATAAAGGAGAATTCGAAGTAATTTGACAAAAATTACATGGAATTTAGGCAAGAACGGGTCGAGAATGGGGCGGGCAGGGCAAGTCGGGTCGATGACAATACCATTGCCCTCCCGCCCCACCTACGGGGCGGGTCGAACCCACCCCAAAATAGGTCGGGTAATACTGGTCATGTTGAAATTGCCATCCCTATTCTCCGTCGAGCGGTTTCCTCCATGGTGGCCACCATTGGGCCTGTCATGACAGTGAGACAGGATATCTCTTATCTCGTGGTCTATCGCGCACCTTCGTATCATGCCATTTGCTTCGATCCTGAAGAGGTGTGGATTCTCCTAGAAATATTACCTCTAGTCAGAGAAGAACTTGCGTTTAGCATGAGTGGCCATCCCCTTAGGCAATTGTTTCTCACTAGATAATTGGAAAAATCAGAGTACCAAGGGGTGACACTCTCCACAAAGCACAACGTCAACAATCGCTCATTCAGGAAGGAGTTGTTGATCTCTTATACGAAGTTGTCCACCGGAGAGGCTTCCAACCGTGAAAGATGATCTACAACAAAGTTCTCTACTCCTTTCTTATATCGGTTCTTGATGTCGAACTCCTGCAGTAGCAGGATCCAGCAGATGAGCCTTGACTTGGAGTTAGCCTTGGTCATCAAGTGTTGGATGGAAGAGTGGTCCGTGTAAACCACCACATGAGACAACACCAGGTAGGGTCGGAACTTGTTGATAACACCATAATTACACATGTTTGTTCCCTCATTTCTTAGTAATTTGAGCATGGATTGCTGCTACTCAAACCTATTTTACGCTATTTTGTGTTCATTCGATACATTGCAGGTCCTAGCAAGCAAAGGGAAGCTTTGGCACAAGTTGCGGGTCAATCGGAGGTCATTTGGAAATTTGAAGGAACAAACTCGGTCAACCATGAGAAAGAAAAATTGGCCAAGTTTCAATTTCAAAGAGACTGAGTTTCGTCTTTCGAGCACATAAACTCGGTCGAGTTACTCAAAGGCAGAGACCTGATTTTACCTTGAAGATGGCTGACATTTCTACAAAATTCGGCCTGATGAAGACCACAACTCGATCAAGTTTACAGAGCATCAAAATGAGTTTTCCTTGACGAACAACAAAACTCTCTCGAGTTTTAGCAAGGCAAAGACCGAGTTTTATCATGTAGTTGTCCGTGTTTCCACAAAACTTGGCATGTAGCAAGAAATAGGTCAGCAAACTCGGTCTAGTTTCATGAAAACTATAAATACACATTTTCAGATCCAGATATGGATAGGACAATATGGAGAGTGAAAATAGAGATTTTTGAGAGAGAAAGTGGTAGAGAATGACATATAGGAGATGAATTTGGGCATCCTTCCACCCTTGGGGCACATATCCAGTCCTCTGGAGCGTCGATCAACAACATGGAAGTAGATCCAGGTCATCCACATGATCAAATCTATTTCATACATGGCTTTCTTCCCTAGATTTATGGAGTAGTCCACTCCATCACCTAGGTATGTAGAACCCTAGTGTGTTATGGTTGATTGTGATTGTTATTTACTTTGTAAAACATGATATTATTTATCCGATTGAAGTTTATCCACGTAATTGTTGATTCTTGATCAAATTTGTCAATTATTACTTTAACCTATGATAGAAAATCAATTAGGTTGAGTCAATTGATGGCTTTGTATTGGATTTCCATTCAATAGAGGAAATGTTACCATATTGCCTTTATATTCCATTCCGGTTGAGGATAATCTCCATTTGAGTTTAATCACGAGGGTTTGTAATGCTTTAGTTGAGATTTCAAACTAATTCAGGATTCTCCACAATAAAAATATCAAGTTGAACAAGCTAGATAGTAATAGACATCGACCTAACTAAGAACTAGGGGAAAATATACCCGAGTGAGTTTTCCACCCCTGAAGTCAAATCAAATTACTTGCCTTGCTTTCGTTAATTTTTAAGGAACTTTACAACAAATGACTTGCTAAATAACGGTCACCTCACTGAGTAAGAATACATTTACCGCCCGGGTTGACAAATTAAGACTTTACACCACTATACTACTTCCCAATTTTTGGTTGCACTTGGCCACTTATTGGAGTTGTAGTGAAAGAGAGTCAAGTTGAACATATGTTACTTTAGCTTTATTTTCTTTATTTTTATTTTATCCCACCTTTCCATTTCACAGGTTGTTTTTGTATTGTTGTGGCAGGTTCTAGTGCATGACCCAGAGCCAATCGGGCAATTTATTACCATTGGATCACAACATCAACAGCACCCTCCGGAATTTAAAGAAAGAGAAGACTGCTAAACAAGCTCTCTTTTCATAGGAGCCCAACAACACTTCTGGTGATACAGAACCTAAAGTCATGGCGGACGAAGCAAACTAGGGAGATGCAGAGAGGACTATGGGTGATTAATTTTCCCCAAAGGTCGAGGAGATTAATCCCAACATTGTGCATCCACCCATTGCTCCCTACACTTTAGAGATTAAAACTGGGTGGATCACAATGATTCAGAACAACATCCACTGCCACGAGCTCCTATCCGAAGAACCGGGACAATATCTCCTTCATTTCCTTAAGCTCACAGACGGGATGAAAGCAAATGGGGTGCCTCAAGATGATGTTCGGCTTTGCCTATTCCCTTGCTCACTAATAGGGAAAGAGCGCAAATGGTTGAATAGACCACCCCTTTTATCCATCACCTCATGGCCTGATTTGATGAAGAAGTTCATGACCCGATATTACCCACCTGCCAAGTCTTGTGAACTTCAGAGGCGTTAACCCATTTTGCTTAGGAGGATGATGAGAGCCTTCGTGATAATTGAGAGCGGTATTCAGACCTGTTCTTGAAGTGCCCACACCATGGCTTCGATAATTCTTTCAAGGTAGGCAACTTCTATAATGCACTTTTCCGGAAGACCGCCAGTTAATAGACTCCTTTTGTCCAGGAGGTATGTTGAACTAGACCCCCACCTCGGCTGACTATGGTATTTGATGAATGGCTTCCCGGTGATATGACTGGGGAGTTCCATGAGAAGAAAGGACATCTCGAGATAAGGGTGTTCATTGTCGACTCCCGACCATCCATGGACTCTAAAATGGATAAAATTTTGGAAATGATGGCAAGAAATGAGTCTCAAGCTTCTAGCCGGGTTGCAATTCCAGCTCCTCAATGTGATTGGTGCTCTAGTGCCAACCATGCTCTTGAGGACTGTCAAGCAACGTAGGAGGCCACTACGCCTCTAGAGCAGGTGGACTTCATTGCCAACGCCCAAAATAACAATCCATAAAGCAATACCTATAATCCGGGATGCGCAACCATCCTTATGTGGTCCCCGCCCTCAAATTCGAGACCACCTAGTTTCTAACCTCCTAAATTCCAAGCACCAACGGTATGGTTCCAGCAAAGACCCCTTTCCAGAAACAATGACAACCATATCAATCTCAACTGCCTTTTCCCACCAGGCTACACAAGGACAGACTTGAAGCCGAATTTTCCAAATTTATGGCGATGCTGGAACAAGTGCACATCAATCTTCCTTTCATGGAGGCCCTCTGAAAAATGCCCAAATACGCAAAGTTCATGAAAGACATCCTCACCAAAAGAAGGAAACTTGGGGATCTCTCTACAGTGACGTTGAACGAGGAGTATTCAGAGATCTTGCAAAACAAGCTACTCGAGAAGTGCAAAGACACATGGAGTTTTACTATCCCTATTCTCATTGGTAGTGTCCTTGTAGGGGAGTCCTTGGCGGACTTAGGTGCTAGTATAAATGTCATGCCATACAAGCTAGCCTAGTGCTACTAGGATGAGTAGCCAATTAGCTAATCGATCTAATGTACATGCTCGAGATATTGTTGAAGATCTGCTTGTTAAAGTTGGCACGTTCGTCTATCTTGCTGATTTGTGATTTTAGACATAAATGAGGTTGTTGATGTGCCTTTAATTTTGGGTAGACCTTTCCAAGCCACCACCAAGGCACTTATTGATGTTAATGATGGAAAATTTCTATTGTGGGATAGGGATGAGAAATTCACTTTTTCAGTTTCAGATAATGTAAAACATCTTTGTCTACATGATGATTTAATTGGATTATAGGAACGTTATAACAGATTATGAGACAACACTCGCCATCACGAGTGCTGGTACTGATGATTCTCTTGAGAAATGTCTTTTTCTAGGGGAACAACCAATAGAGGAGCCGTAACTACAAGATCAACTGGCAGCATTGGAGGAAGCAGTAATCCAAGAGCGTGAACCGCTAACTCATCCCGAATATCACAACAAAATCCCACCTAAGGCCCAAGTATAAACCTTAGATGGGTGCAATATAGGGCAAGTATGTTTACATATCAACCCGGACCGGTCCATGTACCCCCTACTTTAATTGTTTGAAACATTATCTAGCGGATTGGTTTTTGGTTGAAAACTATAAGGATTAAATTAAAACAAAGCAAAGCTAAAAGGTTTGAAAGCTCTAGATGAGAAGTATCACTCGGGTGTTGCTTCCCCCTAACTACTACCACAAGCAACAAGCTCCTAACATGAAAACGGCCTCGAAAGTCACAAGACTCAAAGGGTTTGACTAGTGGATAAATCATTTTGGGACAATCAACATTTGGGCGTGGACTAATCCTATGCCTCCATCTTACTCACTAGTGACAGCTGTGATGTTACTCGCCATGGTAAGAGGGATCTAAGCACACAAGAAGAAAACGATCAGCTCAAAAAACACATGCCTACCTAGTCACCCAACCATCTATTCCAATTCACAAAGCAACATGCATGGCAATTGTAATAAACAAGTAATCGAGTCAAAACATCCATTCATTTTTGCACACATGAGAACTAAACCTTTGCATCACCCTTGGACCTCTCATTCATCATCATAGGACATACTCGATCACATGCAACAATTCAAGGTCAATGCCAATAAACACGAGATTCTTCCACAATCCGGCCACTTTGATCATGCAAACATTGCTTGGAGCCCTCAAATATTTCAAATTTGGGAAAAACTCAAGGCTCCAAGCATTAATCACACTCACACAAGAGTAATAATAAAATACCCCCCCCCCCCCCACACACACACACTTAAGCTCGACATTGCCCTCAATGGCGTAAGATAGGGGTAGAAGGATATTACCGCTTTGCTTGGTGAGTGAAAGTTAGAATTGTTTCTGGGGTAGGAGATTTGAAGCTTCAAGGATAAGACAAAAACACACGTACACAAACACAATACGACTCGCTCATGGCGAGGTTATTACACAACACAATACGATAGTAGTAGTAGTTTATAGTCACAAACACATAAACGAAAGAAAAATAAGAAAAACAAGTTCAGAGTTCCAAGTGGACTAGTGGGGCTCAAGGAATTGGCTCTGCGACATATCTCCCTCGTCGGCTACCTCGCACTCGGTCAAAGGCCTCGGCTCATCATCTCTAATGAGACCCTGGCGTTGAGCCATCTGCCGGTCGATGCTGGATTCACTCCCCCAAACTGAGTCTCGAGGCGATCCATCCTCTGGACGCGGGGATCACCGACTGTTCTGGATGATGAAGTTGCTGCTGCTGGTGTATAGGTTGTTGGAGCTCGGGACACCGGCAGCAGCCGGGTGCTCGAGCAGGTAGCTGCTCTAGAGGTGGAACCCCAGCATCTGGCTCCACTAGAGCCGGGTCAACTGCTGGGTGCATGACTCCCGAAGGTCGGAGGCCGTCGAGGTACTCAATCCCCCTCTCCTAAAGTACCAGCTGCTGATAATATAGTGTAGCCACTGGGAAGGGCTCGGTCCTTCCGACGATGGAGCATGTTTAATTATATATTGATTTGAGTATTTATCATTAAAATGGAGGGTTCTTGATTAATTTCCTAAATATTGTAGAGAGCTAAGACCTTTGGGTCACTATTCAATCATTGTAGAGAGCTATGACCGGGGGTAATTGGTTTCTTTATGTTATCCCTCAGATTTGATTTCCCTAATCATCTAAGTCGGTAATGTGGTACACCCCTCCGATTAGAGCAATTAGTGGGGTTAATAGCACTCGAATAAGGGGTCCTAATTATGTTTAATCTCCTAACGGTATATAAAACTTGCAAATAACACTAGAGTATCACAATCTCATCTCAACATGGGACTAGGGTGATAATCATCCGAGTGGAACCTTCTCATTTAAATTCAACCTCGTTTTAGTAGTTTGTTTGCTTTGTTTGATATTTTTAAACGACGTTTCTATTGATAGATAACTTGTAATTTATTAAAATAAGGGTAGGCGAACCGTCTGTGTTGATAATTGACAATATACTTGCTCTATACTACAGCCTTCATAGGATTATACTTGTCTAGTGGTGGGAGTTTGTAATAGGTCGTGAAAAAATGTATCAAATATGAGAGCGATAAATACTATTATTAATTTCCCTAGTACCCAAATGCCCCAAATCAATCTAGGACCTGTCTTAACTTAATTTGTGTCAATTATTAGCACAATTATAAACATAATAACATAAAAAAGCCTAGGAAAACGAGGTAGGAAACATGTCTAGATTATGTGTTATCATTGTTTTTTTGGCAACCAATGCTAAAATTCCTGAAAAATCACAGTTTCAGAAACACTCTCGTAAAAAGTGAAAAATTCAAGGCCAGACTTGGCATTAACCTTTTATTGTTTAAACAACATGTCACAAGTAGAAAACATAATTTAAGATTGGGAATTCTAAGCCAAAATAGTGTTTGCTCCTAACTAGCTTACACTTTATTTTGTGCTTCTCTTTGTGATTTTTTCACATACTTTCTCTCTTTATTTTGGCTGCTTTCGTTCAGGCCGGGCAAAACTAAAACAAGGTTTCTTTTAGTTTCTTGGGTAATGACTATTTATTAGTCAAATCTTTTTTGACTCTATGTATCTCTTCCAAGTCCGTATCATATTTCCAAGTCAATATTAGTAACAAAATTGCTAACAGAAAGTTAACATTTGGCTAATTATTAGTAATTCAATAGTTTTGGCTAATAAAAAAGAATCTGAAAAAGATTTGACTAATAAATAGTCATTATCCTAGTTTCTTCCCCAAACATCGTCCCAAATCAACCACTGTATTCTCTACCACTAAATACGCGTGCATAAGGTAATGCTATCGCCAACAAAAATCTGGGCAACATCAACTCGAGGATCTGAAGCCAATAACTTATTCAGTTGAAGTATGGCATTCCTATCGTTTCTAAAGCATTCTGGAACTTGGAATTCCCCCTTTGCCACAAATCCCAACCAAAGGGTGTTGTTGTTAGAAGTTAAAAGTACTATTATGTAATTAATCCTTTTTAGGGTTATACTCGGCCAAGTATATATGTGGTGAATGGTCGAGATTATTGATTTATTCTGTACGTGAGCAACAACAAAAACTCTGCCTTGTGCCGTGGACTAGGCTCAACATAAATTGTTGAGGAAAGCACGTAAATCTTGTGTTCTGTTTTCATGCTTTTACATATTTGATCGTGATTTTGACATGGTATCAGAGCCTCCCACTATTTATCTATGAGTTCAGCTTCGATCTGCGTGGGATCTTCTTTTCGAGTGGCATTCTTATTCTTCTCCTGGTATCGGCTGGTGTTTTTATTTAGCTGGGTATTCTCTGCCTGTCCGTTTCTTTGCTAGGTCTATTCGCTTGACCTCCGTTGTGGTTGGCTTCTTCTCTAGGTTTTTGTTTTTCATTTTTTCTACGGCTCGGTATTGCGGCATCGGGGTTGGCTGCTTCTCTCAAGTTTTGTTGCATTCGCTGCTTCTTTTGGGTCTTCTTATTTCCATGCTCGGTTTATTTATGGGTGCTTGTTTTCTGTCCAAATACGGAGGGTTTGAAGAGTGCTGCTATCTCGGTTCGCTTTACTGGTAAGAACTACGCAATCTGGGCTTTTATAATTTAAGATGCATGTTCAAGGTCCACCTTGATTACCTTTTCTGGATGGTTCGAGCAAGGAGCCTGCGGATGATGCCACGCCCAAAGAGAAGGAAGATTGAGCTGCATCCAATGTAGGGGTTATGTCATTATTACTTGGCACGATGGAGTCGGGTACTACGTTGAGTTTGAAGGGTTTTTAGACAGCTGCTGGGATGTGGCAACATCTCGCCAATTTGTACTCTCAGCCTAGTGCTTCTCGCAAGTTTGATGTGGAATGTGATCTTGGTAGATTGACTCAAGGGGATTCATATATTCTCACGCTGCTGTGACCCTATGCACTGAGCATGATCACTTGACCAGCTCGCTTCGGTCTGGCGCGACATCCACTGAGGTTATTCGTGAGCGTACTAGCACATGGATTATACGCTTTTCAATGAATCTGCAGCCTGAGTTGGAGGGGATCCGGGCCTCTCTACTTCATACTAATGTGGAGACTTTGGATAAGATTCTTGGAGAGCTTCTTTGTGAAGAAACTCGTCTGCGTATTCAGGCAAAATTGGACATCCATGCTAGCAATTCTACTACTGCCTTTGCGGTTCAGAGAGGGAAACCTCAATTTCAGCGTATTGCGAAGGGTGAGATTATCTGCCATTACTATAAGGAACCTGGCCACATTTAATATCACTATAAGAAGAGGAACGTGTGCAACTACTATAAGCAGGAGGGTCACCTGATTGGCGACTGCCCCAAGAAGAAGAATATGTGTACCTACTATAAGTAGGAAGGTCATGTCATTGCTGCTTGTCCTACAGTGGCTCGACGTGGCCATTCCCGACTTGATGGATCTCAAGGGGGCTCGGCCCCTGGTGCGGCGTATGCTACCACCATGGTCGAGGGCGCGACTTCCTCGACCTTGACGCTTGCTGATGTTGGTCGCTTGGTGCAGGATGCCTTAAAGGAAGCACTACCCACTGCTCTTACTTTTGCTTTTGTTACGGGTATGACCTCCTCCTCTCTTTCCTGGCACGTTGATTCACTTGTATATAGTCATATGACGAGTTCTCGTCCTACTTTTTGCACACTTGATACATAAGTTCCTAGTCTTGCTCTACAAGCTGCGAATGGATCTGTTATGCCTGTTCACGGGGTTGGGCATATAGCTCGACCGAATATTTCCCTTCCGAATACGTTATATGTTCCTAAGCTTGTGCCCAGTCTTGTTTCTTTGGGTCAACTAGCTGAGGATGGATGTCGGGTTATCTTTGACAATGCCAGATGTATTGTGCAGGACACGACAACGGGGACGGAGCTCGCGAGAGGCAGTAAAATGGGTCGCTCATACATGATAGATTCATATTCTCCACCAAGTGTTTGTGCGCTTCAGGATGTGGATGGGGGAAGCTTGGCAAGGGATAGCGAGCTGCTGCCAGGAGTAGTGCATTTGGTGTTAGTAGTGATAGTTTGGTTTATGCAGTGCAGTTGTCTGATTGGGATTTGTGGCACTTTAGATTGGGTCATCCAAATTCTCCTAGACTTTCTACGATGTAGTATGTTTCAGAATGAGAGGTTTTCTGGTTCCCCTTTGACTAATCCGGATCATGATTGTTTCATTGTTTGCAAGCTAAGATGACACAACATTCTTTTCAATTGAGCACGACTGTTTATTCTGAACCATTTGATCTTATTCATACTGATCTATGGGGTCTGTCTCCTGTTACTTCTCATTTGGGGTATCGCTACTTTGCGCTGTTTGTGGATCATGCTACCTCCTTTATGTGGGTCTTTTTTCTTCGTCGCAAATCGGAAATGGTAACCGTTGCTCAGGAGTTTCTTGCCATGATTTCGGCTTAGTTTAATCGGGTTGTTAAGATACTTCGTTCTGATCCATGTGGAGAGTTTACCTCGAATCCTTTGCAGAGTCTTCTAAGAGAACGAGGCATTATTTCTCAGCAGTCCTGTTCTGGAGTCTCACACAAGAATGGGTTAGTAGAACGAAAACATCGGCATGCCCTTAAGTTAACTCGGGCTATTCTATTTCATTAACTAGTGCCTTCTGTTTTTTGGTGTGAGGCAGTTCATACTACAGTTTACTTAATTAATCGATAGATCACTTTGGTACTTCAACAGCGAAGTCCATATTAGGCCCTGTATTCTCCCTCGTCTGAGCTCGAAATTCAATTCCGTCGACTCCGTGATGCTCCTGGAGACGAGATCTACGCATCGGTACTAAGTTTCAGAATTATCATCGCAGTTGGCGATGCCGACGTCGACGTCGGGATTGACGACGATCCTCCGACGAACCTCTTACAAGCGTCGAAACCGATTTATGACTCCACCAATCGAATTATAGGGGTCCTATTACCTAAACCCAACCCTAAGATGATTCAATTTCCCTCTTCTTCCCTTTCTTCCCCTTTCCTTTCCTCTCGGTGACTACTAAGGAAAAACAGAGGAAGAATCGTTCCTCTTCCTATATGCTGTCCCAAGCTCCCTCTCCCCTGCTTTAATCACGCCGAAGTAGAATTAAAACCCTAAAGGCCTCCTTCTATCCTGCAGGGGTGTTGGAATGATAAAAATCCATTTCCAACGTCGGGCGCCGATTGAAAGATACATATCCGGAGCTCGACACGTCCTGGAAGTGTTCGACGATGTGCCAAGGATGTCGGCTCTTCCATTGAAACGACAACTTCGGAGTTAAGGCTGGTTGGTTGCATACAGAAGGACGTAAACATGTATTTAATCAAACCGGAGAACTCTTGTACACTAATAACCTTGTAGCAGAGCGGGTAGGCTGTTAGTTAATGAGCAAAAGGTCAATGTTTCAAAATCTGTTGCCATCATTTTATTTTTCATTTTTCATTTTTATTTTCTCTATAATTTCAAAATGTATACATATATGTACACACATAATAATCAATTACTATAATTATTATTATTGCTTCCACATACATCCTTTTTCCGTTGACGACTTAAATTCCACGACATAGAATTTCGATTATAAATTTACAATTATAGGGAATAAATTTATTTTATTTATTTCGTTTTGTTTGGTTTGGGATGTTACAACTCTCCCCCTCTTAAATGGATTTCGTCCCCGAAATCCTCTTAAGGCTCAATTACGAGGACTAAGGTAATGATAAATTTATCGCCTTCAAAATTTCCGTACCAACCTTTGTAGGAGTTCATCGGAGGGAGCTTGGGCAGTTGAGTTCCACCTTCCCACCTTTGTATCACCGTGGCTCACAATTGATAACTTTTTCTTCCATCCTAACAAGTCGTGTCATTGGATTCCTAGGTTGATTTGTCACAATAATACGGAGTGAGCTTGGTATATTTACACCAAAGGGAACGCGGCTGGAGTGGTACGGCTCTTTGCCCTCGCCCGGGACGTTGCGGGCTCGAGTTCCACCGATGCCAGATTTCGAACCCTAACCATCTTTTTGCTTCTCTTTATATCCATGGTTCCTCAACTTGCAATCTCCCCCTCTTTTGGCTTTCTCCGGAGCATTCAATCCCCAAGATTTATTATACTAATTGGGGTACACCCCTCAATGATTACTCCTAGATCAAAATGATTGCCCTTTACCACTTGGCTCTCCTTTAAAAGACACCCCTCCTAGGCAACTCTTCGTATTAGTGTACCATTTGTTCAACAAACTTATCCGTTGGTTTAGGTATCTCACTACTCAAGATGACTGTGATTCCTTGTTTTCCCAAGGTTCCCGTAGGTATTTTCCCAATGTTAACCTTCACCACTAGTAACCTTGATTTCGGCCACTATAAGGTAGCAAGTTTGGACTTCATGCATCCATCATTCATGCCCTTCCTTTCAGGAAAATCCCACCTTTCTAGTGGTCAATCATCACTCACCACCTTCCACCCCGTACTAGGTGAAGGCAATCTCATCACACGTTAATTAGTTATCCTCGAACTTATTTCTCATATGAGAAATTAAGTCTCAAGGTGGCGATTGTGGCATCCTACATTCTCTTTAACGGCCACTACTCCCACTGTCCCACATCCTTTTGTTCCCCGTCTCAGGACATCGAATTCACTATAGGTTTCTTACTTTATCTAGCCGTGTTAAAATGGAATTCAAGACTCCATCATTCCATCGCAATCCCATTAGGATTTGCAGATGTTTCGCTCAATTCTTGTAACTCTTACTTCCTTTATCCAGGAAGTTCCATCTAGCCAAGCGAGAGGAGGCACCTTTGCACTGATCGATGGATTTCAGGAGGAAAATGCTTCACTTTTTTTTACCCAAAATGAGTTCCCGTAGCTCATTTCCAAAACCTCTTTCAAATCATCCCTTTCTCCGAAATTCTTTCAGAACAATTGAAATCTTTTTGACCAAATGAAACTGACTTTTACTTTGACTATGCAACACGTCATCATCATTGGTCTCAATTTATGGAAAGTCTAGTGCAAGTACAGATATGGAGTACTCCCTACTCTTTTGAGGGTGATCAATCCTCAAGAGCGAAAGTAACATACCCATAATGCAGAAAACAAACCAGCTCTGATACCACATGTAACACCCCACCCTAAAACTCATGGGTTGAACCAATGGTTCACCCGCACAACGGAATCTCTATTGGGGGTTACGCAAAAACTCAACTGTTTTACTACGGTAACATACATACCAACATCATTATAATCCAAAATCACAACAATCAATTCACAAATTACTCATCATATACCAAAGATCAACTCGATCTTGTTCATTCATTTCATGTCAACCAAATCAGAGTGTCATTCACTACTATGTTCATTACGGTACCATCTACTATGCAATACTCAAATCATTGACTCATAAAACATAAATGGGAGTCACTTCAAAATCTGGAAAAGTTCAAAACCAATCCTCCATCGATCATTGTGCAGTGCCAGAGTTTCTCTCAATTCATTCGAACCTGTAAAAAACTGAACAGAAGTGGGTCAGCAACTAAGCTGTGTGTGTGGATCTTTCCCACGACCTAGTTTTGCGACCGCAATCAGCTAATCAAACAGTCGCAATCAATCATAATTTAGTACTCTAGATGCCATCTTAATTCATCATATATATAAATCATCAATCAATATAACGAACCCACCAACTCATCATCTCTAAATCACTTTATCCAAAAAGATAATCACATAATTTCACGAACACATAATCAATGCATGATATGAAAGTTCCGATTAATTATTAATGGCACCAAGGTCACCATACACTTACCATTGATTCAATGAAGAACTGGCCATTGATTCAGCTGGACGTGAAGAATGCATTTCTTCACGGGGACCTCAAGGAAGAAATATACATGGAACTTCCTCTTGGTTACACGAAGGGTGACAGTTCTTGGTATGATGTCTGCGTTGGTCTCTATATGGGTTAAAAAGGCTCCCCGGATGTGGTTTAAAAAGTTTCACGAGACCATTATTCAAGCTGGTTTTTATCAAAGTGATAGTGATCCTTCGTTATTTCTGAGATCTACAGCACACGGGTTGACGATGCTTTTGATCTATGTTGATGACATGGTGGTTAGCGGGGACGATGTCGAGGGTGATTTGTCTTATTTTCTCGATTTGGAAATTCATCGCTCTTCTACAAGGATTCATGTTGCACAACATAAATAAGTGATCGATCTGCTTGAAGAGGCTCAGATGGATGATTGTGTTTCTTGTGCTACTTCGATGGAACAAAATCTTAAGCTTCGCCAGGGTAATGGAGAACTATTATCCAGTGGTTCTCTCCATCGTAGCATTGTAGGAAGCTTAATCTATCTGACTCACACAAGACCGGATATTTCAAGTTGTGAGTCAATTCATGTCAGCTCCCCGGACGACTCACTGGTCTGCAGTACAACGTATTCTCCGTTACCTTCGCGGTAGTCCCGATGTTGGATTAATCTTTTCAACAGGGGGCGAGACCGTCATGGAAGCATATGCCGATGTTGATTATGCTGAATGTCTTGATACACGACGTTTGGACTTCTGGTTTGTGTATTAAGGTGGACAGTTTATTTATTTCATGGAGGTGTAAGAAGCAGGACCGTGTTTTCAAGTCATCTATTGAGGCCGAGTATCATTCCATGAGTGATGTAGCGTCCGAGATCACCTGGCTGCTACATCTGCTTGCTGAATGGGGTGTGGTTATTCAGCCACCAGTTCGATTTTATGTGGACAACACAAGCGCGATCTGTATTGCCACAAATCCAGTTTTGCACGACTGGACTAAGTACATTGATGTTGCGAAAGCAACATCAATTTGAGGGAGGGTGTTAGAAGTTAGAGGTACTATTCTGTAATCAACCCTTTTTAGGGTTATACTCGTCCAAGTATATATGTGGTGAATGGCCGAGATTATTGATGTATTCTGTATGTGAGAAATAACAAAAACTCTGCCTTGTGCCGTGGACTAGTCTCAACCTAAATCGTTAAGAAAACCACGTAAATTTTGTGTTCTATGTTCATGCTTTTACATATTTGTTCGGGATTTTGACAGTTGTCATAGGCAATCACACCTCCAACCTTTACTAACAGCTCGTGGTATTTGTTGTAGCTTGTTTTTGTCATAGGCAAAAACTCTGACAGTTGTGAAATCTTTTTCGTAAGGAAGATCTACCTGATTACTGTGACATAAAAAAATACAATATGTCATTCCTTACGAAAAAGATTTCACAGAAAATCTCATTCCCACCAAGGCTAGGCCTATCCAAATGAATTCAGACATTGAAAAACATTGTCGACAAGAAATTAAAGAATTGCTCAAAAAGGGCCTTATCAGATCTAGCCAATCCCAATGGAGTTGTTCTGCATTCTATGTCATTAATAATGCAGAAAAGGAACGTGGAATACCTCGTCTTGTTATAAACTACAAACCGTTGAATAAGGCTCTCAAGTGGATTAGGTATCCTATCCCCAACCAAAAGGATCTACTCCAGAAACTTTCACAGTCACTAATATTTTCTACATTTGACATGAAATCCGGATTTTGGCAAATCCAAATCAAAGAAACAGACCACTATAAAACTGATTTTACCGTTCCCTTTGGCCTATATGAATGGAACGTCATGCCGTTTGGTTTGAAAAATGCTCCCTCAGAATTTCAAAGAATTACGAATCAAATCTACTCTCCTTATTTTGATTTCATAATAGTTTATATTGATGATGTGCTGGTTTTTTCTTCGTCCATTGGATAACATTTCAAACATCTCAATTTATTTCTTGAAGTTACTCGACGTAACCGTCTGCCTGTTTCTAAACCAAAACTTTGTTAATTTCAAACTAAGATACGTTTTTTGGGTCACTACATTAGTAAAGGAACAATTGTTCCAATCCAAAGATCTCTTCAATTTGCAGTTAAATTTCCTGATCAAATTTTAGACAAAAATCAATTACAACGGTTCCTAGGTAGTTTAAACTATGTCCTTGACTTTTATCCCAACATCAATCTTCTTTGTAAACCTCTCCATGATAGATTGAAAAAGAGTCCACCTCCCTGGAGGGACCAGCATACCAAAACAGTTCAGCTAATTAAGAGGGAGGTTCAGAGTCTCCCGTGCCTTCACATAAGTGATCCTTCTCTCCCTAAAATCGTCGAAACCAATGCCTCTAACCTAGTATATGGAGGAATCGTTAAGCAGATTCAAAATGATAAGGAGTTGTTGGTACGCTTTACTTCTAAGCATTGGAACCCTACCCAAATCAATTACTCCACTATCAAAAAAGAACTGCTTGCTATTGTTTTATGCAACTCAAAATTTCAGCATGATTTGCTCAATCAAAAATTTTTACTACGCATTGATTGCCAATCAGCAAAATACATTTTGGAAAAAGATGTTCAAAACCTTGCTTCTAAACAAATATTTGCACGATGGCAAGCCATCCTTAGCATTTTTTATTTCGACATACAATTTATAAATGGTTCTTCAAACTCTCTTCCAGACTTCCTTACTCGGAAATTTTTGCAGGGAGGACGAAGTGCGGAAAACTCTAAGGCTTGCAATCTCCAGTCATAATGCCCCCTACCACTAGATTGCGAGATAAAGAGAATATCAAAATCAAAACATGGAGAGAGATATTTGATGATGAACAAGGAAGCCCTGATCCTTCAAGTGAGTATGAAGGAAGTTCTGATGATTCTGGTTCACACTCAATTTCATATAAAGCTTTAATCAATATTGATAAGCTTCCTCTTGAAGCCCAAAATTACCTTCAAAAATTTATTGCCGTTTATGGTTCTAAACAAAAGCTTCCCACTGAAGCTTCAATTTCCTCAACAATTTCCCCATCTAAACTAATTCTTTCAAATACTCAAACGCCAATTGGCATCCTACCCACACCCATCTCTTCTTAAGAAACCAAACAAATCTATCAGCAACATCATCTTGATGTCGCACCTACCGGAAAAGAGGTGGCATCTTCGATAGCCCCTCTCAAAACCGTTTTTCCCAAAACCCAAGAGGTGGTGGTTGTCCAAGCCCCTCAAAATCGATTTCAACCGTATTTTAAGAAAAACACATTTCAACCCATTTTCGTTGTCGAAAATGGTTTCTAACATTAATATCCAAATGTTACTGCCAAACATTTCCTCAATGAGTGGTTCTTCAAACCAAGATCCCTCAACAAAACCCACAAATATTATGAACTTATCCTCACAGAAACTGGATCAGTCACTTTTTCCCACAAATTTGATCCTTCAGACAAAACACTCAATACCCACTCAACCTGAAAAATCCACCAAATTATCCACCCTCGCCAATGGCCTACTAGCCCAAACACCAACGAAAAATTCCCTGCTACTATTGCTCTTAACCACCCACAAATCTGCCAATCCTTCAATTACTGGTATTACCATGAAGCTTGGATTAATGCCTTCTTCAAGCAAAACCATATGTACCGACACTCCTGGAGTTTTTTCTGGGATTACAAAACTCCCATTATTTTCCGCAACTGGTTTATGCACTGGTGGGATCTTTTTGGGACAATTGAAAATATCTATCCAACTGAGATACAAGAGGGATATTAAACCTTCTGTCAAAAATATTCTGGTCTAGGATTCCCCCCCCCCCCCTCAAATTTTGTTACTACATCAAAGTTCCTTGGATTACTGCTTGGGAATTCAGTTACCAAACATGTGCTGTCACAAAGGTACCCATGTTGTAGTTTCGTTCGTGGTTTTTTTGATCCGCCTCTCTTCTCCTTCTTCTTTTTGTTGCCGTGTTGTAGTTTCGTTTGTGGTTTTTTCCAGGTCTGCTGTTCTTTTGACGTTTTGGGTTTTATTAATAAATTTCACCTTCATAAAAAAAAAACAAAGGTACCCATGTTAGGCCGCAGCTTCAAAACCAAAAATTGGGCTGCAAATCCTCGCCCAGAACAAGCCTACAAACCTCAAGTCCTCCAATGGTTCAATAACAATCCTGAATTGTCCAAAGTTATCGAAAAATCCTCAACGCAATGGTTCAATAACAATCCTGAATTGTCCAGTATTTACTTTTTGCTTTTATTTTATGCAAAACTGGTCATCTCCAGTATTTATCTTATGCTAATCTGGTCATCTCCAGTATTTACTTTTTGCTAATCTGGTCATTTCCAGTATCATTTACTTTACAAACTATTTTCAAGTTGATCTCTTATTGGCTGTCTCATTTCGTCCTTACTGGTGTCAGAGCCTGGGAGGAAAGGGTTAGTCTAAATCTTCTTGCTTATTATTAGTTGAGAGATGGGTACCCCATGGTTAGATCCTAGCTGAGTCCTTTGTGAGAGAGTTGTAAGACCGTCTTTGGCCGTTAACCTATCTCACCTGTAAGTTAGATCCAGCCTTTGTTTACCTTCTTTCCTCTAGTCATGAGTTCAATTTTTAGACCTTCCTCTTCTTCCTCTAATTCTGACATCACCGGGAACCGTGTGATCAACCAAGAAGAAATTAATTTTGAAACTGTTAGTAAAGAAATTGATAATTGGCAAATTCCTAGGATTGCCCAAAAGGAAATTTATGAGCAAAGCAAATTTAACTTCCTCAATAAAATGGATTATACCATCAAAACCGAAGAAAGAGATATTCATCTTTTCAATGGTTATGAAACTATCAAACTTTTGTCTCAAAATTCTATTCAACAACACAAAAAGAAGTACAACTATATCCATATTGGGTTAGTTCAAGTAGGGATTAAGCCTCTATCCAAAGAAGGCCTTAATACTGCTATTTTAATGGTTCTACGAGATTGTCGGTTTCTTGAGTTTAACGACTCTTTACTTGGAACTGTTGAATCAAGTCTTTGTAATGACAAAATTTACTTCAATTGTTTTCCAAACTTTACTGTCTCTCTTCATGACAAAAATATTTTAGATGTTTTAACCCTACAAATAAAAACTTTCAACTATATAATCCAACAAGGATCTTTACCTATCTCTTTGGTTTACCGCTTACACTATAAAGCTATGAAATCTGCTTTCTCTTCTAAAGCTCTTCAATTTGGTACAAAAGGAGAAACTATACTTTGGCAAACTGATTTAACTCGTACTAACACTGTTACTCCCAAAACTATCAAATTGGGAGAAGTTACTCTTCCTACAGAATGGACCCTTGAAGCATCGACCATCATCAGGTTAATCAAATTACTCAACATCTTGATGGTACTGTTAACATCTCTTTTGCTAGGAACTCCATCTCTAGCATTTCTGATATAGACCCTGAATTGACATACAATGCTCGACGGCGCATCAATACTTTTATTAGAAGCCAATCTTGTAGAAATCTTTCTCCCATACCAACACCCACTCGACATACCTCCTCTACACTCAACTATGATCTACGAGGAATCAACAACTCCAACAACATACCTCAGCCAGTTTATACTCCACCATTATCCAACTCCAATTCTATTTATGAATAGAATCTTGATGGATTTTCAGAATATCAAATTTTGAACCTTCTTCAACAAATGACCATGGTAGCTAATGCTTACAAAACACAAAATCAAACTTCTGATTACGCTATAGCTGAACTACTTATAGCCGACTTTGCTGGTCAATTAAAGGGTTGGTGGGATAATATCTTAACCGCAGAAGACCAGAGAACTATTTTTACAGCTGTCAAATGTGATTCTTCTGGAACTCCTATTTTAGACTCCAATAATCAATCTTCTCAAGATGCAGTCGCATCTCTGATTTTTGCCATTTCAAAACATTTCATTGGAGATCCTTCACATCTTAAAGATAAAAATGCCGAACTACTTTCTAATCTTCGTTGTAAAAAGTTTCATGACTTCCGATGGTACAAAGATACCTTTTTAACTAGGATTATGCAAAGAGAAGATGGAAATCAACCATTTTGGAAAGAAAAGTTTTTAGCCGGTTTACCCCGTCTCTTAGGAGATAAAATCCGAAACAAAATCCAAGACACTTTTAATGGTCAAATTCATTATGAGCAACTTACTTACGGAGAACTTATTAGCTTTATGCAAAAGGAAGGATTACAAATTTGCCATGATTTAAAACTTCAAAAACAGATCAAACACGAACAAAAACTAACTCGAAAAGAACTAGGATCTTTTTGTGCTCAGTTTGATGAATCTTACTCAAAAATTTCTTCCAAATCTAACTGTGAGGATTGTAGCACCAAACCTCATAAAATACATCGTGATCGTTCCTACCGTTCTTTTAAAACCACGAATCAAAAATCTCATTTCTCTAGGAATCCCCGCCTAGATAAGGGACCACGATCTAACAATGAAAATAAAAACATTACTTGTTTCCGTTGTGGAAAAACAGGTCATATTTCCAAATATTGTCGTATAAAAAAGAATCAATGAGCTTAATCTTGATGAAGAGATTCATGACAAATCAATAATCTTTTTCTCCAACACTACTCTTCTCATGAGGATTCTTCTTCTTGTGATGATGATGATGAGAATCTTCAGGCTTTACAATTTGATGACATCGATGAAAGTTCTGAATCTTCTATCAATGTTTTAAGGAAAGATCAAGAGCTTATTTTAGATCTAATCAATAATATTGATAATCCTCATCTCAAAGAAAAAATATTTCAAAAAGCTTCATGAGCACATGGAGAAACCTCCTGTGACTATTCCACCTACCAATCCCTTTCATCAAGGTTCGACGTATAGTGTCAAAGATATCCTTTCTCGGCATAGTAATAATGATTCCTACAATCCTTCTCTTCGTGACTTCCAAAAGGAATTGGATATTGTTAAGAAAGAAATTCAACAATTACGACAGTTACAAAATAGTGATCATGAAATATTACAAACTTTAATAGCTCTCAAACCTTTAGAAGAGCCATCAACATCTAGCCCCGAAAACTTCTTCGATGAAACTCCTCACGCAACCAATAGTTTAGAAACAGAGGAAATGCTAACTGATGACGATTTTCTATGTTTTTTTATCTACCATTACTACCCAAAAATGATATGTTATCATTAATATTCAGGTTTCTTCTGATTTTAGTTTAAGCACAGTGGCCCTTCTTGATACAGGAGCATAAATGAACTGCATCCAAGAAGGATTAATTCCAACTAAGTACTATGAAAAGACCATCGAGCGTCTATCTACCGCTAACTCTCAACCTCTTCAAATACAATATAAACTTTCTAATGCTTTAATTTGTCATCAAAATGTTGAATTCAAAACTCCTTTTGTCCTAGTACGTGACATGCAACAAAAGGTGATCTTAGGGACACCTTTTCTAATTCTTCTAAAACCTTTTACCATCACCGACCAAGGAATTAACACCGTTGTGTTAGGAAACAAGGTTGAATTCTCATTTCTCCAAAAACCAAAAGTTCGAAACCTAAATGTTTTACGACGTTCTTCTATAAAATATATACACCATATAATTCGTTGTAAAACTAATAAAATATCTTATTTGCATGATGAGATACATTTTCAGCGAATCTTACAACAACTTTCTCAACCTCTTTTGCAAAAACGAATAAACTCTTTAAAAGAGGACATTGAAAGCTCTATTTGTGCTGATACACCCAATGCTTTTTGGCATAAAAAACAACATCATGTAGATCTTCCTTACGAAAAAGATTTCACAGAAAATTTCATTCCCACCAAGGCTAGGCCTATCCAAATAAATTCAGACCTTGAAAAACATTGTCGACAAGAAATTAAAGAATTGCTTAAATAGGGCCTTATCAGATCTAGCGAATCCC